AACGGGCTCGGCTTCCTCTTTAACGGGCTCGGCTTCCTCTTTAACGGGCTCGGCTTCCTCTTTAACGGGTTCGGCCTCTTCAACAGGAGCAGCGCCGTTGACCTTTGGCTCGGCCTTCGCTTCTTCCTCGACTGGTGCGGGTGTCTTTGACTCTTTCAATGCTGCCTCAAGTTCCTTGGCCGCTTCGGCGTTTGCCTTCTTCGCTGCCTCGAGTTCGGACTCAGTCTTCGCAGTCTGCTCCTTGGCCTCCTTGAGCTCGGATTCGGTCTTCGCAGCCTGTTCCTTGGCCTCCTCGAGCTCGGATTCGGTCTTGGTAGCCTGCTCCTTAGCCTCCTTCAGTTCGGTTTCAGCCTTAGCAGCTTGCTCTTTGGCTTCCTGGAGTTCGGCTTCAGCCTTAGTAGCTTGCTCTTTGGCTTCCTGGAGCGTGGCTTCAGCCTTGGTAGCTTGCTCCTTAGCTTCCTTAAGTTCGGATTCATCTTTGGAAGCCTGCTCCTTGGCCTCTTCGAGCTTAGCTTCCAAATCTTTGTGCTCAGCTTGCAGAGAGTCGACGGTCTTCTTGGCTTCAGCTTCAGCGGTCTTGGCAGCCTCGAGGTCGGTTTCCAAGCCAGCAACGCGGGCGGCCTCCTTCTCGGCTGCTTCGAGTTTCGTCTGAGCCTCCTTTGCAGACTCTTCGGAAGCGGCCAGCTTCTTCTCAAGCTCAGCCTTCTCGCTGACAGAGTCCTCTGCAGCGGCCAAATTCTTGGTCAGTTCTTCCTGGGCAGTCTCGAGTTCCTTGACCTTTGCGTCGGCAGCAGCAGCATCCTCTTGGGCCTTGGTAAGGGTAGCCTTAGTTTCCGCGTGGTTGGCTTCGGCAGCCTTGAGAGCTTCCTCGCTTGAAGCTGACTGTTCGGTCTTGGCGTCTTCGGCTTCTTTCAGTGACTTCTCCAGGGTACCGACTTGGGTCTTGGTCGTCTCATGCTCTGACTGAGACTTCTCAAGTTCCTCCTTGGTGGCAGCATGGGCGGCCTCAAGCTCAGTAGCCTTGGCCGCGAGTTCTTCTGCTTTAGCTTTCTCCCCTTCCGCGGCCTTCAGGGCTTCCTCCGCAGTAGCTAGTTGGGCCTTGGTGCTCTCGACCTCCTCTTGGGCACTCTTCTGTGCAGCTTCAATCTCGGTGATCTTGGTGCTTAATTCTTCGGCCTTTGCTTTGTCAGCTTCGGCAGCCTTGACTGCCTCCTCTGCGGTTGCAAGTTGGGCCTTAGTGCTCTCAACCTCCTCTTGAGCACTCTTCTGTGCAGCTTCAATCTCGGTGATCCTGGTGCTTAGTTCTTCGGCCTTTGCTTTGTCAGCTTCGGCAGCCTTGACTGCCTCCTCTGCGGTTGCAAGTTGGGCTTTGGTGCTCTCAACCTCCTCTTGAGCGCTCTTCCGTGCAGTTTCGGTCTCGGTGATCTTGGCATTCAGTTCCTCGATCTTTGCTTTGTCAGTTTCAGCAACCTTGGCTGCCTCCTCTGCGGCTGCAAGCTGGGTCTTGGTGCTCTCGAGATCTGTCTGGGCTGTCTTCTGTGCTTCTTCAAGCTCGGAAACTTTAGCGGCGAGCTCATCAGCCTTAGCCTTTGCAGCATCTACCTCCTTAGCAGCCTCTTCAGCGGCCGCAAGCTTAGCTATGGTGCTCTCGATTTCTTCCTGTGCACTCTTGTGTGCAAGTTCAAGCTCCGAGATCTTGACAGTCAGCTGCTCGTGATCAGCGTTAGCGCCTTCAGCGGCCTTCAAAGCCTCTTCGAGCTCTGTGATCTTGGCCTTCGTGGTTTCAAGGTCGGCGTGGGCGGCAGTCAGTTCCTCCTCTTTAGCAGCAAGATCCGCAGTAGCCCTCTCGTACTTGCTGTCGGCATCCTTGAGCTTCTCTTCCCATTCTGCAACACGAACGTCGAAGTCGGTTTTAGCGCTCTCGAGGGCAGCCTCGGCAGCCTCATGGTCGCTGCTTGCCTTCCCGAGTTCTGCTTTCGTAGATTCGTGATCCGAAGTAGCTTTAGCGAGATCGCCTTTGGTTGCCTCGTGCTCAGCAGTTGCTTGCTCAAGGGCCTTGGTGTGCTCGGCAATGAGGGCTTCGTTATCGGTCCCCTTTGCAAGAGCCTGTGCAAGCTCATCCTTGGTGCTATCGTGTTCCGATGTGAGTTTAGCAAGAGCTTCTTCGTGAGCTGCCTTGGTAGCGTCGTAGTCCGAATTGGCTTTCGCAAGATCAGCTTTGGTAGCTTCATGTGCGGTGATGGCGTCTGCAAGTTCAGATTTGGTGGTCTCATGTTCTGCCGTGGCCTTCTCGAGGTCTCCTTTGACAGCGGAGACGGCATCCTCCTTGGCCTTCTCCAGTTCGACCTTGGTAGAATCATGGGCTGCAAGAGCAGCCTCAAGTTCTGCTTGCGTAGACTTGTGTTCACCGGTAACTTTCTCGACGTTGGAGTTGGCGGCGTTGAGTTCCTCGGTCTTGGCGGCAAGGGCGGCCTCGAGTTCCGCAATCTTCTCGGCCTTCTTGTCGTGCTCTGCGGTGACTGTAGCTAGCTGGAGTTTTGATTCTCGGGCGCCGTCAAGTTGGCCGGTGAGTTCTTCCACCTGCCCAGAAAGCGATTCTCTGGACTGGACGGCTTCATCGAGCTCTCTCTTTGAACTTTCTTGGAAGGCAGCATGATCTGCGGTAATCCTTTCGGCCTCAGCGGCGGTAGCGTCGAGTTTGGCCTGGATTTCAGAAATTTTAGCCTCAAGAGTAGATCTGGTACTGTCATGTGCAGCCTGAGCTTCACCGAGTACCTTCTCTGACTCTTGCTTGTGAGCGGCAAGCAGCTCGACATGGCTGTTGCCAGCTTGCCTCTCTGCCTCCAGCTCACTTGCCAGCTTCTCGACGGTTTCGTCACTGGCTTTCTTCGCAGCATCAAGCTCAGCTAGCTTCTGCTCGAGCTCCGTGAGTTGGGATCCCTTCGCATCCAGTTCCGAGCGGACCGAAGAGAGCTCCGCCGAGACGGCGTCGCGAGACTTCGTAATCGACTCGAGAGCCTGATCATAGGATACCTTAAGAGACCGCACGTTAGCCGAATGCTCCTCACCGCATTGAGCCCTCACAGCATTACGCTCCGACTCTTTGGCCTCTTTGACCTGCTGGACGACGACTCCCACCATGTGATCTTCTAGTACCTTCTTTTCTTGGATGAGGGCAGCCTCCTTCTCCTCATAGTCCCTCCGAAGGACATCAGACTCCTTCTCGAAGTTCTGGATATCCTCATTCTGGGCGTCGATGGTCTCCTTCGCCTCGTCAAGCTCCTGCTGTAGCCTCGCGTTCTGGTTATTCAGCTTCTCGACTGCGACAGCAGGAGGGTCGTTTTCATTGACGGGCGGGGCGGGTGCCTCGGCGGGCTCCTCTGCTTGTCCCTTGGACGCCGTGGCGCCATCAGAGGGTTCGGAGGTAGGTGTGTCGGGAGGGGCGGTGGTAGGTGTGCCCGAGGTTGGTGTGGTTTCTTGGATGTTATTAGTAAGAGCTGTTGGATGGTATATAGGATGTGTTGAGGCATAGTAGCTGGATCGAGAAGCTGTTGATGGAAACTTGGCTCTTGTTTACAAAGTGTAAACGGCAGCCTCGGAGCTCGTCCGAACGTCGACAGTAACAACAAGGACGATTGAAGCTCTCAGCATGTCCAAGTAGAGCTTCATGATGCAGCCCAATGCTCCGCAGCGTAGATGCGAAGGTATGATGGCAAAAAACTGACCTGGCTGGGCAGAAGCTTCAGGTGGTGGCGGGCCACCGAAAAAATAGTTGTAGGCGCGACGCTGGCATGGTTAGCACGAACAAGGAGGAGATGGAAAGGATGCAGACGTACCATGCTGCTCGATCGTTTGGGGAGTTTAGGTCTGTTGGAGGAGGTGGAGGCGCGGCCCTTGCGAGGAGAGGAAGTTCCTTCGTCCTCGGGGAGCACGGTGACCGGGACGATCGTGTGATTGCTCTTCTCTCGCTTGTGGCCCAACAGCTTCCGTTGCGCCTTCTGCGAGCCCTCGTTGATGTCGGCGATGATCTGCCGCTCTCGCGCCGACGAGGAGGACCTTGCGCACGCTGTCAGTCGGGGCCAAGGTGAAAGGGCGGTGGAGGCGGAGCGCACTGCCATGGGAGAGGAGGCACCTACTCATAACTCGGGCGGCTACGCGAAAACGACGGCATGGCGAACAGCTGCTACTGGTGAATTCCTGAATCAAGCACCGGGCGACTAGCGAGCTTTTCAATGACTTCGAGGGCACCGGCTCTTGAACAATCCTCTTTATTCCCAAGCACAGCGCAGCGTGCCGCGGGCTCCCAATCAGCGAGCAGCACGTAGTGGCACTCCCGTCGCGTGCGAGAGCAGAAAGACGGAGAGCGCAGCCAATGCCCGCCAGCAGGCGGGCGCGAGGGCCGCGTTTAAAGGCAGTGACGGTGTGCATAGCTTCGACGTGTTCATGCACCAGGGCGCCCTGTGTTTGAGCCGGGCAGGGGTGCGGGACCCCCTGGATATATCTCAGAGACACACGGCGTGGGTGGCACGGTGGGCCTCGAATTAAGCTCCCACAGCCTCACCTCGACCTGCAGGCACCAGGGCCATCCCGCTGTTTCAGTCGGCCCGCCCGGTGGCGGCTTCAAGGGACTGCTTGCAACGCTGAAGAGCGCCAGACGGAGCTGGAGCCAGGCGAGCTGGCGGTCGGCACCACAGTGACTCTCCGTGGACCCGACCATGAGGCCTTCATCTTCTTGCCGCCGCCCCACGTTTGACGCACGCGTGGCAATCAGTGGATGCGTTGGCTCTGCCGCAGCGTCCGGGACGAGCATGGTGTGCGTTGGTCGAAGAATTTGCGTGAACCCTGCAGATGACAAGACACCACGGCATGCTTTGAAGAAACGGCTCCGAAGAGGTGCAATGCGACGGTAGGGTCGTGTGCAATATACAGTAGAAGTTTACAGGCTGGTACAAAGAAGTCACAGTTTCTAGAGACGGCTGGACGTTGAATTTGTGGCTGGAGTAGCACTCTCTGTACCACCGTTCTAGATGGACTCCACATGCTCCATCTGCAAGGGGTACCTGTCAATCCGCTAGGAAGGCAAGCTGTTCGAACATCGGTATGCCATTCAAACACACCTTCTTGGCTACAATGCCTCACCATAGCAATCCGTACACTCGTTTACTGCTGTGTGAGGAGCTTCATACTATTTTCAGTATTATGAATGAGGGAAAACTTCGGCGTCTTGGACAACTAGTAAACTCTACTCCAGACAGCGTCAGTGTGTGCGTCAGTAGGTGCGTCAGTAGGTGTGTCAGTAGGAAGTAAATTGGAAGCGTATCCACTGCCATCGCTTTCTATCAGTCTGTTGGAGTTCCACCAACAGTGGAAGGAAAGTGTACGGATATCTATGGCAAGGCACTGTCAAAGGGTGGTCTAATCTAGTGACGAGAAAATTCGAGCCTGCATATTTGTGGTTTCGAGCAGCCTAGTATGCTAGGGCTTCTCATAATATGCTAGACAACCATGGTAATGGCGAGCAGTTGTGCGCAGACGTTGGTCCAGATACTTCGTTGTAACAAATATAGTTATGGGCATCCTTGGTGCTCAATCAAAAGCCCCAGAACGCCAGGTACCATTCGTCCAATCTCAACCTCCCCATCCTAACTCCGCATCGAAACACCCAAGCCACTCTGCATGCGTCCTGCGAACCATGCGGGAAGCCAGACATTCCCAATAATAACACCGTTAGCCCTCCAATCGCATCACGTCTCCACCAATGTGCATAGCCCCTTACAGCCTTCCCCATAGGTAGTTCGAGTAGAAATTCCGCGAGAACTTCGGGTCGATGTCGATGATATGCGAGTCTCCCTTGGAGTTCTGCCGTATGATGACCTTGTTGAAGATTCCCGTCGCAGGTTCTGCCTCGATGTCGATGTTGAGCATGCGGTAGAGCTTCAACTTGAGCCTATAACGAAGCTGTTAGTACACTTCTACAAGTTTCACAACTGCAGCAATTTCGCAGACTGGGAAACCTACAGTTTTTGCGTCTCATCTTCCGATGACCCTCGTGCAGCCTCTGCACCTTCTTCGATACCCGCATCATCCAGATCCCCAAGCGTTTCCTCAAGTCTAGCCAGCTCTGCGGCCATTCGCTCGCCTTCAATCTCGAGATCAGATGCCTGTTTTGCCACCTTGAACTTCTCCGTGTCTAGTCGCAGGATTTCTGATGCGTGATTGGTGGGGTTGTGGGAGCTGAGGGTCAGGGAGTGCGTCGAGGACAGTGTTTGTTGTTGTCGCGACAGCTTCTGCAGTGTGGATTGGAGGCCGTCGAGTTGGGCCTGGCGACAGGCATGCAGTGTGCTCAGAGAGTCATTGATACGGTGAAGAGACGATCGGTCAGGTCCAATGTTGAAGTTCGCGGCGCACGAGGCGATGAGCTGGGGAGTGTTAGCGGTTGTGCTTTCGCAGTGTAAACAGAGAAATGTACCGTGGCGGGGTCTTCGTCGAGGAGCATGATGGCAGAGTTTGAAAAGGAGGGTAGAACGGAATTGCAGTGTCAGAGCGTTTGCAACTATTGCAGTGGGGTGGCGGCAGGGCTGAGCAGATGTGGTGAAGTCGAGATAGCGGCGTGGTGTTGAGCAGTTGCCCGCATGTTTTGATTTATGGGCGCTTGGACCAACGGCGGCTTTCCAGGGCAACGACGACTGGCGTCCGGCGTACGTCACAAAAATTCACGAGATCACGGCTTGCGCAGCGGCGAAAGGCACCACCAGACCTGCTCCGAGATTACGTTCACCCTCTCCGTACTCCTAATACACCATTCATGGCGCCCTCTCTGCCCTGTGAGTACTGTGCCTTCACAATAGCAGCGACAAAGCTAACGCCTCGCCAGATGCCGCTGATGCGGAAAGGTACGAATCCGGCATTTGCGATTTCACTGCGCAGCAATAGAGCTTGATCCAAGTCTAACATGTTCCCAGTCCTCTCAAACCCGAAGAACTCCAAGTCCTCCGCGCACAGTACGAGAAGGAGGGCGAGTACGTGGGCTTGCAAACGAAATTCAACTACGCCTGGGTATGCGCCCCATCGAATCCACTGAAGGCACAACAAGCTCACATTCACCGCCACAGGGCCTCATAAAATCAAACAACCGCCAGGAGCAACAAGAAGGCGTTCGCCTGCTCTCAGAAATCTTCCGCAACTCCCCCGAGCGCCGGAGGGAGTGCCTCTACTACCTCGCCCTCGGAAACTACAAGCTCGGCAACTACGCCGAGGCGAGGAAATACAACGAGCTATTGATCGACCTCGAGCCCGCGAACCTGCAGGCGGGAAGTCTGAAAGGGCTGATCGACGACAAGGTGGCGAAGGAGGGCCTTGTCGGGGTGGCGATTGTTGGAGGTCTGGCTGTGGCGGCGGGTATCGTGGGAAGCATGCTATTCAAGGGAAGCAGAAGGCGATAGGGTAACACGCTGTGTATAATGGGGGATGAGTGACGAGCGTTGGTGGTGCATTCGGCGTATCGGCGGCTTTCCCTAGGCCGAGAAATCGCATGTAGAATATGGACATCTTTAACCTTTCAAGCGCGTGCGTCTCTGCGCCCAGGACGCTCCAATGGTGTTTTGCGGTTGTCTCGGATCCAATGAACTACCCATGCGGGGCGTCAGAATAGCAAAGAAGAGCATGGAAAGCCAGAGAAGGCTTTGGTGGCAGCGAGTCGAACAGACGTACAACAACGCACCCGAACAATCAGGCGGATTTGCTAGGTGCTAGTGTAATTAACACAGCTGTGCAGCGAGCGTCTTGTCCCGTCCAGGTGCACCCTCACCGGACCCTCCCTCTCGTTCCCGCGCAGTTGGCTGCACCGGCTCGGCGATCCCTGTCAGGTCGATTATCTAGCACAACGTCACCGGCAGCGCGTTCGCATCAACACTACTTCGCCCCTACACCTCGACGGCCTCCTACTCGACGCCTATTTCTACGCTCTGCCTTCCACCTGCTCCGCCCCTCCCTCCGTGCAACTCAGCTGTCGGGCCATCGCACCGGTCACTGCGAGAGGCGCATGACAAGGCTCACACCCGAGCTGCCTCTGACCCATCATCACACATCACCCACGTCTCGTGAGGATCTGATGAGCACGTAGCTTTGCTACGACCACAGCAAACTTCCGCAACCTTCTGCGAGCAGCGACTCTCCTCTGCTCTCCAACCTTCCACTCCTTGCCTCTCTCCTCGGCCCCGCCCAACATGGATCCACCCCTTCAGCAGCCAGCGCAACAGCCACAGACAACGGCGCGCGACATGGTCTTCTGCCACGAATGCGAAAACGAATGGTACAGGGACGAACACGGGCTATCCTGCCCCGAGTGCCATTCTGATTTCACCGAAATTGTAAGTTCTCCGGAGATGCTGACTTCGCACCGCCGCCCGCCACTGCATGCGTCGACGGCGACCGAGAACCCCAAACTCGCTGGAATCAAGTGTTTGAGAGCTGAGCTAACATCATGTCCTAGATCGAGGAAAATCACGATCCTAGAGTTGCCGCCATGGCAGATTCCGACGACGACGGCCCACCCCCACTAGGCGCCTTTCACCACCACCACCCTTGGGATGCTCCAGACCCAGACGAGGATGATATCAATCAACTACACTGGAGCACTGGCCCAAACACTTTCGCTGTCCAGGGCGTCATATTTCGAGACAACCTCAGCCAACGCCGAGCTGACCCCCACGACCATGATCTCCATAATCCAGTCTTGGGAACCTTCGCCACGATGCTGCAAAATTTAGTGGGAGGGCTTGGACAACAACCTCCTAGTGAACAACCCCCTAGTGAACAACCCAGCGGATCTCCTTCTCCAGGCCAGGGACCAAATGATCGGTTCTCTGGCACACTGCCGGGTGGAAACCGCTTTACGTATCAACGTACTGTACGGCTCCATGGCCCAGATGGCACACATCGGGGTGCACATCTGGACCCCAGTGGAGACGAGTTGAACGGGTTAGTTCTTCATATTGTGATCATCTGTGAAATTGTCCTTGCTAACACGGTTGATAGACTAGTGGAGCACCTTCTCGGCGCCGCCATGGGCGGTCCACCAGGCCACACCCACCCTCCCAGTGGACAACCTGGACAACCTCCCGGACAACCTGGACAATTTCCCGGCCAACCGCAGATAAACCCCCTCGCCGCTATATTCGCACAATTGATGAATCCAGGAATGGCAGCTCCTGGTGATTTCGTCTATTCACAAGAAGCCCTCGATCGCATAATCTCGCAACTAATGGAGCAAAACACTAGTAATGCTCCAGGACCTGCTACTCCCGAGGCTATCGGCTCCCTCCCCAAAAAGATAATTACCATTGAAGACCTCGGGCCTGACGGACGGGCTGAATGCAGCATCTGTATGGACGAAGTCACTGTTGGTGAAGAGGTCGCTCAGCTGCCCTGCCACCACTGGTTCCATCAACCATGCGTGGCCATGTGGTTAGGCGAACACGATACGTGTCCGCACTGCCGCAAAGGCATTATGGATCACGACAAGGCCGGCGAGAGTGCTAACAGTTCGACGAACACCGCGGATGCATCCAGCGGTTCCAACGGCGCACCTGCGACTCCCTCCCGCCAGCAGATGCCAGGAACCTTCGGTGCCGGCACGGAAGAAAACCCGTTCATTGTCCCAGAAACACCTGAGCAGAGTCGGTTGCATGCACAACAAGACCAGCGGTCAAGTTCGGAGCGTCAACCAAGCCCTCATTCGGTACACTCGGATGGAGACGCAAGTGGCGGTGGGCTGGGCGACCGTATTCGGAGGGGTTTGTTTGGCCAACCCCGATGATGTCCGCCAGTCTTACTTGCTCTCTGCTGACCTTCACTTTGTTGGCTAGGAAGAAATAGTATCCGACGAAAACTGGCTGCTCGCAGGTCGAGGCACAGTAATGGCTAGCTGTGAAGGCATCAACTCGACCGTGCATCATGTATACCCTTTCCCTGCATTTAGTGGCGTTTTGGTCTGGTTCAGCTGTCAGAGCTCCTTGGAGGCCCTTTTCTATGTCAGTGGAACAACCCTTTTCTATTCTTTGTTGGTCTCTGGGGATGTGTGTACACGAATGACGGCTCTTGAGCGGATCGAATTGAATCACATAGAAGTGATCATGGGCTGTGATGGCTGGAGTTCTGCGGTTGGTATTTTGGAAATGTGTATAGATTGATGCGGTCAACGCTTATTCTATTTACTCTTCATCTCATCTCATCTACCTAAATTTCACAAGACGCTCTAATATAATGCCTTGTCATAGATATCCGTACACTCATTTGACGCTGCATGAGGACCCTCATAGTGTTTTCAGCATTCTTGGTAATAGGGAAGTTCGGCACTTTGGACAACTAGTAAACTCGTGAGGCTACCCTAGACAGCGTCAGCAGTGTATCCGCTGCCCCCGGCTCCTATCAGTTATGGCAAGGCACTGTACTGCCATCTTTCGAGTACCTGTTCAGAGACACCCAGACCGTTATTAAGCACGTATTTCTACCGTGACTAGCACGTGCCTCGACTCATGCATTGGATATATCAGCCTCCCCTTTTTCTGACCCACTTCACAGGGTAATGGCGTCTTCAAATTGACCTGGTGGAGCACACATGTGGTGTGTTTGTTGAGAAGTGACGATGATCAATTTCCTCGCCATATGTAGATGAGCATTCAGAGGCTCTCTATGCGATCTACGGCGACGCTCTATGGCTGTGGTTGCACGGACGAGCTTTAGGTGGTGGTCTCCATCGTACGACTGTAAAGAGTGGTGCCGGTGACCGTGATGCTGGTCCTACCACCAATCCCATAGAACCATGCCACTAAAGGTTTAGATTCACCACATTGGTCCTTAGTTCGGGAGTTGTTGATGCCACCCAGGTACGACAACCTTCTCGCCCCGTCAAAGAGAAGGACGCATGTGCTGATATACTCGGCAATTCTGGCTGTGACTAATACATGACTAAGCATGATCACATGATAACTAGTTATCAATCCAAAAGCCAGATTCTGAACAGTGGCAAGCCGCTCAGCCCGAGGGTGCTTCAAGGTCTCCTTGTATGCGAACACTTTTAATTCAGAAGGAGAGAGTGTGTGCTCTACGACGAAGGCTTTGAGAATAAGTGTCGCAGGCCCCATCGACTCAATCATTACCTGTAATCTCTTTAGAAAGAAACGTGCTGTCGTACTGACGGCACTCTAGGGGTTCGCCCCTCGTCTAAATCAGTCCATCCCGTACATACGGCATCATGGACGGCTTATCCAGCAAAGCCCAGGACCAAACCAGTGCTCTAGAGTCCTGTGAATAGCGACACCCAGAACACGATGCTGTCTCTGACCACCGCCATCATGGGGGCAATTAGAAAGATATTGTAGGAGCCAAATCCTAGGCGAAAGGCTTCTCAAGGGTATAGGTAAGGCGGCATGGTGATCAGGTGGTATGATCGTGTGTGGAACTTTTTATCTCCCTAAGACCGGGAGCTGCGGGCTAATATGTGAGGCTAGGGTGAATATAGGGTCGTAATATTGGGCGCTCTGTGTTTGAACCAGGCGCAGGCGCTCGATTGGTACCTAGCGAGAACCCTAAGAGTGTTGAGTTGGAACGGACGTTGAAATCTGGTGGCGCTGTAGTGTTGGCCGGGGTGACGGCGTCAGACACCGTTGACAGCACCTCACTTCGACGAGAACCACCAAGCACGCTAGGATTACACTATTCATGCACTCAAATCCTGCAGAACCGCCATGCGTCTATTCAAGCCCGCTGTTTGGTGCATGCAAGGTCCCTTATATAATCACCCGGCCTACGAAAGCGGGCGTCCACGAGGTAATTGCACTTTTTTCTCCATCAGATGGCTGCGCGCGTTAGTTAGGCATAACGAGAAGCCTTATTCACGATATTCCTGTTCTGCTGTTTAAGCAATTTATCATGCTGCAGACCCTCCCGTGCTTGTCTGACGTGCTGGGCGTGGCCGTCTCTCTCTATAGCTCATCAACACCTCTCTTTATAGCTGCGTGTCGAGTTCTTTGCCTCTCCGTCCCGTCTTCTTACGCTTTCATTATCCTTCTCCACCGCATTCGCCATGCGGTATACCCCTCTCTTCGCCTTGATTGGGCTCCTATCCGTCACTTCCGCCAACCCAATCCTACACCCTCGCGCTACTCCTACCACCACTAATCGGACCACTACCAGCAGTACAGCACCATGCGCCGCCGTCTCCTCAGCCCACTATGCTCCGAGCAACAAAGATGGTACAGTCCCTGCACAGCTGGCCTACGAATGCCTCAAAAGCGTGCCACTCAACGTGACCGCTGCCAAGAGGCTCATGGGGGAGATACGGCCCTACATCAATTGGCAGACAAACATAGTCTTCCTGAAGAACCCACCCGCCGAGTATGTGCAAAAGATCCAGCAGCCCGTGGACATTCTGGCCGGATTAGACAAAATTGAGGCACAGATTGATAGTGGGGCTTTCTTTGGCGAGTATGACGTGAGTGCTTTTTCTTTTTCGAGTTAATGAAACTAGCTCTAGAGATACATCCTATACAGTACTTCGTCCTTAGTCTGTGTGTAACACAATTCCAAGGATCGGAAGCTCACCATTTTGAACAGTCATCAAAGCCGGCATGACCTGTCTTATACGGCTTTGAGCTACCTCAAGCGTCACGGTCGAGTGTTGTAGCTAACTACTTGGTAGTTTGGACTTGCGCTGTATAAACTTATCCTATCAGCACACGACGGTCATTTCTCTATTGTCCTGGATTCCGTAGGAAATTTCTTCAACTTCGACCGGAAATTCCCATTAGTTTCCGTCTCTGAAGACGGAGTGAAGTTACCCGCGGTTTTCGTATACGGCGATGTTTTAGGTCAGCAATTCAATACTATTTCAGGGGCATATACTCCCTCTGCCGTTGTCAAGATTGATGGCCAAGATGCTGCGACTTTCCTCGAAAATTGGAGCCAATGGGGGATTCTTCAGGACCGCGATGCCCTCTATAACAACCTCTTCTACGAGCTTGCGCAGGTCTCTGTTGGCTCTTATGGCACCGGCACAGGCACCTTTAGGTATGGCTCACTCACACACACGTGACGTCCAAGTTCGCTCACACGTATATGATAGCGGAGGTGGAAGAGGTCGGTGGGCTTACCCTGGAGCGAATACTACCTACACTTTTGCCAACGGAACCTCCAAGACTGTCGAAAATATCGCCTACCCCATGTTCAACTTAGATGGTATTGATTCAGGGGAGAAGCTGCAGCAGAACTTCTTCAACTACGACGCAGGCACCGCCAATACCGAGGGGAAAGTAAACCTTCACGTTGTTCCTGGTGATAAAGTCGCAGCAGCAGCTACTGGATCGGCTGCTGGCTACCCACCCACCGTCATTGCCGGGCCCTCAAACATCATCAACGGCTACTATATCGATTCGCCAGACTACAGCAGCATCGCGGTCCTCTCTGTACCTAATTTCGTCGGAGATATAGACGACAACGTCGCCTTCCAGGCCACAAGTCGGAACTTCATCGCCCAAGCCCTCGCAGATAACAAGACGAAGCTAATCATCGACCTTTCCGCCAACGGCGGCGGCAGTGTGCTGCAAGCCTATGACCTATTCAAACAGCTCTTCCCCAGGCCCGCATACCTCCCCTACGGCGCGACACGCTGGCGCGCCCACGAAGCCGCCGACCTAATCGGCCAATCTTTCAGCGCCGCCGCCTCGCAATTTCCGCGAGTCCTAGACACGATCCAATTCTACGTCCAGGAAATGCAGTCGACCTACTTCGACTACGAAAGCGACCTCGACGTCAACTACAAGCCCTTCACCTCGTGGCCCGAAAAGTACGCGCCCCGCGTGTACAACGGCGACAACTTCACCGGCATCGCGCGCTACAACCTGTCCGACGTCCTCATCACCCTCATGTCGGGCGGCATCGACATCACCGGCTACGGCGCCCTCGCGAGCGCCTCCAACAACCCCCAGCCGTTCAAAGCCGAGGACATCGTCATCGTCTACGACGGCTACTGCGCGTCGACGTGCAGCATCTTCTCCGAGCTCATGCGGCAGCAGGGCGGCGTCAAGGCCATCGCCATGGGCGGGCGCCCCAACACGCACCCGATCCAGGCCGTGGGCGGCACCAAGGGCGTGAATAACCTCGACTGGGAGACCATTCAGGCGTTCGTGCAGTTGGGGGTTAGGGCTTCGAGCGCGGCGGAGAGACAGCGGTATGAAGATAGCGTGCTGGGCACTGATTACAACGCCGAGGGGCCGTTTGTCCGCACGTCTTGGGCGAGCGACCCCGGGTGCAACGTGCGAGATGGGCTGAGGGAGGGCGATGACAGCGGGACGCCGTTGCAATTTCGCTACGAGGAGGCGGATTGTCGGTTGTATTATACGCCCGAGATGACGGTTGATGCGACGGCGATTTGGAAGGCAGCGGCGGACGCGCAGTGGGGTGGGTGGGGGAAGTCGAAGTGTGTGGCAAATTGGTGGCCGTGGTCTAAGGAGAAGAGGGAGGTTACTACGACGCTGGGTAGGAGTAGACTAGGGAAGAGGGGTGCCGGTGCGAGTGATGCAAAGGCTCTGGAGGAGTTGCTGAAGACGCTTGCGATTAGGACGGAAAATCAATGGAAAGGGGATGGGTTTATGAAGCCATAGGGGTGAAACTGAGTCGAACGGATGGGAAATAGTAGAACCAGTAGGAAATAGCAGAACAAGTAGGAAACAATAGAATAAGTAATAAGTGGGAAATGGCATATTAACGGAGCGGTACAGTACTAGGCCATGACCCTAAACGGATATACCACTGCTCCAGCTCCACTCTTGCTCTCTCGACACCACTGTAAGGAATGCCTTAGCTCACATATCTTCAAATAGTCAAGGTAGTCTAGTATCCACTGCGTTTACCCTTATATCGTATGTGGACTTTCTAGAGCCACTTAGGGTACCCCAAGCAGTCGCAGAGAGTGCCCAAACTTATGTCTTGTTACTATAATGAGACCTCAAGAATGCTCAACAAGCATCAAGTCCAATTACTTTGTTCAGAATCCAATTCCGTTTCGCCTCGATAGAGTCCAAATGGTATGCTAGCGATGCCGCACAAAATGACCGTGACAGAACGACAAGGAACCAAACTCTGCGATAGATAAGAATAATGAACTCCTCCGCAACTCCACCCAATGCCAGGCTCCGACTTTCTCCCCAAAGAAGAGGAAGAAAGGTGACGGCGACCTAATTGCTCCTTCTAAATCCCTAGAGCCCCATCTAAGAGATCCTCAAAAAGCACATCAACTTCTGTATCCAACATCTACCCGCCCACCCACTCGTCTATGAGGGCCGTTTCCCCTCCAACCAGATATCCCCACCTTCGCCTCTGACCCACATGCCCCACGCCCTCTCATACGCCTCCTCTAGATCTCTTACCCATCGCTTTGTGTCAAACAACGCGCTACTCCACCGACTCTCATACAGTAACTTGCGTAACGCCACCAATCGTCCTGTCGCCCGATATCCCTCGTACACACACTCCTTCCCCAACCGAACAGCCGCCTCTTCATACTCCTCCTCGCTCCCCGCAATCAGATCCTGTGCCGCTTGCACTCCTGCCGCGTTTCTTGGCAAAGCGCCTTTTAGGATACTTGCGGCCATGCGGCTGCACATCTTGTAGCGGTAGCGCGGGAGGGTAAGTAAGGGTGTGCCCGACCACAGCACGTCGGCGGCCGTGGTATGCGCATTGCACTCTGGCGTGTCGAGGAAGAGGTCGCAGACGCGAGCGCGAGCGATGTGCATGTGCTTCTGGGCGACGTCGGTGAAGAGAACGCGGGACGCGACTTCAGGGCCGGCCCAGGCATGGGCGGTTTGCTTGAGGTTAGTCTCCCCGAGGTCGGGGAACCGAAGGAGCCAGAGGACGGCATTGGGGAGACGTGCAAGGATGCGGAGCCAAGTACGGAAGGTGGTGGGTTCGATCTGATAGATAGGTGTTAGCAGATCGTACATGATGATGGAAGAATAATTGGAACGTACCTTGTAGAGTTGGTTGAAGTTGCCCAGGATGATGGCATCGTCGGGAAGATTTGGAAAGAGTTCTTTGCGCATCTTCCATCGTCTGACTTGCTCTTCTTCCCAGTCTAACTGCTTGCCTTGCGAGTCTGGCGCGCTCTGTCTGTGGTCGCAGCAGAAGAATGTGTCGCGACAGAAGATGACGTTCTCGCCATAGACCCACTCGTCGTCCGTCCCTCCGCTGTTATCATCGACGAAATTATCTTCAATATCGATGTTGCGACGCCACTTTCGCAGCGTACTTGGCGGGACGGCTGTGTCGTCTGCGAGTAGGTAATCACACCATTCTGCGCCTAGCGTGCCGGCGAAACCCATAAAGGACATTTGAATGGGAGCTGGACGAGCTGCGAACACTTCGTTCCTCGCGCCACGAGTGTAGCCATTCAGGTTGATTAGTATGTGAATGCCGTCCTGCACGATCTGGTTGACGAGACGCTCAGCTGACCAATTGCTGGCATCGTAAAAAACTGGCGACTCTTTCTCGATCTGCTGCCGATGAACCGAGCCGTCGCTTGCTGTAGTCGCGTAACAATATGCCTTAGCGCGGGAGGGATCATGAAGTCCAAATACCGACTGCATGAGGTGTGCTAGTGGGTGGTTGTTGAAGTCAGACGACACGTACCCAACCTTGAGGTAGGGTTTCGGAGGTGGAGGTGGAGCAAATACTGTCGGTGGTAGCCATGGAGCCTTTAGTGTGGAGCAGGATATCCGGAGACCGTTTCTTTGAGATATCAAGCGTATCTGCTTCGCAGACATCGGACAGGTGAAGGTATGGAAAGGAAGGACGGTAGGAGCGGCCGGGACCGTCAAAGCTCCTGGTAGCTGAGGTCGCCTGTACGATGCAGACGGCCGTAGCAGTCCCTTGATGTACTTGTCCTGGTACCATTGCCATGCAATTCTTCTGATTACACGCTCAACCGAGCGTACCAACCTGGCGCCTTCCCATTTTTGGCCTCTCCAACTGCCTAGCTTTGATTTCATGTTCTTCTCCTTTTCTTTCACGTCCGAAACACCACCTTCGATGAGAGTCAGCGATCGGACCATTGATTCCACGAAGCGCTGGTCGATGACGCCCAGGCCCCAATTTTCTCCATCGCCCAGTTGCTTCTCAACTAGGTCAACGACTCGTTTGATCCAGCCAGAGCTCGAAGCACCAGGAAGTCTCGCGTCAAGAAGCATGCCCTTATCATCCACGTGCCATCGGTCTCGAGTGCCACTTTCCGAAGCAATACCTCCTCTACCTGCCCAACCACAGACCGAATTCAAGGCGTTCGCAAGGCCGCACACAGCCTCAGCAAAATCAGGACTGACGTTCACAGCGCGGCGGTAGTATGTGATGGCATCGCTAATCCGACCTTTGTCCTTCACAGCGTTTGCCAGATTTGCAAGGGCAATGTCGAAGTTCGCGTCACATGCTACAGCCTGCTCATACATGTTGATAGCAACGTCCAACTGGCCGATATCTTTGAGTAAGCTGCCGAGATTTGTGTAAAGATGTGCGTGTTTCGAGTCCAGAAGCAATCCGTAGTTGTAATACATCAACGCCAGTGCGATTCCACTTCCCGGGACCAGGCCGGGTATGTAAGGCTTGGGGATGGGACCAGAAACCGGCATGTGCTTAGAAGGTGCCGACTGCTGCACACTGGAGAGCAGTATTCCGACGTTGTTGGCAGTCGAAGGACTTGGTTGAAGTGATAGAGAAAGGTAGTACAGGGCTAGAATTTCTCGGACACTGTATGAGGTCTGGTATGCGGATGACTTCGGTGAATTTGTGGACATCCCATCTTGGAAAATCTTGGCTAGGGACAATAACGAGTTACTGGTAGTTGATATTGCAGCTTTCCGAGCCATGCCTTCACTAGAAACAAATTCGAGGCCAGGTAGCTGTCCATGCGGAGGAAAGCAAAGCTGTGAGGTCTTCAACGCAGGCTCAGGACCGAGTAGAATCGGATCATGAGAAGGAGGGATGCGCCGGCCGTCAGTGGTTGTTTCGCCCTCTCCAATGACTGAGAGAATGTGTCTTATAAGACCTTCGATGCCTTGCATTTGACGACCAGTAGCGATCAAGACGGCCCTTTCGAAGGCTTTCGCAGCGCCGACATTGTCACCTAGGGCATATAGCATGTTCCCTTTGGCGTGAACCAGCGCAAGGATTCGGCCGTTGTCAGATCCTGGAATAGCGTATCCACTTGAACCAAAGCCAGGCTGATCTGAGCCAGGTAACTCTTCTAGATCCTTGAAAACAGTCTCGCCGTCTCCATCGAAGAATTCAAAAACTGGTTTGTCGGAGACTTCGGAGATTGCTGGAGAGTGGCTCATGGATGTCGACCTTTCACTTTGAACATCGAGGTTCTTTGATAGTTCCCTGCTCTTGAAGTATTTCAAGGATCGCTCTACGTGTTCGATAATCTGTACAGCCTCTTTCCCTCGATGATCTGTGCACAGAAGACCAATCAGATGTTCAACAGCTTCGAAATAGCTAGGACGTAGTTTGACCGCGCGAATCCAATACTGCTCGGCGTCTTGTTTTCGCTGGAGCGCGAGTAGCGTTGCGGCTAGATTAGAGATTGCTTCAACATGGCTATCAATTGATCAGCAGTGTCCGAGTGAAGCGGTCGGGGTTTACTTACTCCGCGTCAAGATCAAGTATTCGAGAATACCATCCGAGGGCCTTCTGATAATCTCCAAGTGCATAGGCTAAACATCCCCCAAGAAGCATGCCGTCTATCCATTTCCAAGAACTTTCACTACAGTGTTTTGTGATTGACTCAAGAGCGGAAGTTGCGGCAGCATTTGGAGAAACGTTGGGTTGTAGTCCGGTAATCGATCCTGAGGTCCGTCGTAACGTGCGAGCAGAATCGTTCATTTGGCCATGTAGTTGCATTAAGCCAGGACTTGCCATTTGCTGTTGCCAAGAGGCTCGCCGTTGAGCTTCGGGATCCCTTTGCTCGGCCGGACTTGGGGACCACAAAGAAGATGAGCGACTGTGAGATAGCGATGGTCGCTTCTGTCTATTCTGGAAGTTTGGATCATCACGTTCGGCGCTGACCGCTTGGGCCAAAGTGCCAGGATTCGATATGCGCCTGTCATAAGTCTTGCCGGAGTTGTTAGTATTTGAGGAGGAGAAATTAGCCCCAGGCTGGCGAGGAGGTTTTGGATAGATGTTTGGACGAGGCGGTTGCCCGTTTGCGTGTCGACTTTGGGCACTGGCTCTCCTTGTTTGTTGTAAATACTTTAAGAGATCAATGTAGACCGTGTGAGCCCAGTTGAAGACCCTCTCCCGCAACTGCGCATTGCTTGAATGAGGTCCAAATTCGGAGATAGGCGTAGAAACAGGTGTGAGGTCTGGTACTGGTGTTGTTTGGCCAGATGAATGTGACGAGTGGACGTCGAGCGGGGTATGTGATGCTCGCTGTCTAAATTGAGTATTGAGATTCAGGTTCTGATATTCTGGTCCTTGGTTGCGTCCATGGTGATAAGAATGATGTGTTGGTTCACTATTTCGTAAGCTATATGGCAGCGGGTGGTCCAGAGTAGCACCGTCGATGTTGTACGAATTTCCGGGCGGTACCGGTGTTGATCCCGGAAATGGAGTTTGTTGCAAGAGATTGACATTCGGTACTGGAGGATTGAATACTTGCCAATCTCCCATGCCTTTGCCGAGATAGCCTTGCTGATGCGCCGAGCTCCAACTTGATGCGGGATGATGATAGTAGCGTGGATCACGCATAGCGGCAGGCCTGTAGGGAATAAATGTTCCATCGTACCAGTAAGGTCCATAAGGGCCTTGATCATTAGACACTGTTGGAGCTAACTGCGTGTGCAACTGAAGGTCCATTGCACCACAAAACTGCTGGCCATAGAAGCGATACATAAGATCCTGGTCCGCTGGCAGCTGATTTAGCATTGAGTCAAAATTTGGCAAGGTGTTCTGTGAGTTCGTCCACGAGTTCTTGCGAGCATCCCAATTGGCAGACTGGGGGTCTTGGTTCACTGGACCGTAGGTATTGAACGCTGAAGCAGGCGACCTTATCGGTAAATTCTGTGTCGGACCATATGGAAACACTGTTGAATTCAAGAGGGTAGGTTCGTCAGCCGTGACGGGTAGCAAAACGTGCTTGGATGCGTGTGGCCTTTCTGTCTGCTCGACTGAGGTTCCGTCGTACGAGGCTGCCAGGATCCCATTTGGTGTCTTCCGACGAAGCATATGCTCCGGATGCTTCACTTCCACCTGACCCTGGTCCGTCTGTTCTGTGTATTGCGGGTGTGAACTTATGCGCTGGAGGGGGTGGGCATACTGCTGGGGCATCCGAACATGCCCAGCACTCCACTGTTCGTGACCAGGGACATTTCGGCGTGCAGCGGAGCGCGGAGAGATGGGGAATGAGTCGTAAGGCACAGCGGGCGTGTTAAATGTGAACAGCTGCGTTTGCTGTGTAGGGAGGGGTGGATATTGCCGGACCATCGTCATGGTGTAATGGGATGCCTAGTGCACGCTTCAAGATGAGAGGGCTGGATCAATAGGGCTCCCAGGACAATGGGGACGGGCCTCCAACTCGTACAAGGCTCTTTCACCGAGACCGGCTGGTGCCTATGCCTTTGCGAAGTTGTCTCCCGTCGCCGGTGCATGACATTTCAGGTTATTGTGCCCAAGGCAGGTGGCTCCAGGCGCCCCAAGACCGGCTTGTCACCAGTTCAGGATCCCAGGATGCAGAAGAGGTCCCAGCAGGCGGGTGGCAGACGGGTGCAGCGTCGCAGCAGCAACGGGCCGTCCGATTAGCGACCCCCAGGCTCTGGAGAGCGACACGAAGCGTGAGGCGGGCGAGGAGAAGACAGAGTGTCAGAATTGAGGCCGGTGAGGACAGCACGCGGGATGCGAGGTAGATGCAAGGGAGTGGACAGCGTGCCGTCTGACGCAACCGGGGCGGCTGGGCGGGAGCTGTGCAGCGGGAGAAACGGTGAGGCACGCTCTCAGGCGACGCGAGCTGACGAGGCCGAGGGCTCACTACTTGCAGCGATGGAGGATGAGTGAGGTTTTACGTGGAGCGGGAGCAGGCGTCTACGGTCACACAGCGGTGACGGAGGCGCAGCGGCGCGACTGGAGAGCGCCCTGCCAAACGGCAACGAGACACACGGATAGCGACGTCGACTTGGGGCTCGAGCTGGCGTGTCCAGCAAAGCGTACTAGGCGCGGTGGGGAGCGGACGAGGGCCGTGAGGGTGAATGTATATGAGATGGCCGTGCAGGCCTGCTGCAGCTGGCTCGACATGCAACGATGTCACTAAAGCGGGCGGACTTGGGGGGCTAGCGACAGCGTCAAAGAGCAGCTCTGGCTTGGGAAAAGCCTGCCGCCAGGCGTTGCGCGACCCCGGCGTGCACCAGCGAGAATGCTGCAGGTGGCTTGCCCCAGCCGTGGGGCGCCAAAACGGGGGCAGGGGCTGCGAAAACACGGCACCGTGCTCTCCCCCAGGTGCGAGGGCATGGCTGCTTGCAGCCTCTCGATGCGCCGTCCGTTGCTGTGCCGTCTTCTTCCAGGTGCCCCAGGCGCCGTCCCCGTTGCTGTGAGCCGTCCTCTCGCCATGCGCTCGCCGACTCGGGGTCGTGGAGTGCGTGTTGGGCGGGCAGAGTGGCTCCACCGGTCCTGATATTCTGCAGCTCCACACGCCCGCCCTGTCGACGGGTGCAAATCACAATAACGAGCCCAGCGTCGTCGCGGCGGCCGGCCATTGTGGCGTGCGCCCCAGACGCCATCGACCAAGGAGAGCGGTGCATGCCTGCGCGGTGGCTGACGCCGCCCTCACCACCCCGACCAATTCATTCAACGGCGATCGCCCGACTCTTGGGGCCACACCAACGCGGCCGCCATCACGGCCTCTCGCGCCGGCGACGCTGCTGGTGCTGGTGCCTGTGCCAACCATGGCGTGGGGAACATGCAGAACTGACCGCACATCTGGCCCAACTAGTAAGCTTGCCGTGCCGGATCAAGCCGGCTGCAAAATCCGCTTGCAAATTTCATGGGTAGCGATCTTCTGCTCATCCGGCATATAGACTTTCTGTCGTTTGTACGGTGGTGGGGCAGTGGTGTCGATGCAGCTTCGATCTGAGAGAAAAGACGATGGAATGCTTAGATTGGTTTGGAGTTGTGTTTATATATAGCTGATAGATCGAATAAGCCTGAAACGGTATCGGTCCCCATGGGCTGTCAAGGCATCCTTCGCCTATGCCGTGCAGCTGTGCCGCATGCCTGTCAGCATTGCTAACATCAGATCGCCAGCTGCAGAAAATGCATGAAGGTGGCATGTAGACCGTAAAAGATGGACCACTGCACCCACGCCCGAAGGACAGGATGCCGCGGTGAGTAGTAGGTCTGATTTCCTCTCCTTTGCACCAAAATAGGCCTATACCATGGTATGGTCCAATCCAGAAGGAAAGGGGTAAGGGCCAGAGTGTTGGCAAAGGAGTTTCAAGTATGTCACAGTATCAGCTAAGAGTAGATGGCATGTAAATGGCAGTTTAGTGAAGGTAAACGGAGTCTGACAAAGCATGAGGATGACAATGCTTGAATAGATCTGCAGCATTGCCCCACATATCCTCAAACCTTTACCAGATGCCGTTTCTTATGTGGGAACAGCCCGGCTGTGCTAGAAAACCAGTCTTTGCCCCGGGAATAATGCCGTGATGTTTCAAATGGGAACATATAAGCCTTGGCAATGAAGTCAGACTGAATCTCCGTAGGCTCAAAAACTGTTCTATGCTGTGAGGTCAGTCTGAAAGAGTGGTATTGAACGATGCTTGCTCTCTTTCCGAGTCTTGTCACGCGCAGTGAATCGTTGACGAAACATAGGAAACGTGAATTCAATGAGAAAATGCGACAAAGTTCCCTGTGAAGAGCAGTGGGTCAGCAAGGTGTACTATGACGGGAAAGGCGACAAGCGTATCAAGGGAACAAACATAAAGAAGCAACAACAACGAACAAGACGCAAACAAAACGAAGAGCGATAGGTGGCTTACGTATTGATGTCTGCAAACAGGTTGCAGAAAGCTAGGCTACTAATTGAGATGCTATGGCGAATCCAAATGATGCCAGTAACGATGTATAGCAACACACAATGCATTTAGTCGCATCAAAGCGTTGTTGAGGGAGGACAGAAGGCTCCTCTGGCGATGGGAAGATGGAGGAGATGAGGTTGAAAATTTCGGTGTGAAGAAGGTTCCAGGACTTGGCACGCTAGAGAACCGAGCTTACCTAATTAGTCATGGCGTTCCCAGATTGGTCCGTGAACCTTAGAAGCACCTCACCTGCATAGATCGACCAATCTGGACTGTCTGCAAGGCTTCGATACAGCTCGAAAGATCTGGACAGAATGTATCTAGGGTGTATATCATGATCTGCAAAGACGCCGGGCCACCTCATATATCATTATACGCCACTAAAAAGGGATCTTCAATGTATTGCATGTCGAATTTCCACCAGCTACGGTGCATTAGCTACTGATCGCTACAACCATGACTGAAATGCTTCATCGAAACGTTGGCGTATTGCGAAAGCCGTGAGGACCAGTACCATAACTCCAGCTTTATCCCATTTGAGCCATTTCCCTTTTCCAGTGAGCCTTTAACGCCGCTTACTAGCATATGTATTCCACACCGAGGCCTCGCACACGTTCAAAACATCGAACAAGCACTCATGTGCTCCACTCTCGACCTTCTATCTTCGTGTCGTCGACTTGTCTAGGTTCGCCACTAAAGGATGGAGTCCTTCCCAAATGGGAAGTCACGACAGGGGTATGAGCGATGGGAGACGTCGGGTTGAGCTCAGCCATTTGTCGCTCTGGGTAACGTTAGCAAGAATTCTGGCAGAATAGCAAGATAGCTCACCAAGTTCGCGTATTCTCAGCTTGAGCATCTGGTTCTCCCTTGTCAACGTTTGTGTCTCCGCCTGGTAGAAAGCACTCTCGTCCCTAGCATTAGCCGGAGTCCCAAGTAAGAACTCGCTGCTCTCGTTTTGACTTCCCAATGCTGCCGACACGGGCCGAATAGCAGGCGAGCCTGCGTGGCTGCTGCTCTGGGACTGGTTGTGGAGGGACGATTGCCGGGACGGGCTGTTGTATGCTGGCAAAGGCGAGCGAGAACGAGGGATCAAAGGACTGGCTTGTGGGTGTGACATGTTCTGCTGTGAAGCGTATCCAGAGCGAGGAAGCGACGGCGAGCGTGTCGGCTGTGGAGGGCCGTCATCGATGACAGCTGAAGAAGAGTGGCTTGGGAGGGCGTGACTGGTTCGCTGGTTGCTGAGCGCATGGTGCTCTTGGCGGATCATGTTCAGAAGGCGGTTCTATGGAATGGGGTCAGTTGCAAGGTCAGAATAAGGTTTCGTGTTCGGTGGCGGCGATACAAGACAGCAGAGGGTCTTGAGGATCGTGTGACAAGCTACGTACCACCTGGCCTTCCTGCTCAGACTCTAGTTCCTGATGCAGCTCTCCCAGACTCGGCGCCCGCTCGTGATGGGGGCTGGGCGGGAAGCCTGGGGCGCGGGTTCGTGTCGAAGGGCTCATCGGTTGCAGCTCTCCTGGGGACGGTAGTGTGGGGTCTTCCCGTTGCACTACTAAACGCACTGAAGAGCGTCGGCGAGCGCGTTCTACCTCGCGACGCATGGGGCTACCAGAGGGCCGGCGTGACTCTTCGTTCTGCATGCCAGCGTTCATGGCAGCCGCGGCGACGAGCGAGCGGGGCGGCGAGTGGGAGGTGGGCGGCGTGGCAGGCCTGGGGGCGCCATCGCTGCTGGGGATTGTTTGGGCCATTCGGGTCTGCAGTGGAGATGCAGAGGTGGATCGTGGAGGAGGGAGCGAATTGATGTCGGGCATAGCTAGAGCTGCGCAGCGGCAGATATAGCAACAGCTAAATGATAGGCCGGCACAGGTGCATAGGACGGAGGCGAGGACCGGGGCGGATGGGATTCAGGAATGACGATAGAGTGGCATTCTGGTGGAGAGACACCTGGCGTGTGGGGTGCTTTGGGCACGTGGAGCGCATAAAGAAAGCCCCGGTGATGCAGGCACGACGCATGCGCCAGGCAGAGGTCCATCGCAGACCGGCGGCTCGCTCTCCGCCAGTTCGAGCCAAGCCGGCCCGCGCAGCAGCTGACGGCGGAGCGGAGAATTTAGGACGGCGATGGCGATGCTGGATGGGCCTGGTGGTGTTGAGTGTCGTCGGTGCTCAGTGCTGGCGGCTGTGATTGCCAGTGCATCCGGTGGATACGCCCCAGCGCTGCCCATAGCGGCCCCAGCCGCAAAATATTGGGAATAGAGGCCGGAGGATGGGGTATAGCGGCGGCAAGATCGGGCATAGCTGCTGTGAAGGATCGCCTATGCGGCAGCCAGGAGGTCGGCTCGCGCGCCGTGCGGGCTTCGAGGGCCTTCAGGACCTCCCGGCCCTTTCAACCTCTTCCACTGTGCCTCTCAGTTTCTTACGGCCCATCTCTTCCTCTTCCTCTCGCCTCCCCGGACATGTCCTCCACGCTCTTTTGAACTGTCGCTCTTTTCAGCCGGCCTCGCGCCATACCACACTCGTTATACCACTAGAGTCCTGCATCTCTCGTTTCCGGCCAGCTCCTCCCACAGCATTCCAGACGAGACACGGCCGCCCGTTCGCGGTCCCTGGCGCTTCATGCTCACATTGTCTTCGCTGCATTGATCGAGCCGGTCTTCCGCCAGTCCTTCCTTGTCGCCGTTTTCGTATCATCCCGTGGTATAATAGCCGTGGCATAGTACATACCTCGAAGTTTACGGCACGGAGACTCCCCCGCCAAACCTGCAGCACTAGCCTCGCCGCACCAGCCTCGCCGCACCACTAAGGCTCTGCTTCTGCTGCTACGCACTCCCGCTGACGTCTTCCATTTCCCTGTTCGATCCTGGTCTATTTAGAAGCTTGTATGTTTCACGAATCCTCGTGATCCTCCCCGGGTGACTCGCCATGGCCACCGACGAGAATGAAATCCCGGCCAGTCTAGGTTCCCGGCGCAACATCAAGAATCTTCCGCCCATCCAGACGACCTTCGTCAAAGATGCTCCCCCAGCTTCCCGCTGGCGCCGCGCCCGTCCGGCTCTAGATCAATCGCGTGTGCCGTTGAGCCCTGCTCCCTTACCGAAGCCTGCGCCGACGAAACCTGCTCCAAAGCTTGAAAAGCGGCAGTCTAAGATGTCTCTATTTAATCTCTTCAGTCGTCCCAACGTTGAGAAAGCGAGAGGCCACCACGAGTCCGGTCTCGCGGTGCCCATGGAGTCACCAACGTCACCTTTGCCAACTCCCCCACCCAAGTCACCCATACGGCACATTTCAGTCCATCCAGCGCCTGCTCGACCTCAACCCGAGCGGACACTATCAAAGTCGCAGAAAGGCTCCGTTGTCAAACGTACACGACAACCTATAAATTGGGACCCCCCGCCGCTCTTCCAGGCCTACCCTCAATCAATCAAGCACGCAACCTTGCAGGCTTGCACAGCATCTCCAGATGTTCTCATCCGCTCACATAGCCAAAGACAGATGTACGAAGCGCAGCAGCAGAAGCTTGAAAGCAAACAGGACCTTTCCATGCTCGAAGGGGATGCAGACATCAAGAAGTTTGACAAAGGGAAGACAGCCCATAAGAGACTAGTTTCTGCTTCCATTATGAACCCGCCCGATCTAACTACCAAGGTATATGTCTTGGTTACATCAGGATACGTACTACAATACGCCGGCGAGGGCCCCTCGGACCGGCTCCCAGAGAAGATTCTACAATTAGGAACGGAATCAGCCGCATTTGCCTGCGATCTCATCCCAGGAAAGCATTGGGTGCTACAGATATCTCAATCGGCGAAAGAGGATGGGACGGTATCATCGTTCCCTGCGAAATCTCTGTTGTCACGCCTGCGGCTACAAAGTTCCGGGGCTAAGAGGACTGCCTCGAGCTTTTTTCTGATCATGGAAAGCGCCGAAGAAATGGATACATGGCTCACAGCTGTGCGAAGAGAGATTGATACATTAGGTGGGATGAAATGCAGGACAGAATCCGATCCTCTCCCTAGCACCGAACCTGCTGTAGAGACAGGGTTGCGACACAGACCTAGCCATCGCTATAACGTCCATCGTGATCCCAATCGCTTCGGAAACAGCCAGTCTCCCATTAACTCTCCCGTCCAATCACCTATCGATTCCCCCATCATTGTTACCCAGAACTGGGAGGGTAGCCGTCATCGAAAGCCGGCAAACAGCTCTGACAGTACTTCCATCAACTCATCGAGGCACACATCCGTAAGACAATCGACAGAGACGTCTTCGATTGCTACCACCATCACTTCGAATGATCAGCTTCAATTAAATCAATTGCGAGAAAGCTCGAGACTTTCTTATGTCTCAACCGGCACTTCGGGCACGGGAACGATGACAGTGACGACATCTCGTGGCTCCTCGCCCGCGACCTCTCCTCGTGTTGATTCTTTCCAAAACGCCGAATCGGAGGCTCCTCGAGCGGCCACTTCTCTAAGATCATTCCATATGAACCCTAATTCCATCTCCAACAGGAGAAGATCCATGCAAACTTTACCAAACGCAGTTTTACCAACAACAAATGAAGACCATTCATCTTCCACGAACCCTCGTGTTAGACCTCAACGACACTCAACTTGGGGGCCTCCGCAAGACTATAGTCCGCGAGATGTGCATGTACCAACCATTGAAGGCTCACTCGCAACAAATTCTCCAGCCAAATCCCAGCGGCATTCTATTTGGGAGGCCCCACCAGGTCACAACCAGAAAGACGTGCATATACCTGCGTCCGCTTATTTCAACCGCTACCGGGGTAACTCGAATATCTCTCCTGTCAAACCTAACGCTGCCTCGAGGAGTTCAAGTGCACCACCAGTTAGACAATCCTCGCTTCCTCCTCCACCAGAGAGTCCCATCATCGGTAGTGTTCGACCCCAATCTCAAATTGGAGGTCTACCGACTATACTCACTTCATCTACTAAATCCTTAAATCGACTATCTGCAACACCGAAACCCTTCTTTAGGCCACTTCCGATCCGGACGCAGGACGCCTCTGGGCCAGTCGTCATCCCACGACGGCTCTCGTCCCTGGGACCTCCGCCTGCATCTATTGCTGCCGCAATATCTCGCTCCGTGTCCACGCCAACACTCTTAGCTCCATCTTCTTCTCCGCCCCAGACACAAGTTTCTCAGACCCCTCCGCAGTCACTCCGCCGCCCAACAAGCATGCAGATCCGCGCCGATCACGCCCCGTTTCTGTCATCTTCCAGACCTACTGCTGCTGCATACAACCGTTCCGTAGCCACTACTACATCTTACCCCTCCGTCAATCGATCCTCCTCCAGTCTTGGCATGCACTCTGCTGCATCTCTCTCAGTACCTCGCTCTCGCGTCCAAAACCGCAAGTCGATGCCTGTCATGGGTCTTCCACCACCGGCTCCACCACCAAATATGCCTCTGCCGCCCCCTCCTCCCATGGCACCAGCCGTCCGAGTATGATCTAATCAATTCCCACTGACTACTTCTGCCTTTGCACAGCTGAAAAAGTTTTCTTTTCTTGCCATTTGTTCAAAATTGTTCTCCTAGGCGTTGGCGGGAAGGCGAAAGATGGAGAACGGTACGGCTCACATAGGCGCAACCTGCCATGTCCATTAATGTATTACGTTTCGGTTGAGGGACTGGCTGACTTCCATTTCTGATTTGGGGTTCCGTTGTGTTTTCTGCATTATACCTCATTGTTCAATTCAAATCATCTAGTCCAGATTTCTGCGTCACCTAGGGGTCACCCCCCTTTATCCTCTTTCTGAGAATTTTATTCTTCGGCGTTTCGCGCTTGTGTCGATTACGACTTCGCGCCTATGATACCACCCGTATCAAAAATCATGTTTCGTCTTTCTCTCAGCTGTTTCTATACGGATGACGTAGGCAGCGTTATGGCGAAGACGGCATGGCGATGTATGATAGACGGAATCTCAAACACAGGGGTACCATTTGCGAAAGCATCTCAGCACATTGCACATCATCTGAATCACGAATGAAGTCTGCGAGTACAGTCTCAAGCTGTGCTGTTGACGGCAGTTAGCTGAACTAGACTGTAGATTAAGTCCTTCTATTCTAGGTGTATCTTTAGGCACCGATCAACGAGAGCAAAAAGTGGGCATGATAGCCTAAAAGTTTGCTAACCCCTTCACCCCATCGAGGCACTCCACGAGTCTATTTGCATGCTTCGTTCAGCTGTCATAGATTTCGCACCCGGTTCACAGTTTTTGGATACCGCAGTTCTGATTTAGGCCTGAAGTCCCGTGGCCTCTGATCCCCATCGTGAAACCAGGCCTTGAATCCATACGGGCATGTTATGTATCATGAAATGTCTCCACACCTCCACACTGGGTGCATGCCAAGAGCCGCTTTTAGGACTGCTTGAGGAGTGGTAGGGGTTCTCATTATTCGGCCACACGTGAAAGCTACAATGTAGATATCAATGTATAGTAGCAAGTATGCTCAGCGCCACAATCCATACAGCGTCAAGTTGCAAATAAAATATCTGCGGTAGTCCCAATAAGATCCCACCGCTAGAATAGATTTACATGGGTCGGTCTTCTTCCCGAACTTCCGAAGCCGCAAAGTCATCACCATCACCATCACGATGCATCCCAGAACACACTTCTTTCAAATTATTCTCTACTTATCATGAAAACTATCCTAATTACTGGCGCAGGCGGATTCGTCGGCCAAACTCTGGCATCCAAGCTACTCTCCGTCTACGAAGACGCCAGACTCGTCCTTGCCGATGTCACCAAACCTCCCAGTCCTCAACCATCGTCTAGCCGCATCCAATGTGTGGCTTCCGACCTGACCGATTCGGCAGCATGCAACTCTCTACTTGAAGTCTCTCCAGATGCCGTGTTCATATTGCATGGCATCATGTCGTCAGGCGCCGAGGCCAACCTAGAATTAGGCCTGAAGGTGAACTTCGACAGCGTACGCAACCTGCTAGACAGGCTCCGGCACACCAAACCAGGCGTCAAAGTCATCTTCACGTCTTCCTGCGCAGTGTTTGGCAAAGCTGCCACCGAAAAGCTTGCGACCGAGGTCGATGTCGTCCCCATGCCGGAAACCTCGTACGGCACGCAAAAGCTGATGATCGAGTTTCTCATCAACGATTACTCCAGGAGGGGACTAATTGACGGCCGCGTCGTGCGTTTGCCGACCATTTTCATACGCGCCGGTGCGCCTACTGCGGCCGCCTCGTCGTTTGTCTCCGGCATCGTAAGGGAGCCGCTACATGGCCAAAAGAGCATACTTCCTGTAGATCCTACGATAGGAATTTGGTTGTGTTCTCCAAGAACGCTAGCCCACAACTTGGTTCATGCAATGGAGCTCAAAGCAGAAAAATTTGGGCACTTCAGGACCGTTCTTCTTCCTGGTTATACTGCAACCAGTGCGGAAATCCTCGATGCTTTAGAAAAAGTCGCCGGCAAGGAGACCAGGGCCTTGGTAGAAGAAAGAAGAGATGAGACCATTCAAAGGATATGCCTTGGATGGCCTGCAAAGTATAATACATCAAGAGCAAAGAGCCTAGGATTTGCGGACGATATAGGGCTAGAGCAGACGATTAAGGATTTCATTAAGTCTGACATTAAAGGGTAGACCTATCTGAAAAAATCAATCGATGAGAAGTCTTCCTTTCTCGAAGCATTCTCCTAACTACCTTTGTCAGCCACCTGTCGAAGTCTTTATCTCAGTACTGATTCAGGCCCTTCATATTACCAGTACCACCGGTATGTACTGTCGCTATCCAACATACCGCATTTACCCCAGATTCCCAGTACCAGGATCCTAACCCGACAACGCATTGAGGTAGGTGTAGCTTTCCTGCAACCGCGAGGTAGCCGTGAGCTTTCAAGGAGCCGGATATTGTACCCCATGCATGTTCACGGGTAACCTCACCGAATGTCTAAAAACAACATAGTGTCCAAGAAGTTCTCGTGCATTTACCAATACTCGCAGGAGTTCACCATCACCACCAATTGTTTGTTGGTTAACCCCAGGTTTCCCCGCACTCTATGCTATGGCATAATGTTGTCCGGCCTGTAGCCATACGTCTTCGCGAGGAGCCTAGTGACTTCAGCGCCATGTGTGGTCCTAGGACAAGGTCTAAAAGCCTCTTTATCATGAGACTCGAGTCTTGTGTTGGCATGTGCATAGAATTTACGACTACTCCATACTAACGAACGCAGCAGGTCTAAGTTTCTCGGTTCATATTATCCACATGTGCTGAATAGACTTAAGATGCATATCTTCTCTTACACTAGCAGTGGTTAATCTCTTTCCTTTCTCCATGGTTCTCTCCACGTCTCAAATTTCTAGCCCGTATCTCCAGACGCCCATTCCAGTATGGCGGACACCAAAGAAGATCTCCCAGCTGGCACGGTCTCTCACCACGAGATTGCACCGGAAGCCGAAAAGCCGCAGCTGTCCCACGAAGAAGAACTTAGAGGTCGCGATTTCACCATATCGGAGAATGACTTACCCAGAGGCTACTTCCGAAGTGCTAGCTTCCTAGGGTCCATGTTTGCAATCGGCCTAAGCTTTGGCTGCGGTGTTGGCGGGTTTACGCTCGTAGCGCCCATTCTAGGCTTCATCGACGCGGATATTGGGCCGGATCCGAACTTGACTTGGGTCGCTATCAGTTATCTCCTTACGAACTCCGTCGGGCTGATGCTGGTGGGCCGTTTGAGTGATTTGTTTGGTTCGCGTGGCTCTTGCCATTGACTCTGTCGGTTCTAACTCTTTCAGGGCGCCGTTGGTTCTTCATCGGTGGCAATATTCTTGCTACTCTGGGTTGCATTGTTGCCGCAACAGCTCCAAATATACCGGCGCTCATTGCTGGAGAAACGCTGATCGGTCTCGGTGCTGCTTCGCAGCTTTCATACGCCTGTAGGTGTCATCAAACGAAACATCTAAAGTACTTGCTGATAATGCCGCCCAAGTCGTGGTTGGCGAGATTGTCCCTACGAAATACCGATTCTTAGCTCAAGGCTACGTGTATGTCCTAAACTGTTGGGGTCGCATTGAGATCAACACTAATATGCCCTAGGTTTCTCTGGGGTATCCCGTTCAGTGGCTTTGCTACGGCTATCGGTTACGCCTTTGTGTTCCAGTCTAGCGTTGGGTGGAGAGGTGTATTCTATGTCCTCATAGCCATGAACGTTGCAAGCACTCTTGCTTGGTTTCTGTTCTACAGGCCACCGTACGTGCTCCACATGTCCCACCAGTCATGCCAAACTAATGCTCGACTAACATATTCAACATGAAGCACTGAAAGGGCCGCAAGACACGGTTTCTCAAAGATTTTGATTACATTGGGACATTTATCGGCGTCCTCGGCCTCATACTCCTCCTGATGGGCCTCTCATGGGGTGGCGCGCTGCACCCATGGAAAGTTGCACACGTCATATTCACCATCGTCGTGGGTTTCGTCCTCATGGTTGCTTTCGTTCTCTACGAGACGTTCGGGAACCTCAAGGAGCCTCTGCTTCCTATAAGACTGTTTCGGAATACCGGATGGGTGATTACAATCATTCCTTGGGCCCTCGGAGCGGCAGTCTACTACGCCCTTGCCATCTTATGGGCCAGCATGGTAGCGACGTTGTACTCGGGTGGCCATTCAGCGATGTGGGCCGGCTGGAGGAGCTGTCTTTCGAACTGCGGCATTCTTTTCGGAGAATACTGTGGCGCATGGGGAAAGAGAAAGACGAACTACCAGATCATGGTCGTTTTTCTGATAGGAAGCGTCCTCTTAGCCTGTAAGTTCTCGATATATCTAACTTCGCTCATAGTCTACATGCTAACCACCATCATCTATAGCAATGGCAACCTGCAACCACGACACGCCCGTCCGCGCCATGGTCCTCGTCTTCCTCGCCGCAGCCTTCATCGGCTACAACGAAATCCTCAACTCCACCGTCGCGACCATCGTCATAGACGACCAACGCGAAATCGGCACAGCAACCGACATCGCCGGCTCGGCGCGCTCTTTCATCTCCACTATGTGCTCCAAGTGCGTTGATGCCCCGTCTCCTCTACTAGATATCGAGACAAACACTCACACCCACAGCGTCTACACCGTCGTTCTCACAAACCGCCTCGCCGAAACCATCCCCGCGAGAGTCCCCGCTGCTCTCCTCGCCGCCGGCCTCCCCAGCACGTCCATCATTGCCTTCCTTACTGCAATCACAGCTGGCACGCCTGCGGCTTGGGTAGCGGTGCCGGGTCTCACGCCCGGTATTAAGCGATCGGCGTGCGCGCTTACCAGGATGCGAGCTCGTCGGCGTATAGCACAGTCTTCTTGACCACGATCGCGTTCTCGGGGATCGGTGTTATGTGCTCCTTCTTTGCGCCGAATGTTGACCATTTGTTGAGCAAGGATGTGGCGGTTACGTTGCATGAAAGAGGGACGGAGATGGTCGTTGGGGGATCGGATGGTGAAGGGAGAGGGGAAGGTGTAGATGTTGATTCTTGGCCTAGCTACGTCTCATGAGGGACTGGGTCGCTGACTATTCGTCTTGATCGGCTGCTTATGTTATACGGCCTTCATTACGAGGAAGCGACTTAAAATGTGAGTATCTTGGGCGTGAATCAGAGCTGATGTATTCGAAATCAATGGTCTGAAACGGATATCGAAGAAGCACCCGCTCCTAGCACTACTCAAAGAGGTGTGATTACTCCAAACCATGGGCAGGGAAAGACGCCCTTGCGATGTTCGCTCGTAGCTAAGGACAACGAGGGTGATGACGATCTTGGACATACACATATCTGCCGCCGGGGCCGCACGTCAATATCCGGGGCTTCCGCAATCGCAGCAGTTCCCGAGTATGTTGGAAGAGTGCTTGAATACCAAATCCTAGATCCGTCGAGTCTCCTCCAATCTGCATCAGCATGATGCATCTCGAGCCGTCACCGGGAGACGTCACGATCCCGGACACAGATGTTTACATTGCCGGCAACGCAACGGCAATATCGGCATCGGTACGAAAGCTTCAGCACGACGCAGACGCCTACACGTCCGAACGATAGCTGGACGAAGGCCTTGAGCCTTGCGAAAAAATGGCCTACTTTCCGTACTCATTCGACCCGTGTTCGTGTGTTGGTGAGCATGTAGCGTACATAGACCTCTACAAGGTTATTGCGGCGTTTGTGCGGTACTTTGATATGTCGCTTGGTTCGCAGTAGGACTCGAAGACGTATATGCCCTCGATAGAGGACTCGATCGTTGTGCTTACGAGTCGGGCAGGATAGCTTGTGGTTGTCGATGGCGCTGAGCCTTGGAGGTGTAGGTAGTTGGAGGTTGCGACTTAGACTAGGAGCGCATTATGTTCGTGAAGGCAAGCACAGCGGCTTAGTGACGCTTTGTAGACATCCTTAATGAAGACACTATAAGTTTTCCTTTATTAGCTAAGAGCATAACCCAGGTCTAATCATCGAGTCCCTTGCTATTGTGTGTTCAAGGTTCGTTTCGTGGATAGTGAAGTTAGGACTTGATCAGTGAAATGCTACGACAAAAGAAGGATTCGAAGAACTGCTTTTAGTGTGCCTAAAAGCTGGTATGGAAGGAAGTATTGCTCGTTGCTGTCGGACAAGCAAAAACTGACGCATGGCTTCAAAGGAAATAAGGAGAAAGAACGAAAGAGCGAGGAAAGTTGAGAGGGATCCCGTTGGAGATCAAGATGACTATAGTTCCAACTACAGGTTTATCTGTCCACAGTCGAAGATCGTATGCTTCAGTGACGAGAAAGAAAGTCTGTTCGTCAATAACGGCACTGTTAGTCTGTCCAGCTAGGAAGACGAAAACCCCTTCAGGCTGCTTGATATTGCTCTCGCAATCTTCAGCACCACTCAAAATTCCACTGGTCGTTCTCAACGTTCGAAAAGACTACAAGCTCGTACCACAAACCTCTCTGACCTCATGTCAACTCTTCCAGTCGTCATTCACATCCCTACCGCCCCTGAAATGAATCCCACGACAGAATTTCCCACTAACGAAGCAATAACCCCAACTCCACCAATGTCGAGCTCTGAACTGCGTCCATATTAACGGGTAACGTTCCGACGGGCTACCATACGCATAGTTTCAGCTCGCCACGCGCCGTTGAAGCCAACCTGCTTCCCACGAGTCAACGCCACCTCCCGCCCAACGCTGGCAGTGCACATAGGGGTCCTGACTCCCAGGGAGTCCCTCCCGGCTCCTGACTCTCCGTCGGCAGCAAACGCACAGTAGTCCGTCCGCGAAACGACGGACCGCACCGGGCGGAAGTTTGGTGCATTGAACCTGCCTCTACACTACTGCAGCGCACTTGTTGCTATTTCGTTGAAATCTGCTACAGCCACCTACATCATCAATCGCCCGAGTGAGGTGTACCTAAGACCCAAGCGGCGCGATAGTCAGGCTTTTCCTCACAGCCGGACTCTCACAAGCACTAGGTGCCGCATCTGCACATCCCCCACGCCCGCGACACTTCAGTCTCCAGATGCCTCCCGGTGCCTACTATTGTCGCTGGAAGGATCTCCGCAAGCTCAAACGTAGCACCCATCACACTTACCACACTCCCATCTCAATCTTACACCGCTCATTATCTAGATTGACATTATTAGCTGCGGAAAGTTCCATTGTTTGATAGCAGGCCTACCCCGGCGCTCTCCCGATGGTTAAAACTCAAATACTCAAAAGAGGCTACTAGAGGCGCTTAAGCCATGCGCTTGGCCAAGTGGGGTTTGTCACTTTGGGTACATAGGGGGGCCCACTTCCAGCCTCCGTTAACGGGATCCGGCGACGCGCAAAAAGCACCGGTGTCCGGCACCAGGCGATCGGGGCGGCCGGTGGTCGAATGGCTGTGTAGCGATATCGAGACGGGTGGACATGGAATTGTATCAATTGCGTGAAGCAGATGTTACTCGGGCCCCGTCGGGTTCTTTCAGAATAATGTGTCGATTAGCCCGTACGTAGTACGGGGCTACAAGCTCAAACGAAATACAAGCTCAACGATAACACCCAAACCGCCTATTTCCAGCGCTCTATAACTACACGTACACTAATACATATATAAATTCTCTTCTCTTAAATTTAGTAAGTATACCTAGAGTGCCCATTTTTAGAAGGAATATATATTGCATAAATTATCCCTGTATTAACTAGTAATTTTAGATATCTGGAATAAAAGTATACTAAAAATAGTAACAATGATAGAAATACTATTCTATTCATGTAGCCCTTTTAAGATATAGTAGAACCTATATAAACTCAGAGTATTCTATCTTAAAAAGAGTGATTATTTAGTAGGGTTGTGTGCTTTTACTAGGGACTAGAATCCAGTTTTTGGTGTGATTTCCGTTTTGTTTGAGCCTGTATTTCGTTTGAGCTTGTAGGCCCGTACTACGTACGGGCTAATCGACACATTATTCTGAAAGAACCCGACGGGGCCCAAGTACGACTTCGACATGATGCTGGTCGTCTAAGATCGGCTTGAGTACTCAATGCGTATGCACCGTGTGTTTGGATGCTCCGAGAAGGAGCAAGCCGCAGAGAAAGGAGACAAATGGGCTCACTACTTCGGAGTGCTTCGCGTTAGTTGGTCTGGGCCTCTGGCCAATGTGGTGTGGTGGCAGCTTTGTTAGGAGTCTGGACGACTGATTTGAGATTCCGGTGCCCACGTTGGTCCCGCTGCCAACTGTCACCCAGACGGCGTTGTCCTTCATCGGGAAAGAAGAAGGCTGATCTCGCCGGAACGAGCCAGCAGTGGAGAGCTAGGAAGAGGGTGTCGAAATTTCAGATCGTGAGAGCGGGGTCACATATTCGATTGGCTCCCTCTGCACATGAGTGGTGGATAATGTCCTTGATTCAAGAGCCGGGAAGGGCCCAAGACACTACACTATGGCCTGGAGTCAAGCGCATTCGCACGCCGCCGTTGGGTCCCGCAAGTTCGAAGACTGTACACAGCAGGATTTGGGACAGCTCGTGTTGGAAGGGTTGCATGGCAAGGGTCAGCGAGTGAATCCGTACCCACATACATATCGAGGACAGGGTGGCAAGAAAGCATGACAAAAAGCAATTAATTGCAGCAGTTGGGATCGTCGACAGGCAGCCGGGTGGACAGATGGAGAAAGTGAGCAGCGTTGATTCGAGGGCGGGAATGTCAGGTTTCAGCGGGTGCAGCGAACGTTGCAGCGACCAAGGGCCAACAGCAAGCAGCGCAGGCGCTTTCCGAAATGGTGTGGAGGACGCGGATCCGATTCGGCCAGCGTGAGATCTAACGACAACGGCCGATGCTCTCGATGCTGCACTTGGCGGCTCTCTAGTCGCGCCGGCGAGTCAGATGGCGCATTGATTTTGCGTCCGCTCGACGGCTGGGCGCGCTCTTGATGCTAGAGATGCGTGTTTGCCATCTGAAGTGCACTCTTGTGATGGCTCTGCATGCTGTCTGCCGTCTTGCTCTTATTCGTGCCGCTGGAATGCCATGCTGACTGGGCGTGAGTCGCATCCATACCTGAGAAGCTGTCCACAATCAATAGTTGGGTGGAGTCCGGGGCGCAACAGAACCTTGCCGGCGGAGTATCGGCCATGGATGGCGCTGGAGTGATTCTCAGAGCGGCGCAGCGATTAGGGAGATCTGCTAGCACCAGCCCAGAGAGGGCATAGGCAATATCCCAACGACAACGTCACCGCTGTCACGCACCGGGCGGGAGAGCAATCACGGCGCGATGGCGTGCGGCGCAGAAGCAAGCAACTGATGGGCGTGGTGGAGATGGTGGGTGGTGGGGGTGCGGTGGAGGCCGGCGAGGTCAGAAAGGGGCTGCTCGCCGCGATGATGAAGCTGAGTGCCACGATCTGCAGCCGGGCGCCGCTCATCGGGGCGGAAGGCGTGCAGTGTGATTGGCCGCACGGCCCTGTCTCATCAGGATCCAGTCCGCTCGTTAATCTTGCAAAAGCCGCGGATCTTGGGCCTTCCCGTCCCTGGAATTGGCTGCCACTCGTCCAAACTGCATTTTGCTTCTGCTCCGTGCCCCAACACCGCCCCATGGTGGTTTCAGCAGGCCTCACTACTACAGGGCGAACGAGGACAGGGCCGTGAGGCCTTGCTCGCGCTTCCCCTGACGCCTGGACGCGTGCCGCGGTGCTGGAGCTGGCCAAGCAGAGCCAGAGGCGTTCCGGAAGCGGATAGGCACGGGCGACCCTCACTGCTGGAGATTGCCGGCCAGCAGAATCGGTAGATCTCTGCGCGCTGTGTGGAGGCCGTCGAGTCCACCAGGCGGCCCGAGACCAGCAAAGCGAACAGAACGCTGCCCCGCGAGACAATGCGCACATTGCCTCTCGTGCGCCCCGCGACGTCAGCAAATCTGCCCTCAAACCGCGTTCTATTTCGTGCTACACTCAGCGCTCTCGTTTTCTGCGACTCGGAATGCAGCCGCTCGCCCGCTCGCCCTCCCTTCGAGTCGGGACGGGGCATGCAAGATAGAGTTCGCCTGCGTTTTGACAACACCCACGCTGCAAGGGCTGTCCTTGCGGCCATTAGGATGCTTTCCCTAGCACCGGGTCCTGCCTCCCGCGCCAATCCCCTCTACACGCCCGCGAGGGTCTCCTGATTAGGCCAATATCAGCCTGCCGCAAGGAAATCTCATGGTTGAGTATTTAGCACACGTTGCAGAGGCGTCGTCACTGACCTCCAGGGCCTGTGCCGCAGCCTGGCCGCACCAGACCGTGACATGCACGGGGAGTTCGCTGCTTCGGGCCCATCCTCACGCTGCCCGTGACATGCTGGTGCCGTCTGGCACGGTCTGGCAAGCCGGGTGAGATATGGCCGCCCTCACGGTCACAGCCTGCGTCTGCTCGTATCCCTGGCTGAGGGGCAGATGGTTTAGGACGGGGGAGGACCCGGCGAGCAGGAAAAGCATTGCGAAACAGTGGATCCGGGGTGGTCCCGCGGCCGTGTGCGACCAGGCCCAGGACATCTCTCCCAGCCAAACACCAGCACGTCGTGCAGAGTCCCGGTCCGTTTGGGCGGCGTGAGTCCTGAGCAACCGGCTGCGTCCCGAGCGCTGGAGGCTGTCGCCCTGTTCCAGGGCTTCATTTTGCTCAGACACCTGGATGGCACAGCAGGAGCCACAGAGGTCTTGTCGGGTCGCCGTTTGTCCCAGCACTCGGGAAGGTGCAGCATGGAGGCCACGGAGCGTGTCTGCGGTGCTCCCCTCTTGTTCCAGCAGGCTGCTGACATGCAGCGGCGGCATCCAAGCGACTCGCTCCCTCGCAGTTCACGTCGTACGCTGCGCTAAAGCCGGCGCTGGCGGTTGGTGATGACGAGCCGGCGGTTGCACAGGTCGGCGAGGTGAAAGAAACCAATTTCGCGCTGCTGGGGAGCCCTGGAGGCATCCTGGCCTCCCCCACGGGAGCTTGCGTGCATCAGACCGGCCTCAGCATCAGACAGGCCTCAGTCAGAGACGGCCATGACCTGGCCGTGGCGGGCATCCATGGACCTGTGCCGCCAGCAGTGGGCCTGATAGACAAGAACAATCTCTACAGCGCCTCAGCGAGGCTTCGTGCGCTTCCAACGAGAAATAGAGTTCGTGCTGCCGTTGCGCACCAGGTCTCTGAGTCGTGCCACCGCTCGCAAAGCCGTGCATGCAGCAGGGCCCGCCAAGGCCCAGCATCAGCAGCACGCACCTGGGGCCAACAGACGCCTCCGGGCCAGATCGGGCCGCGACATGTGGTACGTAGGGGGCAGCGATGCGAGCCCATGTCTGGCGATGCGGGTGCCGTTGTGCTGGCGACGGGTGTGGGGACGCTTTGGGCGAGAGAGGCGGGCCGATGCTCGCGCTGCAGGCGGATGCTTTCGGTCGCAGGCTTGCCAGAGGGCGTGAGGGCCAGAGTCACGGCCTGGCGGCTGGGTCTGATGCTGCAGCGGGCTGACTCGGGATTGGTGCGTGGTGCTGGATGGCGTGCGGTTCCTCGCTCGTTAAACGGCGTCGCGCACTGCTGGAACCGACTAGGCTGCCTGCGGCGATTACTGGCGAGGCTCCACCACCCCCCTCCACCACCATTCACCATCCTCCACCACACCTGGTGCCACACGCCGCTCAGCCCGCCGTCTCTCGTGCCTCGCGCGCCCTGGAACGCCCAGCACCGCTTGGAGGCTGCCCCAGCGGGCCACCTGCCACTTGCCAGCCCGCCGGAATCCGTCCAACCCCAGATCTATCTCAGCCACAGGCGCACCGCGCGCAGCAACCACGCTTCGGGGTCGCCGCGACCTTGCGTCTTGCTCCCGACGACCCAGACGGCTCTTTTTGCCTGGTATCCGTGCCGTCTCGCGTGGGGAGGCATGTCGTCCAGGGGCAGACGCTTGCGTCAGGCCACCAGCAGCAGCAGCTCGCTATTTTTGCGCCAGAGGGCAGGCCGCGGGAGGCAGAGCAGAACTCGGGACACGAGCCTGGCAAGAGCTGGGGACTGTGGAATGACGATATCCGCCGCGGCAGTCGACAATCCTGCCTCGTGGAGTCGTGGGCCGCATTGTGCAAGGCGCTGCAGTGGAGCAGCGGAGATATGGAGTGACTCCGTGGTTCGCGATCGCAGCACCGGCCAGGGATCGATATCGCTCGTCTGCCGCTGTCACGCTCGCGGCTGGGCAGCACGGCGGGCGGCGTGGTGGGAGAGACGTCAGGCCGTCAACGCCGCGCGCTGGTGCTTCCGCTCCACGCGCCAGCCTTCTGGGAGAAGATGCAGAGCACGAAGCGGGCCAATCACACAGGCCGCAGCGAATTCCAAATCACAGTCGTCGGCCCAACGTCGGCTCCCCCTCGCGGCGACCCGTTCGCCTGGCCCTGTGCACTAAGCATCGAGGGCGTCCGAATCGGGACGCGCGCGTTACCGCCCTGGGCCGAGATGCCTCTGTTGAGCATGCTTGGCGCTCGCCCGCTGCAGAGCCGACCTGGCTCGCGCCGCGGTCCCGGCATGCCGGTGCTGTTTTGCTGCCGGCGCCAGTCCCGCCCAACGGCTGTCTGCGCGAACAACCTCACGCGGTATCGTCTGCTCCGCCGCGGTTTGGCTGCCCCCGCCGGGCACCGCTCCCTCAGCACCCGTTGGTTCGTCGGCACGCCATCGCTCCTCTCTGCGCCCTGGGGCCTGATTCGCGCGCCGTGGCCTCAGCGATCCGGCGCTTGTCACGGCGATCAGAATCTGCGCTCGGTTCCAAAGCAAGTCTTTGCGCGGCGTTTGATCGCTCGCCCGTTGCCCTGCTGGATCAGAGTGACGCCCGCGCTCAACGTCGCTGGATGGCCGCGGGTGATCGCCTCACGACGTCCATCGTCGCCTCATCGCGCCGCACGACGCTCCCCGGATGCGCGGGCGCAAGAGGGCGACATGGCGGCGGCGGTGCGGGCTTTCCCTCGCAGCTGTCAGAGCAGCAGTCTGCATGCCTCCATCAAGGTGGAATGCTCGGCCGGCTGGCACGCGCACCAGCGCGTTTCCGACGTCTCGCAGCGCAGATTCCACGTCCCACGAAACGATCCCAGGTGCCACCAGGTCCGGGGAGGCTCGTCGACGCCGGCGCCCCTTGGGCCCGGCTGCTGGACGGGCCAGGTGCTCGCCCTCATTCCTCAGGCGGGCTTTATTGCGTGCATGCCCCATCGAGGGCGAGGTCCCCGACGACGAGGGTGACGACGACGAGGGGCCCGACGAGGGTCACGATGCTGGCGGCAGGGAAGGCCTCGTCCTGGGCGCGCTGAGGCCATGCCTCTGGCCACGATGATGGCGCCGCGGGCTGGCTGAGTGCGACAGGCATGGATAGGTGCTCGCGGCCAGAAGGGACCTCGTGTGGGGGGGACGTGACAGTCATGATCAATCTCATCAGGCCGTGAATCGCCCGCTAGAGGCGCCGGGCAGATCAAGGCTGCGCGCGCTCCCTTTGCGAACCCAGCGGCGGCCAAGGGCGCTGAACGGCCTCGCCAGGCGCATGGATCCCTGGCGGCGTGGCCACGCAGGCGCGGACGGCGATAGGGCGCGGCGGTGCAAGGAGAACCGCATCACCACGCCCAGCGGAGGGCCACAGGAGGCCACGGCCTGGCGGAGCGTGTCTCTGAGCATCGCGTAGCGCTGCAATTGCTGGCCATGGCAATTGCAGCAGCGGTGCCACGGTACCAGGCAGACCCAGCGGAGCCCATACCGCGCGATATGCACCACCCTGGGGCGCATCCTTCACCCGACGATCTGGTTACAGACATTCAGGCAGGCTGTCGCCCAAAGCGGCGTGGCCACCAGATACAATTAGTCGCGCGGTCGCCGCCGCCTTTCCCTATCTGCGTCTCGCCCACCCCTCCCGGATCGCCCAGGCCGCCTGCATCCCGAAGCGTGCCAGCGTGAGCAAGGCTGGCTGTACCGCCTGCCAGCAACGTCAACCGCCCCAGCAGCCCGCGCCCATGCCACCCGAGCAGTCCCAGCTCCAAACAAGCCCTAGCCGCATCGCAGACACTGAGATGCCCCCAGCCCACAGGCAATAACTCCTCCAGACGCCTTGGCGCTGCCTGTGCACCACCGCGCCCTCCTTCCCCGCTGCCAATATATACTCTCCGAGACCCACGGCCCATCTCGCTCACCGTTGGCCTTTGCCGCCGTGCTTCCCGTCCAGCCTCTTAACGCCTCGACCACCCTCGCGTCCCTCACTCCCTCTCTCCACCATAGCTCCTGTCCTGTTGTGCATTTATCACTCACCAAGGTATGTCGCCGTCACTTCCTCCTTGCAGTGCTGTTCCCCAAGCATTCACCTCCTAGCTGTAACGGGGGGACGCATAACATCGAGACCTTCGTTCCGTCGATCGTTTTCGTTCGAGTCGTCCTGTTTACGGTCGTGGACGCTGGCATCAGAGCGTGGACGTGGATGCTTGCTCAGATCACACGGCACAACCAGTCCTAACGACATCTGCAGCAATTCACCACCATTTCGACGACATCTTGTGCCTATTCTCTCTATATCGACGTTTCAAGTCATTGCATCGACAGACTGTTCCGCTTGTTGCGACTTTCTTGACATCACCCCGCTTGGTAACTAGCCTGGACTTCACTCAGCAACGTCACCACATCGCCCACAATGGTCAACCACCGACGCGGCCCTTGGTCGCAGCACGAAGACGCCTGGCTCGTTTCTCTCGTCCACCGCAACGGTCCGCACAACTGGGTGCGGATATCACAGGAGATCCAGACGCGGTCACCCAAGCAGTGCCGCGAGCGCTTCCACCAGAACCTCAAGCCAACGCTAAACCACGAGCCAATCTCGCCCGAGGAGGGCGAGCTGATCGAGAGGCTGGTTCACGAGATGGGTAAGAGGTGGGCCGAAATCGCACGACGCCTGAAGGGCCGAAGCGACAACGCCGTGAAGAACTGGTGGAACGGAGGGCAGAACCGAAGGAAGCGCAACCCTGATCGACTTGACGACGGCACCCAAGGATCGCAGTCTGTGCAGAGCAGCTATTCTTACCACCCGCTATCACGACCCATGGATCGTCGCGAGGAACATCCTGGCCAGGTCGCACATTCTTCCCTGCCACCACTGTTCAACAGGGAGATGCCAGAGTCTGCACAATACTATCCAGAGGCTAGACGGTTATCACTAAACCCTGTTTCGCACAGCCCGCAAGGACTGCAGCTCCCACCTCCACAGAGCTTCGAGCCGTATTCTGGTATGAGCGCTTCGCGTCCGCATAACCTCGAGCTTCAGTTCACTGGACCGTTTTCGGCTCATCGCAGATGGGAAACCCCAATGCCTTCACCATCTGGCTACTCGGTCGTCTCGGCAGATGGAGCGCCATCTCTAATCACAGACACTGGCTCTGAGTCCCGCTCTCCTCGAGGAGCAGCTTCCCCACTCGAGTCGACAACCCTAGCTCCTCTGGTCGGTGGCCGTTCCGAGCGCAAGAACTCCAGCACCCGCTTCTTGCCTCAATCTGGCTTTGCCATCGATGACGATGATCACACGACGATTCAGATGCCGTATGACCCGCACAAGCGCCGTGCGTCGGTACAGCTTCCTCCTCTCCAACCTCCATCGGCCGCACCCATTTTCAGGGAGCCAAACTACAGGGCTGAGAAGCCGCAGTTGCTCACCCAGCCTGCTCACCATCATTACTCTCTCCTATCGGGCCAACAGCCTCTCCCAACCTTCCGCAGCTTGGCCGAGCCAGGACGTGTACCAGACGTGCAGTCCACTAGCCCGCTCGCGAGGCAATTACCCTCGCCATACGCTTTGCTGCCTCCGGTGAAGAAGTCTCGAAGCGCACCAGCGAGCCCAAGAGAGGGCAGCCGCGACCAGCGCATGAACCTCTCGACTATGCTTTCATGAAACCAATTCTTGTATTATAGCAAAGGCACATCACCAGCGATGGCACCATCATCAACTACACCTACACTTCCTGTTTATGATTTGGAATTATTTAAGCGAGCGCAGCGAGCGTCTAGCGATCTAGGATCGAAGCTGCCTACTCATCCTTCCTCTAGCTATAGTCTCATATTTCCGAGGTTAGGGATAACCAGTTTGTAATCTAACAAGATAGCTTCCTTTCTCGCTTTCATTTTGCAATACCCCTAAAACTCCTCCTGTTTCAATTTCTTTCTTTTTCACTTTTAGCAGTCTGGAATTAGACGGCTTTGGGCTTTTGCGATGACGGACTGGATTGGGCTGGATTGGCATATACCCCCTTAATGTAGGACACACTAAAAAACTTCTCATCAAAGAATGGGAAACATCGGATTTGGATCGGGGCGAGAATTATGGTTCTCCTGTTTCACTTGACGAGGCGTTTTGTGCGAGCGTGGCTTTGCTTCTTCTCTCATTGGCGTTCGGGGCGGGCTGAAGGGAGGCAGCGCGATGGGAATTAAACGGCACCGGGCCGTTTGAGTGGGCACTATTGAACCAGTCTGATTCATGGATATGATAGCCCTACAGCCAACTAGACAGCCAGTCGGTTGTATTGGTCGAACTTTAATCGAGGCGATTCGCCGCTATGACACGAAGCTCATCTATCTACAAACTCTCTTGGAATTACGTGTGATTTGGTGAAGCAGGAGTTGCTACTCCAAGCAGCGATCCTAGCCGTGCCGTCAAAATCACTGGCAGAGGTGCTACAACAGGCTCACTCCACAAAGAAACGGAACGGACGGCGCTGGTGAAACTGCTTACCCCCGACCGAGAGAGCCCCGTCAACCCTTCTCCCGCAAACCTACCGCAGCGCAGTGCACCCTCTCCGGTCCGCATCTGGTGCCGTTTCGCACAAAACCACGTGTTCCTGCGGTAGAGTTTGCGCATCTGCGAAACGCAGCACTGCTAGCCCGGGGGGGCCAGACAGAGCAAAAACGCCGCACCTTCCTACCTTGGCGCGATGCAGGCGGGCCGTACGAACAGACATTTTCGGTCCCGGTCGAGTAGTCGGGTACGAGGCGAGTCGAGTGTCTGCGTACCTTACTTAGGCAAGGCAGGGGAGGGGGTTGTTTGGCAAAAACGCTGAATCGCCGGCCCAGTTCGATAGTTGGTGGTTTCGAGGATACAACTGTGAGACGGAGCCCGAGTCGTGCGTTTGGGCAGTGCTGACTTGCATGCATGCTACCGGTGGTACCGTCCCGTGAACGGCCCGTTGGGAAGTGGTTGGCTGCGGCGGGGATTTAGGTCGACGATAAAAGTGCCGAAAATGGGGGAGGAGACGGCAGGGGTGGCAGGTTGGAAGCGGTAATGGGCGAAGAATCGTGGCGAGCTGAACAGCTGCTTTCTGTCAAGTACATATGGGCATGTCGAGCTGCCTTGCGAAGTGGGTGGGTGACGAGCGAACGAGGCGAGCCAGAGAGCCGCACGCAACGACCGGGGGCTGTTCGCGCCCCGCCGCGCAGGCAAGGGGATGTGCTGTTCACCATTCCGGGTTCTGCAAAGCGAACGCGGCGAGTCAGGTCACCGATACAGATCTCAGAGGGCGGTTCGGCGGACAGCACCGGGGGGATCGCTGGATCGAGTCGCCCAAGGTCACGTTGGCTGGCTGATAGCACGCCAGAAGAGGAAATTGAAACTAAGCGACGTCTTCAAGTCGCCGACCTGAGACGTTGATCTGATATGTTCACGGGCTGGCGTCTGGCCATTGCTGGTTGATGCTTGGCGTTGCCGATTGCTGATCTGAGATGGAATCAGCTGTGAGATAAACGGGGGCAAGCGAGTGGGCGAGAGTGATGTGCGAATAACGGCAAAAACGGCCGTTAGGGGCCCCGCGGTGAGCCGTGTGCTGCGTCGTTAGTGAGGCGTCCCAGGAGCGACTCCGGCCGTTGGGCCATTGTGGGAGCTCCTTTTGGGATTGCATGGGGAGCTGGGAGGAGGTTGTTTCCCGCGTTTCCCCAACGTCCACGGCATCCGCCTCTTGAGACGATTCCCATGTCTTCTCGCTCCAGGCTGCATGTCCCGGCTCTGGGCCTGCGAGTACCATTCGGGCATGCGTCCCCGCTCATCAACGTGGCAAGATCTCTGCGTGCAGCATCTGCAAATATGCACTGTAGTCACACACAACGCCACGGCGCACCACACGGCATCGTCGCCGGCAGCCCCTTTTGCCCATCAAGTGGGCTCTATCAAATAACGTTGCCCGCCGCGATCCGCGCCGGCGTGCCAGCGCATGCACGTCGTTCGGAAGCCAACCACGGTTCGGCATCGCGGCGTCCTGCGTTGAAAGGGCAGCCAGTCTGCAGGACCAAGGGGCCGAGTCACGTCACAGGCCAGAGTTGAGATGCAGCACGCCAGCGCGCCGTGGTCGGCCGAGGCTTTGGTGGTTGGGCGATGAGCCGTGGTTCTGGTCAAGCTGAGTCGGCGAGCAGGCTGACAGATGGTTGGCGGGGGCTGGCATCGTCAGGAGATGAGTGGTCCACCGCGACGGTGGAGAGAGACGATCGTCGTTATAGTCCTCGCTTAACTTAGCACGTGACATCCGAATTGGGCAAATAGTGTTCTAATCGACTTTGGTACACAAATCCAAACTTATGCAATGATAGAAGCATTGAACACTGACTAGAGTGTACTACATTGACAGGTCGCTCGTGTTAGCGGCTCATTACGTAGCTAAATTTCCATCAGGGTCAGTAGATTCCTGCCCTGACGATAATTGTGCGTACTCGTCTACTATGTTTTCCCATGTACTTCAACATATCTCGAGGACCTTCATAGACCGGATCTTGCTCTAGTTGGTCAAGCCGTACGCTAATCTAGCCACCTCGGGCGATGTTATTCTACAATTTTGTATTCGCCAAGACTCATCAAAGCACGTGATCTCCGAATTGCCAGCCTTCACCGCCTTCCAACTTCAACTTCTCCAGCATCCTTCACATTGGACAACACAACATCCTGACCGTCGGCAAACTCGACGTAGCGCATCCAAAATGGGTGAAAAGCTGCAAAACCCTTCATACATATGACAGACCGCTGCTCTTTGGGGCCTTTCGCGCCCGTTTGACCGCTCTTTACGATGACTTCACCCTACCCGTACGATCCGGACCCGCAGGCTGTGGTCGTTGCTCCTTGGAGCGTCGCGTTTCGAGTAGGTGGCACACTTTCCTATGAATAAAATGCCCCGTCAAATGTCAGCGTACACTCTATTGCCGCTGCTGGGGGTACTACAGCGCCCTTTGATACATCTACACATGGAAGTTTATTATCTTGAACATTCGGCAAACTCGCCAAGCCACTTCAGACAGCGGCAAAGACTGTACACAGACTAAGGCGCGACTTTCGTTCGCATGTGGGAAGGCGCAATGTTGATAATATTACCCAGGCTCAGCGAGACGTCGGCTTGAAAATCCCTATCAATTATGTCACCGTACCTGCAGTTTCTCTCAAGGCTGCCTGCTTCGCTCACAATCAATACGAGGACTCAGCAGCTCAAAAATGCTTTTCAAACCTACTAGCTTCAGGATTCAAACGATTCATAATAGACGTGTACTGGGATACCGGCCGTTCCCAATGGAGCCTTTGTCCAGCTGAGATACCCGAATCTGCCTCTCCGGCCGATGATACGACTAGTATCAGTATCACCCAGTCAACCTCAGTTAAGTCTCTCATGACTGCTCCGATCAGTCTCAGAGACGGGCTTTTGGCTTTTGATGCAACACCCACGCCTTTCGGTCCTGATGAAGGCCTCCCGATATTTGAGAGGCAGGCTTCCTCTATTTCTTCCCGCAGCTCTACTCCGGCGGCTAGGACCGACTCAGCAACCTCATCAACTCCTACTTTGAGCTTTACCGGCTCAAGTAGTACATCCATGGCATACAGTGCGGCAGCTACACCTACTGAATTTCCCGTATGTAAAAATCTGATTACACTGCTAAGAGTACATCAACTATGATGAGGCAATGTACGTTTGTGAACATCTGCTAATTGACTATACCCTGATTCCAGACTGCTGGTGAGCCACTTGTGCAGATTGGGCAGTACAACTGTACTTCAAATCTGGGCCTCCAATTCCTAAGCAGTATCTTGTCCGGTTATCTAAAAGATACCTCAACTACCATTGGTGCGAGTCTGATCTATCTTGTCCTCAATGTACATGTAGCCGCTCCGTATTCCTCTCCCAATTCGCCAGCCATGCAACCCGACCCCTCAGCTCTACCGAAAGATGAGAACTTCCTCGGTCATCTACTCAGCTCCAACCTGTCTTCATACTTGTACACACCTTCCATGCTTCAATCGCAGCGAGGAAACCTCAACGAGAGCTGGCGCCTTGAACAATCTAATTTGCCAGTTGCTGGGTATTACAAGACGAACGTCAGCGGCAACGGCATTCCCTCGACACAAGATGGTTGGCCTACTGAAACCTTCATGGAATTTAAAAACTTCTTGCGCCTGGTCACTAGCTTTGGCGCTGTCGACCCTCAAATGGCGTCTTACGATTTCACGAACGACGCGGACACAATATTTCCTCTCAATGAGATAATTTCGTTGAAAGATGTGTCGATTAGCACTTCTGGCTCTGTGACTACCGGTTGCCTCTTCAATCCTAACATTACCACTATAACCTCTGAGACCAATTCCTCGTGGGCGATGTTCCCAGCGTCGAGTCTGCCAAACCTAGCGTCAAATCCCAACGCTACGATACCAATTCCTGCAATCATGAACCTTACATCATGTGGCATATCTCCGTTGCTAAATGCTAGCCTCTCAAATACGACCGCGGACATAAACCCCCTGGCTTACCTCTCATTTTCCTACTCTACTTTATGGAGTTGGGCTCCCGGTTCACCAAATAACAGTACCCTTATTGATGACAACCCCAATAACGATCTCCGCTGTGCTGCTCTTTACGGCGATGCTAACGGCCGATGGCGCGCAGTAGATTGCAAATCTAGCCACCGAGTTGCCTGTCGCGGGTCTACACCCTATACCTGGAGCATCACCCCCGACCTCTTCGCCTACTCCGACGCCGACCAAGCCTGCCCTGATGATACCAAGTTTTCAACACCCCGCACTGCTCTCGAAAACGCCTACCTTTACACTGCCGCCCTCGCATCCGCAAACACGGGCTCCTCTGACCCCGGCGATCTTCCAATCATATATCTCGACCTCAACAGCCTTGATTATGCCGATTGCTGGGTCACGGGCGCTAATAGTACATGTCCGTACAAAAACTCGGATAACGTAAACCACACAAAGATTGTGGTCGTTCCCACGGTGGCGACCGTCATCGTATTTGTACTAGCTGTGGCGACGTTCTTCGTCAAGTGCGCTGCGAACCGAAGGGATTTGCGGAGAGGAAAGAGGAGGAGAAATATGGGTGGGTGGGATTATGAAGGCGTGCCGAGCTAGGTCAAGATTGTGTTGTAAGCCAAGAGTAAAACATGTGTTTTATGTAGACTCTTGTATAACTATTGATGATGTTTTCGCTGCACTGTATTGTCACGGGTTTAGACAGGGAACTCAAGAGTCGCATATTAATGAAACTTGAAGAGAAAGAGGGCAACACCAAAGGATTTTGAATTTTCATGGCCACCTCCGGAGCCAGAAGCTTGTAGCACCTTTCCAAAGTCATATTCGTCGAGGGACGAGCTCATGCGCTTATTTGACGACCATAAGATATTACGACACCCGATTTCCACGGATCCTCGCATACGTAATATCAAGTATTACTGTATCGTTAACCGGTAGCGGTGATGTAGTGGTAAACACCCCGAGGTAACCTGCGGGACTGCGTCGTATTTACTAGTAAGGACAAATAAGTTATCATTGTAATCTTGTACTTTTCAATAGAATCCCGTGGACTCTTTCCTGCAAGCAATCCGAACTAAAGGGAAAAGTTTAGCAATCTATCAAAATCCCCAGTCACCCCCTCTTCCTTCTCATCCTGGACTATTCAAAATAATATCCTCAAATAGCTATCGGCCGAGCCATTGAGGCAATATCTTCGCCGGGGTTGCTGTAATCCACAAACCCAAACTTTGCGTACAAGGGTGCGCCATCTTTACTGGCATCCACATACGCCTCAACTTTCTCAGCATCGGCGAGGTCGCAGCCCCACTTAACGAGCATTGCACCAGCTCCTCGACGCTGGTAGTCTGGATGTGTGGCAACCGTGTCCAAATCTTCACCAGATGTAGCCAGTCAGTGTATCTGAAACGCAGAAATAAACGTAGAGAAACATACAAAAGTGCTTTTTATCACTCATCACACGCTTCCGATTAATTTCCTCTCGGTTGAAGAAGTCCTCGCAAAGCTGTGCAGGCATGTTTTCATGCCAAGGTAGGTAGCGTTGGCCGCGCTCGACGGGCATTGATAAATCCCATTTCGCAAAGGCGGCTATCCGCAGTCGGCCCTGGCTGTTTCTTGATTCCGTGTCCACAACTTTCAGGTATCGCTGGAAAGGCTTTTCGGCGAGGTCGTTGCGATTGGTGTCCTCCAGCCATTTGCGCACACCGGGGGTATCGGGGAAAACTCGTCGTATCTCAGGGTCCGTAAAGGCGGCGAACCAGAGGTTCGTAATGTCAGAGATATCCTCAACGGTCACGGGCTCTAGCTTCAGTGGATTGGGGGTCGCCATTTGCAAAAAGAGACACGAGAATAGGGAATTTGGCTCTAGAGTACTGTATGGGATGAACACTGGTCGAATTTGTGAAGAGAGGGAAGTTGATTTGACAGCTGATGGTTATTGTTTAAGGAGACTGTAAAATACACTTGAACCGTGTCGCAATAGCAGTCGCTGTTTTTAGAAGCCCCACTACCTACACAGCCCCGAATGACGCGGCGCAGACGACCGATGCAGCTTCATTTCGCACAATTAACATTGAGCGACAGCTACATGTAGCGATAGCGTTGTGGAAATCTCGGGACCAACCTGCAGGACGACGCTTCATAATGTTTGGTCTGCGGGGAAATGAGCCCAATGCTCAACACAAATAAGTTCCAGGGGCCAACCCAAGATTTTTGAGCTTACCAAATGAGGCGAGATGGAGACTCTGAAATGGAAGTGAGTATGGGGTTTAGGAAAGATTTGATTTGGCGACTTGATGTGCGCGTGAGACGCGGCAAACATACAGTCCTTTGCATCGTGAACAACCCCATGTGCAGTGGTCATCTAACCTTTTTAGTCGTAATATCCATCTTTCAAGCCTTCAAGCCATCCAATAGTGCTCCCTCGCCTTTCTTCTCCACGGCCTTGAACACTGATCCCTCTCCGCCGATATCCAATCCTTTCTCGGCCCTATCATACGCCTCCTCGCTCCTGTCCAGTAGAATTTCCAACTCCTTTCCTGGTAGTAATCCGCCGTTAACCCCGTCATCAACATCGAACCTCTCGCCGTCGGCCCGCCGCAGCAACTTTTGAAGGTCTTCTAACTCCTCCCTAGACCCTACTTCTGCATCTCCCTTTTTGCTCGACCCCTTCCCATTTCTCACCCCTCCCTTGCGGATGACCAACTTCTCCAGTCTCCTCTTTCCCTCAGCGCTCTCCAGCAGTTTTGCCTCAACAGTATTTCTCGTGGCAAAGCGATATACGATCACGTTGCGCGTTTGGCCAATCCTATGCGCTCGATCCTGGGCCTGCAAGTCCTGCTGCGGGTTCCAGTCGCTATCGAATAAGATGACAGTATCTGCCGCAGCCAGATTGATTCCTTGACCGCCAGCACGGGTGCTGAGGAGGAAGATGTTGCTCGGCTCCTCGTCATCGCCATCTGCCGCAGCCTTGTTCCGTTTCCGGGTGTCTGTGACAGCAGGTTTGTTGAAGACCCGGATCTGCTCCTGGCGCACCGACTGCGGAACGCTACCATCAATGCGGCAGACTCGCCAATTTCGGAGGGAGTTGCAGTAGGACTCGAGAAGGTCAAGTTGCGTAGTAAATTGACTGAATATGAGTACCTTGTGTCCACGCTTCAGTAATTCGGAAAGCAGAGAGTCCAAAAGTAGCATCTTTCCCGACGATGTGACGAGAGTCTCATCTGGCTCCGTCTCTGTCGCAAAGGTTTCACCGCCTTCAGATGACGTTGATATAAAAGGATTGAAGAAGTTATAAGGGGAGTTGCAGCATAAGCGGAGTTGCATGATAGGATTTTGCAGCTTTTTGGCGCCAATTTGACGTTTCGCAATAGCAAGGGTTGTAGCTCGGACCTTCTCCTCGACGGCTTCAGAGTTAAGCTCTTCTTCCTCCGGAGATGAGACTTCGGCATCGAGCTGTGCAAAGTACTTCTGGTCGCTGACTTCCTCGTAGCTCTGGCGGGGTCGTCCACGGCCTCTTTTGGTCGACACGGGAGTTGATTCCCGCGAGATTTTGGCACTCTTATTGGGGGTATCGGCACCATTTTCAAGAGCCTTGCGCTTAAGACTCCCGGTGCTACGCGCGCTGCGGGGGGTACTAGTCCCACTGCCTCCAATACTCAGACGTTCAAGAGCTTTGTCTTCGAGGAACTCGCGACTTGTTCCATCGAGAATGGCCTGGTAGAGTTCTCTCTGCATAGGAGTGAGGGGTGCGAATAACACATATTCGCGCTTTCTCGGCATGAGGTTCTCCACGTCCATCTTCACTCTTCGAAGCAAGAAAGGTTTGAGGACTGCATGTAGTGAAGCAACAAGATACTTTTGGCGTTCTTCCGAGAAGAGGCTTTCGTATCCCTGTCGGTCCTTTAGTGCGGAGAAATCGAACCAGCTTTCGAATGAAGATAGTTTATCGAAGATGGTTGGCATCAAGAAATGAAGAAGTGACCAAAGCTCGGTGAGGTTGTTCTGGAGAGGTGTTCCTGAGGACTGATTAGATCTATTGATAAAATGTCTAACTAAGACCTCTGGTAGAGGATTGTCTTACCTGTGATCAGAAGGCGGTTGGTAGATTGATACGACTGGAGTTCCCGAATCAATCGACAATCAAGATTCTTGATTCGATGACCTTCATCCTGGAATTTCAGTTAGGATTATTTCTGATGATATTCCACGGACGTCGGTACTCACAATGATAATGAATTGCCACCCAAATCCAGTTAAGAACTTGCGATCGTTCATGCAAATCTCATAGCTAGTAATCACGACAGGAAACTCGCTAGTCCCTGGATGCTTGAACTTTTGAGTTCGAATCTTTTGCCGTTCTTGTTTAGTCCCATGGTATAACACGACTGGGACAGAGGGTGTCCATTTACTGAACTCTTCCACCCAATTGCTGGTTGTACTTAGCGGAGCAGCAATGAGAAACGGTCCATACGACTTCTTCTCCCTCAAGTGAGCAAGGAATGCAATGGTTTGAATCGTCTTGCCCAATCCCATTTCGTCCGCCAAGATGCCATTTATTCCATTGTTGTATAACGATATCAGCCACTCAAGCCCTTCCAGCTGATACGATCGCATAGTGCCTCCAGTCACCAAGCTCGGCTGACGTGCCGATTTGAGATTTTGGACGCCAAGTTCGCTTGTATGGATGTCTTCTTCAGCGGTGGCTTCTTGCAGGGCATCTACAACGTTCGCGTTGCTAGTCTTTTGCTCGATATCCTCTTTCTTGAAGAAATCCGAGATTTTCGCGCCCTTATTTGGCCGTCCGCGCCCTCGCGTGGGCAACGATTTCCGATCAGCGTGGGCTTCAGTGGTATCGTCCCCATTTGTAATTGCTGCAGCTCGTGTCGCACGACGCTGAGACTCGGCGGCAGCCTTTTCTGCTTTTTCTTCTCGTTTTCGTGCCTGACCTTGTGTCTTCTCGTCGCGGACCTTCTCTTCTTCCTCTTGGCGTTGCATTTGAGCGAGCATAACTGTAGCAAAAAGCTATAATGTATGAATGATCAGCAAGTCGAACTGAACGGGCTGGATTCTTGCAATTAAACATCCGCATAAGCACCTGGGCAACGAACCTTGCTTTTGTTCATGAGATGTTCCAACGCTTTGAACTTGGTATCCAGAACCTCTTTCCCACCTTGTAGATCCTCTTTTCTTTCTTTCTCCAACTTTGCTTCCCGCTTCGCATCTTCTTTCTCGCGGCGCAACCGCATTTGTTCCTCTTCTGCTAGCATCTCCTTCGAGACGCCATGATCCACGTCCTCCATTTCGATGGAGGGCGGAGACGAAGCGGGTGTGGACTTTTGCGACGCGGTGTCAGCGGCAGTGATGGACGAAGAGACCATGGCTTCTTGGAGCAATTGGTACGCGTAGCGGAGGTGGCGGCTTAAAGGTGCATCTAACGAATGTAGTGGGCAATGCGTGTCCAAAAAGCCGTACAAATATGTTCAGCACGGTCTTTTGATACAGTGATGGCACGGCGGGTTGCAAGGCGTGGGTTGGGTGCTCGTGGTGCAAAGGGGCGATCTTTGACGCGTGAATGCGCGTAGATTGAATTGATGACGACACGCCAGGTCACGCTTTTCCCTTTCCATCTGATGAGGCGCCAAGGCTGACTCTATTTTCACCACCAAGCCAACGACAACACCACAATTGCTTCATGTATTCGCCTCTACGGCAGAGCGAGATACGTCTCCTTCGTATAGCCTCGCTGCAGGCTTCTTTCATTCCGACCCTCCTGACTGCATTCTTAAACTAGTACTCCTCAACGTTACAGCACTATCTTACTGCTGGGGAATAGAGAAAGCACTGAGCACAGGAAACTGAATGCTAAGGATAAAATATCACTTTGGATCTTTTATATGTATACGGGCGAAATCTTCTTCAAGAACTCATCGTCAAACCACTCAAATAGCGCAATCTACCAATTACCAACTCGATACACGAATTTCTTTGCACTGACCCTTCCCTTCTCCAAATCCTTCAAACCCTCGCCAATATTTTCTAGCCCATTTCGCACTTCGAGCGGATGCGGGACAACCCTTTTCTCCTCAAAAAGCTTCGCCGCTACGGGGCCCCATTTCTTCGCAAACTCAAAATTGGCCGGCATCGCCTCCACCCTAAAGCTGCCAAACACGTCAAACGCCTCGTTGAAGATAGTGTAACCAAGCGTGACGTCAGTCTTAACGTCCGCACGCGGAAACTCAACCAACGTAAGGGCGCTGTAGTGTAGAGTGGAGTCAGAGGAGGAGGATAGGGCATCGGCACAGATCTGAGGGGCTTGGCCCTCCGCGATGGTGTCCCACACGTAGCGCAGTTTATCATTGGTAAACTGGCGAATGTCAGAGCCGACGGTGGGCGACTTATAGTCAAAAACCTTGTCTGCGCCGAGTGACTTTACGCAGTCGAAGTTATGGGGCGAACAGGTGGTTATAACTTCAAGGCCGGATCTAGCCTACGTCAACGCTTTGTCCACAGGAATCGCTTTTCATACCTTCGACCGAGGTTCATTGGGGCCACTCACAGCTTTGCCATCTGAATCGCCAGCGTCCCCATCGCCGTGCTGCCTCATAGATCAGAATCGGGAACCTATCCTCGGGCTTCACAGGCTCCGTCGGCCATGGTAGCTGCAAGCTCTGACACAGCCCCTGCCCCACCGTATACACCTGCAAACCCAGCGATGCCTCTTCTTCAAACCCCATGTGGTCCGGAATCTTCAAGGCCAGATCCCCCTTCGCCACTACATGCTCCGCAAACGCGCCATCCTCGGGCTGCGCGGTGTGGCAGCTGTGCGCAAAACCCCAGACTCGATCACCCGGTTTGAAAGGCCGGGTCACCAAATTGCCGACTTCCTCGACAATACCGGCGAAGTCACAGCCTACCGTCAGCGGCGTCTCCTCGTTGAAGTCTGTATATTGGATGTTCTTCCAGTCTGTGGGGTTCAGAGCAACGCAGGCGACTTTGACAAGGATGTACTCAGGGCGAAGAGCTGGCTTGGGCGCATCAACGACGGCGGCATTGCCTTTAGAAAGGAGCTTGTAGGCTTTCATTTTGGAGGTTCAAAGTTCGACAGGTGATGAGCAGATAACTCAGGAGTGATAATCCGATTGAGACAAAGAACTGCTCTTGGTAGAATGCAGAAAAATACTGTTGTGCATAAGATGATAAATAGGTGCTGTGTATGATACAAGGCACGTGATTTACTGCTCTCTCCATTCTTACATTTCGCCGCCGGGAGGTCGATTCATCCGCCGGCCGGTCTGTCTCCATGGCTCGTGTCGTCCTCCTTTTTTCGTCCGTCTCTGTCCCTTTTCAAGATAATAGAGAAACAAGCATGACCGGTATTGAAGCACTCATGACAGTGGGAAGAAAGTGTACGTACCGAGAGTATTGATTTCGTCAACTAAGCTATCCTTAATTCGTTGCCAATACAGCGCGTTAAACTAACCTTACGGCCTCCATTTTCATTGTGTCTGAGAACTTCCAATGCTCTTTAGGACCGCCCCATAAAGACAGCACAGCCAAACCAATCCTCTTCCAAGCGTCGTCGACTTCCAATCCATCCGCACTGAACAGGAAGTGATTGAATCGCTCTGCGAGACCTGAAAGGGCGGACAGCTTGTCACCGGGATAGCTCAGATATCTTGTCATATACATCTCCACCATAGCATGCTAAAGGCGGTAAACAGTTGTCCTTGTTGGGACCGAAGACACTCTCGTAGTCGTGAATGTGTGGCTGGGCATTCTCATCGTACGGAGCCGCGTCGATATTTCCGTACCCGCGTTCATCACGTCCTTATAATTGACTCCGCACTCACACACATAGCCTTCATTGCACTCCCAAACGAGCTCTTTGGATGTGTAGAATACAGTGCGATTAGACAATAGCGTCTCCTGCAACGTCCACGCCCGAGAGTTGATGGGTTCTGTGCTTGTATCGGAAAGATGTTCCGGCTCTTGGTGGAAGTACGTGTTTTTCTTTGCGACTCGTGTGTAGACAGATTCGCCCATGTAATTGAATTCGTGGGGTGGCCCGCCCCATAGATTCTGCATGCCGAAGCAGCCTTCGGAAGCTTCAGAAGAGCGCGAAGCGGATATGGTTAGATACGCGTTGGAGTAACAATTGCACATGTTTCCCGACTCGCGTGCCCAATCCTCCTCGTCCCTTTGAATGATACAAAGGGCGTCGACCCATAGGTACGGTATATTCAACCGCCTAGTGATTTCCACGGCATCCCGCACTGTCTGCGGAAGCAAAGAAAGCTCGATGCTGGCCTTGTTGGATCCCAAATTCTCTCGAGTAGTCTTGAGAATGGCCCTGCTGTCACCCCAGCAGTAGCTCAGTGCTGCATACTTGCCTGATTTGCCCTCTGTCTCCCACAGAAACACGGCCGATTCGTCCTGGCCAACATTGATCACGCGTGTAGGCAGCGACTTTAAATCGCTAGAACCACAGCGCGTATGGTTTTGAGTGCAATCCGTCAACCAGGACTAAACATGACTCAAGCTTGTCTCTGAAGATGAGACATCAGGGACCTCGGTAACAAACCCTATTCCGGGAAGAGCGCCTTTGGGCTTGCCTGAGGAGTGGCATCAGTGGAATATCGTCCAAACCAGGCGACGTCGAACCTGGCCGTGTATAAATCTCGATAGTCCTTCCTTCGGGTCGGTCAAAAGACAGCTGAATTGGACCTGAAAGTTTCCCAAGACAGTAAATGTAATCAGTGCTAATATCGTAATGGGCCATGATACTTCGAATAAGCTGACAGGCCGTGCAGTCTCCGGCGTCTGTGAAGCCTGATATCGCGTAGGTGAAATCTCTTGGCTGTCTTTTAATGTAATTGCGCAGATTGCGGCATCGCGAACACTGCGGTAGCTCATCAACCACTCCTTGTTCGAGTGGAAGTCGGGCGGTGGCCATGGTTGAGCATGAAGGGGAAAGGAAGTATGAGGGCAGAGTCCCAATGAGGCAGGCCGCAGTCAAGGTTTAAGCTGCCGATGTGGTTTCTGATGCCCTTATGTCAGAGTCACGTGACGCTATAATCAAGACCCTGTCGACTTTTGATATGGCTATGGGATTAGAGAGATTAGAGAGCGTTGGGGCTAGCCTTCGCTCGATGTCGCCCTCTTCAAATCCCGAAAAGTGGAGGAGGATATCTAGCACGCGCGGAGTAGACACTCTCCCGTACTACTGACTCGCTTCCCAGCTTCATTATCTACGTAGATCCAGGGAACATGTTCTTATCCGGCACCCTGTAATAATGTTCGGGCCAGCCCTGATACAGCTTAAGGCCCTCCCTACTTTTACGTGGTTCTAGATCACTTCGTAAATCACTGAGGTCTGGAACCCCAAAGCCGTTTCAAGATTGGTATCGTTATCGCTCCACACTCCACTCTCTGCTTCACCAATAGAATCCAGCAAGGACAATGCTTGCATCACGAGATAAATGATAAGCAGGATTACGAAAGCATCGTCAGGCTCTGCCCTAGATTCACTGCAGTAACTCCAAGTCCAGGAATGAACAATGAATGCTTGATTTAGATGAGTAGTATCGCTTTTGAACGAATGCTCCCTCCAGCTCCATATATATCTATATGCTCATAAGCCTTGAATGCTACAACAAACAACCGCCAAATCGCTTCGATCACACGTGCGCCCACTGCCAAAGATACAACATGCATCTCAGTGAAACTCTCCACTTCTGACTCGAGTCTCAACGACCTCGGTCTAACCCTCCTGCACAGCCCTCTGTACCTCCCTCGACGGCCCATGGAAATGCTTCCGATCCCTGAAGGCACAGTCAATCCCCGCAAACACAATGACAAGCAGGAACACAGGACCAGCATAGTTCATCGTCTCCTTCGTCAGCGGCAGCGTCGATGGTAGTGCCATGAACGGTACCAGCAGCGTCGCGTAGCATATGGCGTAGAGGTTGATAAGCGGGTCCCATTGGCCTAGCGTCCACGGGCCAAAGACGATCTTGTCCTCGTCGACGCCGGCGTGGCTGGGCTCCGCTTTAGATGTGGCGACGCGAAGGCGCAGGGACAGGAGGCAGGCGATCGGAATGATATATGAGATGTAGAGGCCGATGGTAGAAAGGGAGAGGACAGCATTGAGGGCGACGGAAGAGCCGATGTTGATGAGGGAGAGGAGAATGATGACGACGCTAACAAGGGACACTGCGCGCGTGGGGATTTGGTACTTGGGGTCGACGTATTTGAAGTAGTTGGAGAACGGGAGGCCCTCGTCGCGGGCAAAGGCCCAAGTCAGACGGGAGACTGAGGCGAGGGTACCGAACATTGCGGCGATTGAGATAGTCAACATGGCGCACATCATGAGGGTGGCCGAGGTGGTGGAGTTTGTGAGTTGGCGGAAGATTTCGAGGATGGCGTAGCCAGTTGGGGTGCTAATCGCCAGGTTGATGTCCTTGATGGCGAAGAGGAAGAGGAGAAGGGACAGCCACGCGAGCGAAGCGTTTATGAGGACTGTTGTAACGATGATCCTGGGGATTGTTTGGGCCGCTTTCGCGGTTTCTTCACTCATATGGATGGCGCCGTCGAAGCCTGATTGATTGTATTAGAATGGCTCAATTTTCGAGGCAGCTTTGGATGGATGATCACATACCGATAATGCACCAAATGCATGGTAGGAGACCGATGAAGAAACCAACACCGGTGCTTTCCCAACCGGTTTGGTTGATGAATGTGGTGAAGACGAACTTCGCATCTGAGTTGCGGCCCAAAACCAGCATGACCACCGCGAAGATAATGAAGAAGAAGACGTGACAAACTCCAGCGAAGAGTTCGGTCGCTGGAAGGAGGCCTATTCCGTATATGTTTATGACATAAGTTATGCCTAAAACAGCCCACATCATCAAGGTAGTGTGCCATCGCTCAAATCCATAATCAGCCCAGTTGAGGATCACCATTCCCTGGACCTGACCGGCGATGATGTATGTCAAACTGGTAATTGTGGCCTGCCAAGCGAAGACAGTGCACCATCCCGCGCTTGTCAGATGTTGTTCATGGTTCCACTTCTTCACTAAACGTACCTTGCAAGAAAGTGATTTGAACCTTCCACTTCTTAGGCGCAAACATGTACGTCCAGTGGTACTGAGCTCCACTGATTGGGCACATGGAGGCCATTTCTGCTATGGAACATGCCAGCGCAAGGGTTCCGCTTCCTGTGAAGAAGAGACCCCATACCAGGGTCACTGGCCCGCCAGCATAGAGACCGGTTCCGAGTGATCTATACCAAGGTCAGCCATGAATGAGGACAATAGCATCTTTTGATGACTTACGATCCAAACGCTTCTCAAGACGACAGCAATGTCAAGGACAGACCCAATATGGAGATGTAGTTGAAGCGCCGCTGATGGGATTAGCAAGCCGTCTGTGCGGGTACGAGTACGAGGTGTGACGATCCCTTTAATTGTTGCGTCTTCCCCATGGCCTGCATTGTCGCCTTGTCTTCCAGGTCGATGCTCGACGACTCTGGCGAGACGGGGGCGACATGGTCGTCGGAGACGGTGGTCTCAAACTGCTTCTCGGCCATTTGGAATTCGGTGTCGAGTTGTTCGAGAGCTGCGTATGCTGCTCTTCGCTTGCCCGAGAGTAGTGGCATACAACGCTCTTAAAGGAAACGAGAATCAGGGTCCGGGAGACAGCTGGGTTTTGAATTGAGATAAAACCGGCAACATGGCCTAGCACAAGGGCAATGCTAAAGACAAATGGGCCGCGTTCTCGAGTCGAGGGCCTGGTTAACCACTCCTCCGACTAGCCCTCCCGGGCTGCTGGGTTGCGCACGCGACGGTGGTGTTGCTTTGGCGTCCCTTGTTGCGGGGCGTGACGCCTTGACGAGGCCAGACATATGGCTCGAGAGTCGCGAGATTGCTGGGTGCTACAAGCGGTACCGAGAGCAGGCAAGGCCTAGCAGCACAAGAGGAGCACCGTGTTCCATGATCGTGCCATTGCCATTGGCGCTGGCGTGGCCGACGAACGGCACCTCCTTGCCGCTCGGGCCATGGTGTTGACTAAATCGCTCCGAACCCTCCGCCCTGCAGTGCTTGACAAAGACTCCGCAAGCATGCCAGCCTACGCGAATCAACGATTGCCGTGGCCTGCAGCGGGAGTTGCGGGACGAAGGCGATGAGCGACGGATCCCCTGATGGCGTACCATGGCGCCTTATAAACTTTCCGAGGGTCGCAGAAGCCGCTGGGCGGGCCAGCCGCCTCGTTGCCGAGCGTTGTCGAAGGGGAACGCGGCTCTGACTGGAGCGGCAAGACAGAAGCCACGAGCCGAGCCAGCCCCCAAAGCACTTTCACCTGAAGCCGCCGGAGTCGAAAACGTGGCGTGGTGGTTCCAGAAGCCATCACGGTGGATGCTGCTGCAGCCAGAGGGGGCGCTTCTGCAGCAAAAAGCACCCAGAGAGCGACATCACGCCGGATCCGCAGACCCTTTGCCGCCCCGTTAAGACCGCACGCGTGGGTGGCGCGGGCTGTTCCGGGTGGCGTCCAGATCGATGGCGTTCGAGAAGACGATGGCGTTGGAGCGAGTTGGAGCCCAGAGACGCCGGTTTCCAATAGACCGGACCCCACACGTGACCGGGATAACACTCCATCGCAAGGCTAGAGCTGAACTCCATCGCAGACTAGAGAGCCAAGCTCCACAGCAAGGCCAGAGTAAAGACGTCCCAAGGCTGCCTGTCCATGTCTCTCTGTGCACACTGTTAGCTTCTATCAAACCAAACCTAGAAGACCGTGCGTATGGAGGCTGAGCTGTATATTTTTGGGGTACCTGTTGCGCCCAACTCATTGCATATCTATTTATTCTATCGTGAAGCATTACCATCCACAGAGCACAGCAACCGTAACCAGTCCATCCATGCTATACTAGTGTATCAAACTTGAACCAGCCGTCCGCCCTTCGTCCCAGCATCATCAACTCCCTTTTCAAGTCGACGGCTCCTCCACCTCGTCCGGCTTCACGGCATCAGCGTCCTTCATTTCCTCGTCCTTGGCTTCGGGTGGCGCCTCGGTCTTCCGCTTCTCCTCCGCCGCCCGCTTCTGTCGCTCGAGCTCCGCCTGCTTGGCCATAGCAGCCTCTTGCTGCTTCTTCATCACGGCCTGTCGCTCTTCCTCGACCTTGTCGTTATATCGTTGGATGATTGGGCCAGCAACAGAGCGCATCTCCTCGATCTTGCTCACGTAGACGGCCTTTGTTGTGTCGTCGCCCTCGTCATAGAGCCACTCCTATATACAAGTTAGCCAATCCGCACAAATCCCTAACTTAGTCCATTAGTGACAATGAGCTTACCTCGATTGCCTCTGCCTTGGCATTGACCTTCGCTTTTTCATCATCGTTGCAGAAGTCAGCGTACGTGGTGTAGATCTTGTCCTTCATATCGTAGATGAAAGTTTCCAGGTCGTTCTTCATGTGCTCTGTGTCCTGGACAAGCTTATCCTCCATGAACATCTGGTTCTCCTTCTCCATCGCAATTTCCTTGCTTGCTTGATCCATGGCGGAGGTGCCAGCAGATAGGGGAAGATCGCCCTTGCGAGCCTGCTTCTTAACCTTTCGCGTCTTCGGCTTTTCAGCATCGTCTTTGGCGTCAACGTCCATCGCCTGTGGGTTCAAATCAGTTAGCTCATCTGGTGCCAAGCGTAACGCGGACGTAGGCATTACAGGAGGGACTTCATGCTTCGGCCTTTTCGAAGCGCGCAGGGGTACGGCAGGCTCTGTGCTGCTACTGCGAGCACGACCATTGGTGCCGTACACCTGCGCGTCGCTACTCAGGTCAGCCGAGGAATCGAGAGGACGTACATCACCATCTTTCTTCTCGCCCTCTTTTGGCGCCTCAGGTATCGGTTCCTCCACTTCCTGTTCTTCTACGTAGTAGCCAGACTCGACATTCAGAATGCCGTGCAGGTTCAGCCTCGCTTTCAGTTTGCAAATCATGAAATCGTCCTTAGCATCCGCCTTGACCCCTTTGACGGAGAATCTGCCGATCCAAGGGTTCATCTTGCCTGGGAGAGTTTCTGGCTTGGCGTACTTGGCTTCGAGGTCAAACGGCTGTTTCCTGTAGAATGTCAGAATTTTAGTTGACGGCATGACATTGCCCTTGTTAAAGACGGTGAGGCTAGTATCCTCATCAGGGATGTCCGGTGACTTCTCCCAGGTGAATTCAATTGGATAGTTGACAATGTCGTGGATGGAGAAGTCTCGGACACGGAACACGGGCGACAATATGGCACAGCTGAAAGCGCAACCTCGAGCAACGGCTTCGTCCTGGTTGAGAGTGAAGGAAAGAGGCTTGCCGAAATAGTCCTGAATGGCAGCCTTTAGAGAAGGTACACGGGTGCAGCCGCCAATCATCTCGATGGCGTCGATATCCTCGGGCTTTAGTTTGGCCTCCGCAAGAGCCTGTTCGATAGGTGCAGTGGCACGCTCGAGGAGCGGCTTGACGAGTTCTTCCAGCTCCTCTCGCTTGAGGAAACCTCGGACATCGACGTCATTCATGACAGACTCAATGTTCAACGGAGCCGCGGAGTTTGCGGAAAGGATCTTCTTGACCTTCTCGCAACCTGCAGCAACTCGAACACGGGCCTTTGCGTTCTCGTTGATGTCAATCTTGTAATTTTCCTTGAACTGCTTGGCGAAATGGTCGACCATGGCCTTGTCGAAATTCCGGCCACCGAAGTGACGATCCCATGCAGTCGACTTGACGGCGAGCTCACCCTTCTTGAACTCGACGACCGAGGCAGTGTAGTTGCTATGTCCAATATCGACGAAAACAACGCGCCTAGGCTTTTCCTCTGGGCCTGGGAGGTCTAGTTTTGTGATACCGTATCCCAAAGCTGTCGCAGTGGTGTCGTTGATGAGGCGTAGGCATTTGAGTCCGGCGATTTCGGCAGCGTCGAGCAGACTTCGGCGCTGTGTGTCGGTGTACCATGTAGGGCAGCTGAGGACCACGTCGGAGACAGGAAGTTTCAGCTCAGCGGACGCAGTGGCCTTTGCCTTTGTCAAGAACATGGCCACCAGCTGGGTCGCCGTAAACTGCTCAGTCTTGCCCAGATACTTGACTTCCGCGCCGACCTGGCCATTGATATCCACTAGGTTTGCCGACACGTAGTCCTTCTCTATCTGGACATCTGGGTCCTTCAAAGATCGACCCGCTAACCTTGTGAGGGAGCTGACAGTGTTCTTGAGGTTGGAGATTTCCTGGTTCTTCGCGGCCTCGCCGATGTATCTGCTCTTGGGTCCGAATCCAACGAGAGTTCTGACAAAGCGCGTTAGCATGGAGCTCTTTGGTGGGCTGAGATTCGAAACCTACGGTGTAGCGCGGTTTGACACTTCATTCGTGATCTGTAAGGCATTAGTAGATTCCAGAAAGAGCGCAAGACGTGTTGTACGTACGACATCGACGCCTCTGTTCCTCGCGACCGCAATCACGGTGTTGAGCGTCCCCAAATCTATGCCAACGACACTCATGTTGCTGGTTCCTGTGAGGCGTGGAAAGACTGTGTTTAGGGTGGATGGTGGTCTGAAAAAGTGTAAGTGGGTGTGTTGTAGAGAGAGAAGAAGTGCGGGTGCGCAGTCGCCTTTGTGTTGGTGTTTTGAAACAAGGTTCAAGGCTACAATTTTCTAGTTCTAGATATTTCGAGCAGTTTCTCCCACGCAGGCTGCGTTGGCGGGGCAGTGGCGGTGCGGGACAGGCACGTGATCTGGGACAAGCCGCAACACCACACAGAGCGTAAACACATCACAACATCGCCGTCGATTCACCAAGGGCCCACCTCGAACAGTCGCCTCAAACACCCACGTATCCCGGCGCGCTCAATGCGCTCGTGACTCTTCTCCAAAGCGCGCCCGTACGCGTCAACACTCTCCCCGCCGATCCTAACGCGCTCACTCGCCACGCCATCATGGAGGATATCCCCCCGTATCCTCTATACAACTCGACCTACCACCTCTATCGCGTCTCGCCACTCTACCATGGGGACTCGCCAATACTACAAGAGCGCGCGCTCCGGAAAAATGCACGCAGGCTTCGAGATGTCCTCAAGGGCGACAACCTCCGTGGCGTGCAGGTCGACTTCGCAAGTGCCGACTCAGCTGTCGCCAATTGCGGGCCTCTCCATCAATGCGAATGGGCTATGATTAGAGACGACTCATCGTGGGATGAGCACCACCAACAATCACAAACTCAGGAATCGACTCAATCTGTGACACCAGACACAGCCCGAGGGATCCTAGTAGACCTCTACTATGCCAGACACTCATACAATGCGCTCCTGCTACGTGACCCTGGAGTCACTACCTCGCCGGCAGACTTCACACACCTCCCCCTGCTCCTCGTCCGCATGCCTGCCCCGATCCGCGAGATCTTCCTGAATTACCTTTCCACAACCTTCGACGCGAAAGTCTCGCCCTTCAAACCGAACCCCACGTTTCTCACCTCGACCCTCGAATCCCACCTCACACACCTCACGGACGCATCGTCGAGTCAAACAATACCAGATATCATCAAAGTGTTGCAGCTGCAGCTCAGCTTTCCGAGCTTGACATCCACAGCCCTTAAGAACATCGATATCAACATTGCACGCGACGACGTTCCTGGATTTCATACCAGAGGCAAATTGATATTACGGGGAAGCCGCACTCAAACTGGGACGCGATCCGCAAATAGCAACACACCCTTCACCACAGCCCTTTCCGAATATCTGGCGGCGCATCTTGCGCTTCGACTAGGCGATAACAAGAAGGTCTACATATCCAAAGTAGTCTGTGGTGCATTTGCGCTTTCCACAGACGGAAAAATAAAACTCTATACGCCACCTCCTATCACCGTCGAGGGGTCCGAGGACGGTAATATTCCTACCGACTACTCAGCTGCTGAGCTGGCGATGCGCGATCTCTACACCTCTCTAGTTCGCGAGGCTACGCGGCAAGGCCCATTCTTGAACGAGGATGATAGCATAGAGGATGATCGAACAACGAGGCGAAAGCGTCCTTTGATGGAGTCGGGAGCTTCTGGGAATAAGCGATTACGAGGACGGACGGCGGATGCGGACAGAGCGGCTTCGGAGGCGGCGGGAGCGCCAAAGACGGGGAGGGATAGTATACCTGCTGAGCCACCCCCACCGTACGAGTTGCATGATCCGTCTTTGGTGTCGACTGCTGTGTAGAATACATAGAGATGATTTATTGCACATGTCGATAAATCAGGCAGCGTTAGGACGGCTCCTTTCCTTAATTATACCCAAAGACCTTTTCACGATCAAATTCAAAGCATCTCGGACTTGCAAAAGTAATCGGCTCTGTGAGCCTTCATGTTTTATGATCGAAAGTTCACGTAGCTAATGGAATCGGATAATAACCCAACAAGATGGTATGATCTACATTATCAGACGGTTACTTACAACTACATGGACAATCTACAACTACATATGAGCCTTTCCGTCCCTATTCATTGGTCTTCTTTATGTCCCTGCTAGGCATCAAACGCCGCTTTCTCCACTGCGTACCTTCTCCGATCTTCTTCAGCAAGACCCATATAATGCTCCAAGTCTTCCGCAGAGAGCGCTTTCCACATCTTGCCAATCTTCTGAACGATTTCATCTGTGTAGCAAGAGGGTTAGCATGATACATAGCTAATGAATGACTGATTCCAGGAAGACAGAGTGCAAAAAGTCTTACCAAGCTTCAATCCAGGATTCTTCTCTTTGACTTCACCTTCAACCTCAGACGTAAAGATGCTATAAGCCTCCCGCTCCCGATCCTCGGGCTTGAGCCAATAATACCCAAAAGCAGTCTTTCCCCAAACCTTTGCGTCTTCCTCAGCTCTATGAGTCACCTCAGTCTTGCGCCACTGCTGCACCACGCCCTCCTGTTCCGCTTTGAACTCGCGGATAGCGGTGCGCAGATGCCACAACGAGCCCCATCCGTGGAGCGCGATACCCTCTTGTCCGGTCTGCTCGTCCGCCCTGCGCCAGTTTGACTCTTTGCCCATGTAGCCTACGTGAACTTGGTCAGTAATGTACCGGGAGACCTTCCCATCTTGCTCCTTAACGCGCCACACGACGTCGTCGCCGCCGTACGGGATCCCGCCGAGCCAGTCCGCGCCGCGCGCATCACAGGTAGCGTACATATACTGAGCGAATTCAAGATAGGATGCCTCAACGCTGGAAGCAGAGTCCTTTTCCAGTTGGTGCAGGTACGAAAGCGGTGTTATTACTGAGCCATCACCAACAACCCATTGCCAGATACACGGCGCACAGACGCTATTTTTGAGTTCTTCTTGCCATTTAGGAAGTTCCTTGCGGAGGGCGTCGTACTCTGGGGTGCCAAAGCCCTTGTGGACTGCTGCGCTGACGACAGGGGGTATAGGTGTTGCATCTAGAGCGGCAATTCGCTGGGAGATCTCGTGGTGGAATGCGTTGCCGGAAGGGCGGCCGTCGTAAGCCCAGGAAGTGAGGTTGAGCGATGAGAGCACCGGGGCGCACTGCTGCGTGGTTCGTTCTTCTTTTACGCATACGTTCGCGTGGGTTTTGCGAGCGTCTCCCCAGGCGTCCCAGAACGGCTTTACGATGGGGGTCGAGCGGATATCGGATCTCATGCAGACTCTTAGACTAGGTTCTTGTTGGTTGACCGCAGTAGCGCATTCGGAGCTGCAGTAATATCTCAATAGACCATTGGGATCCTTGATCATTGGGTCTAACGTGGTGATATTGAGATGGAGATAGCAGGGAAGAGACTGGATTTTGGCCGCGAGGTTATCGAGACATATCAGTGTACGCTGAAGATTGTATGGTTCAATATCTGGGAATGCTGAGTGGTTGTTCCGAATGGCTGCTGCTGTGGATTGAATGGTCTTGATAGGTTCGTCGCCGCGATGGGGTCCATTGCGGATGAGGAATGCTAAATCGCCAGATGGTAGTCCTTCCCAGTCTTCTGACAAAAGATTCTTGTCTTGATAGTTTTTGATGGCCTGGCCATAGATACGGTTCCACTCGGTCGCTTTGCATCGCTGTCCGGCCTCTTTGATTCTACGAATGTACTCTGGCAAGGACACAGGCAGGCCGCTGTCGGGGCTGATAACGGAGCCATCGTCCCAGCCGTTCAGGTGATTCTCGAACCACGACAACATACACCAGCCACAGCTTGTAGAGCCGATGCCCGGACCGTAAGTCCGCTCAGGAGCCTTGAACCTGTACGTCTTCTTCCATCCGCCATCAGTGCTAGAACCTATCGTCCCAGACTTCCAGCCGCCACGTTCTCGACTAGGCCGTTTAGTTTTCCTCAGAAACGCGTCAATGCCCTCCAAAGAGCCAAAGTTGATGCCATCTAATATGTAGAATCGCTCGTTGAGCTCGATCATACAGGAGCCGTATTCGCTATCACCGACTTCGCTGTTTCGGCAAGTATGCGTGTTGCGATGAAGAAGTACTCCTACGGCTTCGACAGGTCCCGCCTCCAGAAAAGTGGTATTAAACATGCCCTCATACCCTTCGATGTCGAAGGATGCTCCATCAGAACATGCTGCCGTGACAGATTCAAAAGCGCTTTCTAATGCAGATTTGCACTTTGGCTCGCATAGTTGGGGCACATATCGCATTGGGTCTGGTTCGAAGAAAGATAGATGCTTCCCAGCATCCCATCCTCGATTGAAGATCTTTTCGTGACAGGGGACCGAAGAGAGTGCCGCCCACGCTGACTGACATTGCGTGCTTTCGGAGACGATTGGCGGATAAAGGCTTGGGAAGTCGAGCACCCAATTGACAGCCTTGGGACTGGATTTTGGTTTCGGCTTCGGCCTGTTGGTTGAGATATGCTCATTGTGGCGCACGTGGACTTTGCGGAGGAAGAGCAGGAAGAAGCCCGCGAAAAGAACGACAACACACGACGCCACAAGAGCAATACGGAGAACGGTCCATGTGGAACGTGGGTTTGGGTTTATGACAGGGTCATCGTCGTCCTCATCGTCCAAATTATCATAATTGATGTTGAAGTCCAAGTTGGGGGCTTCCGATTCATCTCGAGGCGCTGCTGGCTCATCCGCGGTGTCGGTGTAGGGCGCGAGGCTAATAATCTCAGCCTCGTCTAGGATGTGTGCTTCTCCTTTGTCCCCGTCCATATTTCAGAAACGATGAACGAAAGGAAAGGAAATGGAGAGAGCGATCAACGTTACATTTGCAGGAGAGGTACGAGTTTGTCTTGGCGACGGATCGGATGGATAGGCGGCAGCCTCCTGAAATAGACACGCTAGGAGCCGTTTACGCCCCTGAAATCATGCCATGCCACCCAGCTAGTTCCACGAGGCAAATTCTTGATAGGTCCGGTACAATCATGCGCTTTCAGTGCTCAAACTCTCGAAAGCATGTAAACTAATCTATGATCAGCACTACATACATTCAACAGACGAACAATCGCGGCGAGCCTTACCAGCGAGAGGCTTCAAAATCCTAAACCGCAGACGACCCTTGACAAGTCACTGTGTTTGAGTCTTGCTAGGGCTTACGCCTCAAATTTGACCAACCCTTTTGCGCTAGGCGCCCTTTCGAACGAACACTCGGACTTGATAGGTCGTTTAAAACAGCTCGCTTGCCCAGCTCTTTTACACCAGAGTCATTCATAACATCTCGCACAGCGTGCTTCATAACCACGATACCGCGCAGATACTAAAGGTCGCTGTCGAACTCTTCAAATGAACGTGTAAGGACGATGCCTCGTCATAGAGATCCGTACACTCGTCTACTGCTGCGTCATAGTAATTTCAGCATTGCCAACAAGAGAGAAGTTTGGCATTTTGGACAGCTAGTAAACTTGCGAGGCTACCCCAGACAGCGTCAACAGGGTGTGCGCAGATTTGAAGTGTATCTGCTACCCCCGGGTTCCGTTAGTACGTTAGAGCCCCAGACAGCGGCAGGAACGTGTACGGATATCTACGGCAAGGCACTGTCAGTTCATGTTCGCGAAAGATTCCGGTAGCACCTCAAGAAATCTCTCGTGAGTCCATCATGAGGGCTGTCCTTGTTTACCCTCAATATCAGCTGTTATTATACATACCGCTCTAGTCATGATGGAGTTATGCCTTAGTGCAGTCGCTGGCGAGGCATAACTATCCTGATTTCAAGAGTTTTGCTCAGCATGCCCGGTTCGGCGCCGCGCTGGAAATCTAGATTCAAGCCAAAGATCGTCGAAACCAGGAGTCACAAGCGACCCGGTCAAGAATTCTCCAGGAACTTCCCGTAACAAGGAAGCAATTCCCGCCGGCCGTCCCCAGGTGTGTTCGGGTCTCGGGTTTCGCACGATAGCTTGATCTGCAGCTTTTAACTGGATGAATCGGTCGTAATAGATCTTGGAGTAGCTATACGACAGCCACTGAAGAGACATATATGACGATGATTATAAATATGCGACGTAGAATGCTGTGCAAAACGCCGCTATGCCAAGTCCAGATTTAGTTTCTGACTCATGATGCACCTCACACCGGGCATGCCCCTCCACTCGTCCCAACTCCACCATCACCACGGCTGCTGAGACCCCTGTTTTTCACAAAGGTAATGCGCTCGACGGACAAGCCTCAGTGCTTGTGACTCAGGCAGACATCCGCGCCCTCGTGGCGTGCGCTATGTAGTGACTGCATGCGATGGTTTCGTAAGCTGCTGCGCCTACCATGCCGGTGACTATTCTCTACACCGCGCGCGCCCTATTACGACGCACCGTACGAATGTAAGGAGCCGAGTATATAAAGATGCCACAAGATCGCTCTTGGAAAGACAACTTCATCAACCGCCATCGCACACCTATTGGCCCTTCCCGTTTCAACCCGAATTTAGAAAAGTGTCTGCTCCCTCCTCCCATCTGAGCCTCATTCTATCCATCTCTCAGGCCAATCAATCACAAACCTTCGCCATGCCTTCCCAAGCCTCCGAGAAGACCTCAACCCCCGATTCAGCGTCGGTGAAGACGACATCCACCACGTCGTCCGCGACACACCTGCTTAAGTCGATGTTCCGGTCAAATCGGACCTCGACGAAAACACCACCTCCCAAGGACTCCCCCGCCGTCAAGGCCCAGCGAGATGCCGCTGCTGCTGAGGCTAGATACAACTATATGGCGTACCGGTGAGGGCACCATTACTACCCTTCTGATCCGGCACCCCTTCAGTCGTTAGCGATGCTTGCGCCAAACCATCGATATGGCTGGTAACCACCAGTGCTACCGAAACCAGCACGAAACAGAGCCTACGGCATCCTTCGATACGAATCTCGTCTAGTCAGACAGATATACCCATGGCGTGGAGGAAATCGAAATGTTTGATATAGCGCTCCTTTTAGGGTTCAATCATGTTTAGCGTCTTTTCCTTGTCTTTCTATATACTTCAATCTGTAAATTCATCTGGCTCCCCATCATCAATCTCGTCTAATTTTCAACTTACACCGCACTGCTCACAGATGTGCTAGTTATTACTAAGAAGTACCAATGGTGACTCTCTCCATGTCTTGAGGAACTCAAAGCTGTTTTATTTACAGCAATCGGTATCAGTCAGTGGTGATCTTCAGATGACGACAGTGAATGGAGGACACATTCTGCTTTCCCGCGCCAATGCTTCCCCCGCCGCCGATTTCCTTCCGATACTATCCTCACCGCCCTTCCCGTGTACGCTCCTTGATTCCCACGTGCTCTCGCGTTTCGTTTATCGGCACGTCTATAAATTGCTGTTGTGCAACGTCTTGACCTCCGTCTTCCTTCCAACACACCAGAACATCCACCACCTCTGTTGGTAGCCGCACACCATCAGCACGTCTAACTCTTGTACACCAGTCTCCCTATTGTACACCCTTGTCTGAGAGATCCGTGTGCGCATCATGATGCTTCCGTAAGTCGCAACTTCTATTCACTAGGCTCTGAAACAAGATGTCCTTTGTCGGCTGCATGCTATCCTGCGAGGTCTTTTAAGCTCCTTGCTTGAACCTTGTCGATAATCTCTGCTAACTCCGTCTAGCTACAGTCAGAACGACAACGACGCGTATGGCGGCGAGGCTCCCGAGGCACCCAGCGCGCCCCGTGCGCCCGACATCACAGACAATGTCCGTGGCGCCCGTGGCGGTCGAGGTGGAATGCGTGGAGGTGCTCGTGGAAATCCCCGCGTAGGCTTTCCCCGCGGCGCTTCAGCTCACCCTCCGTACGGTCATGAGCTTCGTCGTCCATTCGTTCAAGGGCGTTCATCGATGGGTCCTACGGAACGCGCCCCTCTCCTACCCAGCCGCCGTCCTCTCTACCAACAAGAGCCCCTACGGACGCATCACGAGCACAGCGAATCCGATTCGGACGACATGTTCCAAGTGGAACCTTCTCGCCATCCCCTTCGACCTTCAACTCGTGAGCTTGTCGACCCGGAGCCTGATTCTGAAGGCGAAGGAACTCAGTCTCCTCCTCCCCGACAATCCACTCGTGGTGGACGTTTTGGTTCTGTTTTCAATCGCAAGGTCGTAGAGACTCAACGTCCATCCCCGCGCTTCCAGCCCCGTGACCAACGTCAGCCGATGCGCGGCCACGAAGAAGGCCAGTCTCAGACCACTCGTCAATATCCTCGTGTTCAGTTTCCTAAGATGCAACAAATTAATGAAGACCAATCTCAAACCGTGCGTTACCCTCTTCGTGGTCAGCGTTCTGGTATGCCCGACCTCGAAGACCACGCAGACGACGATCGATCTTCACCGGCGCGTCCACCTAGTCGCGGTCAGCTTCTTGGGCTACGTCATAAGGATGACAAGAACGCTCTGACAGGTCACGGCACTCATCGTACCATGCAGGAATCTGCCGACGACGAGTCGGACGGGGAGAGCCTCCACCAAACCAAGCGCATCAGACGAGACGAACGAGACGAACAAGCCGAGAGAGCTGAGCGAGACGAACGAGCCGAATCATCTCTATTCTTCAACCGCGAGGAGCCTCAGCAAACCCCCAACATTCCTCAGCAGCGTAGCAAGTTGGCGGCGTCCATTCCGAACCCAAATCTTGGAAACCTAACCGACAGAGAGAGTTTTATGAACAGCCTCATCATGTCTACTGGCTTCACCCCTCAAGCCGGTGGAACTCGCAAGAACATGGTGGAGTTAGACCCTGAAAATCATTGGATTAAGGATATGCGGGTAATTCACAAGATGTCCTGGGGAGAAATCAAGGACATAGTAAGTTCATGCATGCCTTCTTACCCAAGTCTAGCTCATCCATCTCATCATCCTCTTCTCTCCCCATTCCTCTCACTTGCTTTTCACTCCAATTAACAACCGCAACCCTTTGAACTCTTCTCTCCAATCAATAACCAAAGCTAACGCCATCCTCCAAGATGAATGCGCAACGCGCCAGAGAGAAGAAGCCCCAGACCTACAGCGAAGCCGCCGTCTACGGACGCTTCGTGCGCAACGCCCCGCGCATCGCCGAATTCAAAGGTGAAGACTTCACCGTCAGCGACCACATGCACATCAAGCCCTCGGAGCGCCGCGCCGCTGTGGCTGCCTCGTCCAATCCCCAGGTCGCCGCGCAGACCTCGACCACCGGTACAAAGTGGAATGACGAGAAGAGGGAGCAACTCATTCGCTGCTGGGAGGACGCTAATGGAGAGCTTTGGCAGGCCGTTGCGGACAAGATGGAGCTGTATTTTGCGGAGTCCTTCGATCCGGCAGAGTTAGAGAAGTTGTGGGGCAAGTTTGGGAAGGGTGGACTCATGGCACTTTCCAACATTTCTATGGATACTACCTAAAACGGTGGCGATGAGGTGCCTGAGTAGAGACGGAGTCAGACCCGAGATCTGATTTCAAGAGAGTTTCTATGCTGTCAAAAGGCCCTCAAGATCATATCACGACTGTCAGAGGAGAGCGCAGAAGGCCCGATATTAGGGTTCACGACAATGCTGCTTTTCTCCTGGCAAAACTTTTCATTCACTTGGGCATTGAGGTTGGATCACTGCTTGCTTGGGGAGGTTTGATGGATTCATTCATCTTCTCCTCCCATCACTATGGTCCACCTCCGATTTCATGTTTGTTGCCCCTCTTTCTTTTTTTTCCCTTCCCTTCCCTTTCTTTCCCTTTTCCTCCATCATAATTCTACGGCATAGCCCGGCGTCCCGGCTGGGACAACACTGATTCCCATTGCGGATTCACAAAATACCCTTCCCCTAGCCTCCTACCCTTTGAGATTCTGCGACAGGCACAATGTTTAGATAAAAAATGATGAACTGCATCGGAATAAGGCTCCAATGGAATGCGTGAAATGGTGTGATGATTTTCGCCTCTGGGTCACATCTCCATACACTCTGCTAGCACATCGCACTTCGTATATTACCCATCACGGCTTCAAAATCTCAATAATCTCGTAGACAACCTTTCTCCCGCAGCAGGATTTGAGTCGGCTATCACGTGATCTCGACCAACTTCGGATCCACCCCCGAAAGCGACAGCATCTGATAGAAGCATCTTAGAAAGATAAAGGAATCGGTACGTAGTCATTCGGGCCAAGAAAAAGCTCTACGGCATACGTACGTATCTCTGTACGATTTGTCAGAAAGTTTCGCCGTTGGAATAGCTTTCGCGTCTTTTCCGTCGCAAAGTGTGGGTGAGTTTTGCTGATTCTTTTTACATGATGGCATGATGAACGAAGTATATGAATGGAGGGCAGGATACTCTCATGTATTCAAGAAGGAAACACTTGCGATTATGACGTTGATAGAACCTTTTAGGACTTTGGGGCGGAGCCCGTACCAGAACACGGCGTTGGAAGGGCGCACTCTGGGCTCGCAAGTGCGATCTATTAGGCAGTCGGGGAATATCATCATGAAGCTGCGAATCACTGTACTTCTCTAAACCTAGGTATTTGTTCTTTTGGTATGTGGGGACCTTGAGTATAAGGCTATGTGCCCGCGGGACGTGCTTCTACGACATGGTGTGCCGCCAATAGAGTGTTCACTGTCTGTAGTTTGATTGCGCACGAGAAATGCGAGACCTTGCAGGAGAAGCAAGAGACCAAAGTTTCTTACCATTTCGACCAGAGTACCGGAAGTAGCTTGGGGTCCTTTATGTTCCAATCTGCACCAAGGGGCGAAATAGGCCCCTCTGACCCACCCCACCATATTTAGAGTCTCCAAGGTCTATGGAGTCTGCTTTATGAATTGGGAAACGGTAGCAGAAGACTCAGACATCTACGGATGGATTTACTGCGCGAATAGGCCGGCATTGTTGACATGTAACTAAGTAATACCAACATTACACCCCCGAAGGCCTCAACCCTACTCGCAAGATATGGAAGCTACTAAACTGCCCTTATCAGCTGATTGAGTCATGCAACAGTAGGGATTGCTCCGGATCATCTGCAGGGAGAGGTATATACGGAGCTCTGTCGAGTTGTTGACACTTACTGAACTACAACCAACTTCGCACCCCCGACGACCTCCACTCACGTCCGACACTTCGACGCCGCCCAGCCTCAGTGAACTCCACAGCCTTCATACTTGCCAAGCTGAAGTATCTTTGACCAGTGAGACTGCCTAAGGTAGCTAGCAAGCTGGTTACTGGACTGTTTGACTAATTTGAGGGATCTTTGCCCAAGTGACGGACCTCCTCCCGAACCTCCTCACTTTCACCCATTCAACGGCAAATCGCTCCCAAAGGTCCTACCGACCGCTGACAGAAAGCCTTCTCGCTTCTCCTGTTCCTGATAGACACGCTAGTCAACAAATCGGGAGCCTTGGAGTGATATCATCGGCTGTGCGTGCACCTGCCTTAGCCACCTCCCGTTGCTAGGCGACGGCGCAAAACTTCGCACATAAAAAGACCTTCTGCCACTCTCCAGCAGACTTTGTTCCAACAACCAACATCACCTCCGTCACCCTCCCCTCAACCATATTCACTCACTCTTACACACATTCATACACCTCTTCAAGACAAGCCAGCTTACCCAGTGCCTACCCGACAAGCTTCGCTGCCAGTATCCGCCATGGCTGCACCTCCCAATGCCATAGTGTATTCGCGGGAGTTCCACGGCGAGTCCGAAGCCCTTGCACTCCCATTTTCGAGCGTTACCAGCTTTCAGGTATGCTTTCACCTCTTCTCTCTTTCTTCCTGCATTTCGCCCCTCAGCAGGAACTTGCATGCCGCTGTCTGAGGTGCCTCGATGACCTTCTCACCTCCCAACCTTTGCTAACCCTCTCTTTAGGACCTCGTCGCCATCCTCTTCAAGATCCACAAGCAGGACCCGGAGACCCACGATGTCCACATCCACCTGAACGACGTCACTTGCAACGGCATCGTCTCCGACTTCACCTGGGAGGCTGGCGCGTATCTCACCCCGACCCAAGAGCGCCTCGACATCTTCCCCCACTTCGTCGAGAAGGGTGTTCCGTACTCAACCTATGCTCGGCCTGTCTCTCAGTCTCAGACCCCATCCGCGGTGTCGGCTCCGATGTTCCAGACCCCAGTGCGAAATGGCACCAACAAGGGCCTCTCTTTCACCGCGCCCAAGCATGCTGGAGGCACCCCACTCGGTTCGACTCGCCTGACGTGCAGCGCGCCTCGCAACCAGACTACCCGCGGCCAGGAGTCCCCCATGCCTGGCAAGACCAGCACAGGCATGCGGTCGGATCGCGAAGAAGACTCCGCCATCGTCACCGTCGAGAATGGCGACGACGACGGAAGCACCCTCTTCGTCCAGCAATCCCCCACCGAGGACGCCGAAGCCGAGTCGCCCACGGGCATCGCCAACGGCATCGAGCACATTCCCGGCCCGCCCATCAAGACCGAGGAGCAGGACATCGACCCCTCCCTCCTGGTCAACGTGACCTACACCTACTACCAGGGCACCGCCGGCGTCTTCCGCAACTTCCGCGTCCACTCTGTCGCGCTGCCGCTGGCCACCAACGTCGACGACATCCGCAACGAGATCACGGCTGCTATCACGCATAGCATCAACTCGTCGTCGCGCCTCCGCATCTTCCGCTCCCAGGTCGAGTTTGACATCTTCATCTCCGCGAACCAGCCTGGTGCGCCGAACCACGGGCTCCACGATGCGACTACGCTCGGCGCGCACATGGTCGCCATGGGTGCTGCGGGCGGCTTGCTCGTCAACACCTACATCTACCTCTCCCACGAGGGCATCCGCTACAACCGAATCGAAGACGCGATCCCGGATGCCGAGCACGCTCGTGCCTTCACCAAAGCAGCCACGCGTATTGTCAAGGCTCTTCGCGGAAAGCCTGTTGCTACTCCGAAGAAAGAACTCGCTGCAGCGCAGCCCGATGCCGATGAAGAGGGCGAAGCCATGGACGTTGATGCTGCTGAGGGCGATGACGAGGCCGCCAACGACTCCGACTCTTCAGCCTTTGCCCCGAGCGGCTCGAGCAAGAAGCGTCGCCGCGTCTCTACCCGCAACAAGACCAAGCCGAAGCCCAAGGCCCGGGTGCCGCGCTCGCCCTCCCCTTCCCCGGTCCCATCTCCCCGCGCGGCCAAGAAGCAGCGTCGTCGTGCGCGCTCCCCGAGCATAGACTCCGACGACATGATCAAGGACAACGGCATCATCGTCGGCCAGGCGCTGCGTAGCTACCACGAGGACGGCCGCCGCAACGCCATCATCGCCTGCTTCAGCCCCGCCGGCCGCGTCCTGTTCCAGGCCATCGACGAGGACCTGGCCGGCCAGAGCATCAGCGTCCGCGGCAACCCGCGCATCATGCCCGAGGAGATCGAGTACCTGCGCGAGTACCGCAAGCTGGGCCGCGACCAGCGCCGCAACGAGATCAAGCGCAAGATCGAGGCCGCCTTTGGCCCGGCCTAGGGCGTCTTTCTTGTTTTCTACCATATCCATGACCGACGTCAAGACCGTGGAGAGAGAAGACTACCAGCCGTGTGAACGTGGTACGCGGGTACTATTCTTCGGTACTATTCTCTGCCAACTCTTCTTGTCTTTTCTTCTCTTTCTCGGGGATGGCTTGTTGCTTCGACTTTGGGGTGGTGGGTGGGGTCTCGATTCCAGTACTAATTCCTTTTCCTTTTCCTTTCCCTAACTCTTTCTCTGTTGTCATTTCTTCACACGGCGGCTGTCTGTGCTTGCTTTTGATGGCGAGGGTGTCAATCACGGTCTGTTTCCCTTTGCTTCCAATCTCCCTAATGTTGCCCCACACCACCCCATTGTTAACACCGGGTGCGACGATTGGTTGTCTGTTTGTCTTGGATCGATAAATGCCCCCACCTTTATGCTTGCTTGCTTAGCCTACACCACCAGAATGTTGACAAAGGAGGAGATTACGACTGGTTCTGTGACTTGGATCGAGGTCCCTACACTTCTTCTTGTCGGTTGCTCTCAAAATGGTTTGTGGAATCGAGGGGGATGGGTGGCTATGATTGCGTGTACGATGGGTAATGGGTTCATTTTCCTTTTCCTTGGGAAGATTGCCCTTTTCATCAGTAGTGCATTGCAAGCGGGACGGATATGGCATGGAGGGTGGTGGGTTGCTCTAGGCATGACTAGGTAGAAAAGCTTCTCACCACAACCAAATTTCTGCACTATGCGTGACGATGTGACATAAACCCTGCGCGTGAGCATATACCTTCCTTGCTAACAAAAGGAACGACACAGAGGTACGATATTGTATAAGAATTTGATTAGCCAAAAACACTCCACTGACGCCCTGTCATACAGCCAGAGCGCAAGAGCGACAATCTCCTGTAGTGGTGTGCTATATAACGGAGCCATCTACGGGTTATCCTTCGAGGTACCTACATGTATTGAACGCCACAGACCCCAAATCCCCGCCTTACCCAACGCTATGCAATGCTATCAGATATCCTGGGCCCTCCGTATTGCGGGAACAGTATGAACGGTATTAGGAAGTCGGTCGGAGAAAGGAGAAATCTTGTGGATCGGTCGTAGACTTCGTTATATTTAAAGGTATCGATCATAGACTCGACTGGAGACCGGGATCTTGGCTTTAGGTAAGATTAGGCCTCGCAAAGAGGGTCTCAGGTCTCAGGTCGCTGGGTTTGGAGTCGCGGTGGCGTGACGCGACTCTGCTCCTGCAGTGGTCGGTGCGGACTTCTCATCCTCCGGCTCTTGCGCAAGTGTTGCTGCAATCTTGACGTCTTCTGGCGCATGAAGAGGTGGCGAAGCTAAAGGCGTAGAAGGATTGGACGGCTTTGCCCATGCATTTTTTCGCTTCTCCGATGCCCAAGAACCCCACGACGAGATGTATGCACTAGCACGTGAGGAGGCAGCGTGAACGGAAGCTTGTGCCTGTGAAAGATCCGGGGCTTTGGGAACTGAAGTAATGGCGTATTAAAACAAAGGCATACTGTGGGTTCGGCGTTAGACTTACATTTCGTACCTGTCGGCGATGTCCCGTTTTCAGCAGCTGCAGCTCGTTGCTCTTCGCTCCTCTTCCGCTGTGCTTCTCGCATGGTTTCTATATCTGCCCAGAGATTGTTGAACGCTGACGACACTTTCTTCTGACCTACTGCAAGCCCTTTTCCAAGAACTTCGCGACTGGCCTGGATTCGCTCATCGAGATGCATTTCTGCTACTTGTCTACATTCTCGAGTCAGTGCGGTGAAATATGGTAGATAAGAGGCAATACGGACTGTGCTAGGCGTCGTTGTACGTCTTCGATGGACAGACCACCAGAAAAGGGATGCTTTGCGTCAGAAATGTCGAATAGATGCGAGTCTATGATCTATCAGAAAAAGTCCAGGTTCGCGAAAGCTTCACAGAGACCGCCCACTCACCGGTGATCTTGTTGAAGATTCGGTAATTTTCAGTTCGCATCCAAGCCTCAATCCAATCGGAGTTGAATTCGCTAGATGGATCTCCTTCTGCAGGTAGTGCATATCAGCCGCTGAAGACGCTTCGACTAGATAGAAGACATACCATAGTCAGTCAATATGGCATTGTCGTCCCCTTTATGCTCCTGCATGTAGACCCTGTATTTCGCAGAGGCGAGCAGTGCTAATAGATACTCTTCAAATTGCAGTCGAATGAATTCTTCGCTTCCGGAGTAACCATGTGTGTTTGGACGACTGGGATTTTCTCCGGAAATGTTAACTTAGAGCAATGCATTGTCAGATTGCACTTACTCTCATCCCATGTATCGTTTACCGTGGCGGTGAGAAAGTCTATGAAACGACGATCTGGCGTTGAGAGCACCAACGAATTCCGAAGCGATGATGAAGAGATGTTGATGGTGTGTTCGTCGAGCTACATGATACCTGTTAGGAAGTGTTCTCAATTTAGCACACGGGGATGATCCTAACATTGATGAGAATGTCACTGTATCGATCCTTTTGTTGGAGCAAGAGGGAATTCGTGGATCCAACAATGTATGATTTTGTGCCATGATCGGCCAGCATGTCGAGCTGTTGCAGAGGGGTATATGGACCAAACAAGCTGCCTGTGCCAAATATTTGCAACGGTAGACCCATGTATGCAAGGACTAGACACATTAGCGCTGGCTGAATAACACAGGACAGAAAGACTAACGTGACGACCGTTCACTGGTTCTAAGTGATGTTGGCCGGACGAGATTCTCTTCGTACGCATTGAACTTGGGATCAGCGCAGTCTTGAAGGTTACGTATCAGGCCGGGTATCAGAGAAATAAGAGAGAATTGCATCATGCACAACCGCTCGCAATGCGACCCAAAGAACAACATCTACCATATTTAGCAAGCTTCATTAGGTGGAGAAGAGCGTATTATACCTTTGGTTGTAGCAAGCAGCACTTGAAGAGCACCAAGGTCTGGTGCTTGAACTCGTGGATCATCTCTCGAAGGGAGAGGCCTGTATCAAAAGTTAAAAATTAGGCCATGAGATTAACTCCGCCGCAGCGAGGACATACCAAAATACTGATCCCTCTCGTCATCGTGCTCCTTTGCACTCTTAGCCAAGCTTTCCTGGAACTTCTGCAAGATGTCTGTATCTGTAAAGTCTCTGCCTTTCATTAGCCCTAGGTGTCACCCTTCCTATCTCGAGTCAACTAACCTTTGCGAGAACCATGCCGTCGTGATGATGCTCAATTTCTCCCGAACTTGTCCAAAGTGATGCGGGCTATCGCTGATAACCACAACAGCTTTCTGCACCGTACTCCGCGTCACTTCGGCGGGCCGATTTATGAGCTCGTTTGAATCTAGTTGACGCGTGCAACTGATGCCGAAGAGGCTGGTCGCGGGGACATTGTCCTTGGCCTCGTGTCGCAGCGTAAAGTAGGAGAAGTCTTCGGTAGATCTGCACGAAAGGTGAATGTGAGCACGGCGTTGCGCATCGCGGGCGTTGAGTGGTGGGGCGGTGAGGGGTTGGAGGTATGATGCATGTGTGAAGGGACAAGAGTAGAGGAAGACGGGACAACGCACGCGTGCGCGCCGTCGCTCAGCGCCATGAACGGGAGCAGTGGCCATTCATTCTCGGTCGCAGGATCGATGCCGTCCTCCACGCCGAACCAGCTCTCGACTTCGGGGCCCCTGCGGCAAGCGGTCAGTCAGTGCGCGAACACGGGAGCGGGGACACGCGCCGCGGGCTCACTTCGCGTGATGGAATCCGACAATGCATACGAGCGGACTAAAGGGGGCCATGGCGGGCATGGTGCGCGTGTTGTTGCGTTGGGGAGCGCGGACGACGCGGTGGCATGGTCGAGGTTCGAGGTGTCGGTGGAGGAGGTATATATTTCAGCCCTATATCTAGCGCCTATGCTACCCGTGGTTCCATGACGCTGATCACCGCTCTGAATCATGTTCACATTCACAATTTCAAACAGCACCGACAGGAATATACGTGCCCCGTTGGCTAATGCACCTCCACTTAGGACCAACAATCCCATCATAGCTGCGGGTGTATAGTGTGCCAAGCTTCATATCGAGATTTTGATCTATCGTATACCGTTTGTACGAGGTATCACACATGAATGAGAAGCAGCCATCGATGCAGTTGGTCGCAGGCTCAAGAGGATACCACCGTTGCCCTGTTGTTGCTTAACTCTTGTTAAAGCCCTTCGCCATGTCACGCCTTGGCCCATGCCTGGTCGCAATCCAATTCCGTGAGAAGATCTTGCCCACCCCACACCCCATCCGAGAAAACTAAGAAAGAGATAAGGAGAAGACATCTCCTGCCATCGCCTACGGAGGGCCGTCGCAGCAAATTGAGGCTAAAGACCCGGATGGGTTCTGGAAGAGAAGAGAGCCGATTGCATCACCTGCCGTCCCCAGAAGCGTCGACTCCGGGAGAGGGACCGCATCAACTGCCGTTCTCGCCCTCACCCGTTCCTTGTCCCTGTGCATCTACATTGTGATAGTCCAGGATCTCAGAGTACCTGTTCGCGCGATCTGTCAGCGATTAGGTCTTTTTAACAACCGGAGCATAGGCCTCCAGCAGGCTTAGGGCAACTGAAAAGTCCTTACATCATGATCTTCCATGTATCCACAGGGAGGTCTGCATCGTTGAACGACCAATCAAACTTCTCCTCCGCAACTGGTTCGTCTGTGGGATCGTGGTACGGGGCGAGGTATGGATGAGCTAGGGCCTGTTCGGCCTTGACTCGCTTCTTAGGGTCAAACACAAGCATTTTTTCAAGCAAATCAACCGCTGTCTAGTGTTAGACTCGGCCAAAAGGTAGCAGTGGGTTGCAATCTTACCGTCAGGATCAGCATTCTTGAACTTTTGGCTCAATGGCTGGCGCTCTCGCTTTGGTAGGGACTGAACGAATCGTAGCGTCTGGTATTCTAATTAGCAAAAGTCACCGACAACGACTTGACACATCTTACATTCTCGCTGCAGATGGTCTCTATCACATCTTGTGGTGGTGTTCCGAGCAGCTCTGTGATGATGGAGAATTGATTGACATGGTCTTTGCCCGGGAACAGGGGCTTTCCTTCGAGCATTTCTGCGAAGATGCACCCGGCGCTCCAAATGTCTACCTCAACATCGTATTTTTGCCAGGTAAGCATAATCTCGGGTGCTCGGTAGTATCGCGTGGAAACGTAGCCAGTCATCTGGGGATCCTGAATACGGGCCAAGCCGAAGTCGCAGATCTTGAGATCACAATTCTCATTCACGAGGATGTTGCTGGGCTTGAGATCACGGTGCACCACTCCTGCGGAATGGACATATTTCAGCCCACGCTGCGCCATGTCAGTCAATCGCATCGCAACCAGAGGCGGTTGTGCGTACCAAGATCTGGTAGAGGAAGTATTGGATGAACTGCTTCTCTAGGGGTCTCGAGGTAAGAAGGCGGTGGAGGTCGGTGCCGAGGAGTTCGGTGACGAAGTAGCTGTACTGTGCGTTAGCGAGGGCGATGATGCGTCTAACGGTGGCATTACATGTCTTCCAGAGGAGAGATGAAAATATCGCTGAGACTGATGACCTGCGGGCAAGTCAGATTGCGGCTATTTCCGGACTGTGGTCTCCAATGCTCACATTTTCGTGTCGCAGATGCTTGAGCAGCTTCAGCTCACGGTAGGTTCGCTTGGACAGGACCGGCGTGCTGAAGGGCTTCATGATCTTCTTGATCGCCACGGCTTGGTTTGTGAGCTGATCCTTGGCCGAGCTGTAGCAGTATTAGTCTTGTCGTCTAAATCATGTGGTGCGAGCGTAGTACCAAACAAGGCCGAAGGCTCCCATGCCCACGGGCTGCAGATCAGTATATCTAGGGCTGCGGTTAGCACAACACGATACGTCGCGCGGAGGGGCACCGTACCTGCTGGTGATCTCAAATGTCGTGCCGAAGATCTGGGCGCGCACGAATTCAGCCATGATGAGGTGGTGTTAGAGGGGGGATGCGGCAAGCGCAGGTGGGAGCGAAGATGTGGATAGGGTCGGTGTGGATAGTCAACGTGGTGTTGTGGGCTTGGAGATGTCGCGGCGCCGCGAGCAGGTTTCGACCAGCGCGCTTCTAACTGGGCTCCGTCTAGCGAGTTGGACAGGCAGGCTCCGGGCACGGAAGAGGATGCTAGAAGCTAGAGGAGAGGCCACGGGCGGGTGGCAAGCTGCGGCGCGTGTGGATTGCTGCTTCAGGGCCGCGGTGCCACAAACAGTGCAACCCGTGGGACGGAGGGGCGGCGATGTGGCGGCGGGCGAGGCTGTGGGCGCTGCTTGGAGGGCGGCAAGCGGTGCTGGTGGGTCGGTGGGAGGCGGCGATCGTTACTATGAAGGGCGAGAGGAAGAAAATAAAGGTGGTGAGAGGGAGGAGTGTACTCCGGGTCTTGAGGGGGTGCGTCTGCCATCTGCTGTGGAGGCACTGTGTGCTGCACGGGATCGAAGGCCCGAAAACTTGCACGCTGCATGGCCGGCGGCGACGTCATCGCTGCTCAGAGCAGGCCTCAATTGGGGCTCCGGAATGCCATTTCATCTCTGCATCGCCGCCCGTGCACCGCGCCCCGGGTGCCTGAGTCCAGCGAATCCAGCCGCTGCCAACACCCCGGACAGCCCCAGAAAGACGCTGGACAGGGCCTTGCGCGACAACAACAAAACTGCCTTTGTGCCTGCCCATGCGTTGCGCCTCGCCCGCCGTTGCGTGCCTGCGAGCCCACTCGTCGTCCGTCTTCTTGCAGCTGCCGCGTTCCTTTCATGCCGACGCCCTCCGCGCTCTAGCCCGCCGACGTCCCCGATCCGCCCAACCCCACGGCGACACAGCGGGCAGCGCGAGCGACGGAAGAAGCATGGCGGAAGAAGCATGGTGCAGTCTGGCAGTGGAGGGTCACACGTCTCGCTGCTGGGGCCGTTACGACGTCTGCCGGCTTCGCTGCCCTCTGCTGGGGATCTGAGGCCGCTTAGTCGCAGGCCGCTGAGAGAGCTGGGGCCCAAACCGACACCTTAAAATAGTGCTCCTCATCCGGACGTATCCTGCTCGAATAGGCACCGCAGCGTGGCTATCAACTGGCATCTCCACCGTACATGCAGCGTTGCTGACAAGGGACTCCGGAGCACTTGGCCTGGGGAGCGCTTGCTGGAGCCATGGAGCTGTCTGATAGCTGCATCTTTAGCCTGCAGCCGACACAATAGCCGTTTCCAGTGTGCACGCAACGACCCATGCGAGTAGAACCATCCTCACATTACGACTCATGCTCAGGAGTAGTAGCGTCGGCATGCTGGAGGTAGTTGCGCAGCTATGAGAAACCAGGTCGTGGAAGACTATCTATCTACATACATCTCTATGTCTGGGTGGCATGCCGATCACCAAGCTCAAGTTACAAAACTTGGATACGCATCTGGCTGTTCCCGCCGATCTAGTGTTCATGGTAATCATCAATCATCAGCATCACATTAAAACCAATGTCATCGTCACCTCTCCGGAGTTCTAATCATGTGCTGAGCCCCAAACAGTGCCGAGATGAGCCAATCCTGAGCATTTGAAACCGCTAATTCTTGCTCTGGCGGATTCTACACCTTGCCCGACGTTCTAACAGCAATTTGAAGACCGTGAGCAGTAGCGAGGTGAGCAAGCTTCTTTTCATACCGTAACACGCTCGATCGTGCGCGGCTCCAAGCTTCAGGCTGTCTGTGGTGGAAGCCACACAGGTTGCTGGTCTAGACTTCGGCACGGTGCCTAGCAGGTGTTTGGCCAGTTCTAACCTTTGTAGGTTTCAAGACTGAAGGCCCTCGCTGTCACGTCACGGCTGGCGATGCCAGGAGCACACCTGCCGCACTCGTTCTGCGCCCTGGCCGTCTTAGAGCACGTTCGGTACATAGCCCTATAGAATCCTCGCACCACAGCGCCGTGTCCATCTAGAATACGGGTACAAGTGGTGACCTGCCCAATTGACGGGGACCGCGGCAGCAAGGCGGTTCTCAGGGCAGCAAGAGGAGTGTGTGACGACCTTGTATTGCGAAGCTGTCAAACCCGGGAGGAAACTGGGCATCATGGTCCGTCGGCTCTGTTCCACGTGTGGCAGACACATGGCCGTCGGCAGCAGCGTGAGAGTCAGGCTTCGTTGAACATGAAGCGGCCATCTATGCCGACTCGGTATGAGGTAGCCCAAGGAGCTATCCAGCGTCTCAGAATCGTCGGTTTCCGATTCCCAATAACCTGCCAGGGGCCTCAAGCGGTGCCAGACAGGTGTACATAGCCCAGAGTGGGGTGGTGCGTGTGTATCTACCGTATCGGAAGTCTAGGACAAGATCACAGATGCGCAGGCGGCCACGTTTTGTATAAGGCTGAGGGTCGAGACGGCCGTCTGCAGCGCTGGGGAGAGGCAATTGGGATCCCGCGCAGTGTCTGTTGGTGTGGTGTTTGAGAGCTGGCAACGCGGCCTCAGCAGCTCCAGCGCTTAGTGGGTGATTATTTTGGGAGCCCGGCGTCATCAGAGATCGAGAGATCGAGAGCGTCCCGAGTGCGCGCTGTAGCCCTTGTTCGAGTACGACTGTAACCTCCAGACTCCGATACCAGGCCGCCCGCTCCAGCGCTGCCCACGCCCAGCCCAGCACCGCGCCTGCAGTCCATGTGCACCGACGGCGCCCTCAGCCGGTGGGACTGCTCCATTCCCGGCTCCAGCTCCTCTGCGCCCTCAGCCTCGCCGTCCCACTGCCGGCTCTCGTCAAACACGCGCAGGTGAAGATCCGCCTGCCAGCCCGCCGCCTCCAGCCCAGCTCCTCTCCACCACGCTGCCCTCACGCCCATCGCCCGCGCCGCTGGACTCGCCCGCCCGCATCGACCCGGCCTCAGTGTGCCTCCAACGCCCCGATCCGCTTCCGGGGTGCCTTTGCTTGGAGCACCAGCGCACAGATCACCGCCCGGTGGCTCCTGCACATCGCAGGCCGCTCGACCTCCAACAGCCCACGGCGGACATCGCGACCTCCAGCCTGGACCCTGAACGACGACCTGCTCGCGCCGGCGGACCGCCTCCATTGCTTGGGCCCAGCGCTGGCGACCTGTGCCTCCCCTCTGCCGCTCCGCCCAGCGTCCGCGACCGCGCCGACGACCTCTCTTGACCCTCTCCATCTCGCTGCCGGCGGGCGTGACCCACGCCCTGCATTCTTCTGCGGCTTCAGCACTGAGACCGTGTCTCTGCGGTGCCCCCGGCGCCCTCCCTTGCGACGCGACCAGCCGCCGCCTGCCAGCTTTGTTCTCGATACCACCCTCAACTCCTCCGCGGCTGAGTGCCGCCGCACCGCATCGGCACCATGGGTCTCTGCATGAGCACAAACAACGAGGATGTCGAGCAGAAGAAGCGGAGCCAGGCCATTGACCGGAAGCTGGAGGAGGATTCCCGGCGACTACGACGCGAGTGCAAGATCTTGCTGCTAGGTACCACCGCCCGCTCTGGCGCATTGACTGCAGACTGCACATTCTAACCAGCCGTCTTCTAGGATCCGGAGAGAGCGGCAAGTCGACTATTGTCAAGCAGATGAAGATTATCCACCAGAATGGCTACACCATGGACGAGCTGGCCCAGTACCGCCTCACCATATACAAGAATGTCATAGACTGCGCCAAGTCTCTGATAGGTGCCATGCGACAATTCGACGTCCAGGCCGAAGACCCTGCGACCGAGGACTACTGCAACTACCTGATGGAATATGTGGTGGATCCGGACCCCGAGAAGCCTTTAGAGTACAAGGTCGGCCAGGCCATTACCTCTCTATGGCGCGACCCTTGTGCGCAAAAGGTCCTCGAGCACTCCAGCGAATTCTACCTGATGGATTCCGCACCATAGTACGTCCGCTGCACCTTCTGCAGCCTCGCCTGCTAACACATACAGCTTCTTCGACGAAGTAAACCGGATAGCGTCGCCGGACTATATTCCGCAAGAAGCAGATGTGCTAAGGGCGCGAACGAAAACGACCGGTATATACGAGACACGATTCACCATGGGCCAGTTAAGCATACAGTGCGTTTGCTATAGCATTTTTTAAGGAGTCTGGCTAATAGCAGGGCAGCATGTTCGACGTTGGAGGCCAGCGTAGCGAGCGAAAGAAATGGATACATTGCTTCGAGAACGTCACGTCAATTATCTTTTGCGTAGCGCTCAGCGAGTACGACCAGGTGCTGTTAGAAGAGAGCAGCCAGGTAAGATTTCCACTTTGCTTATATTTGCAGTGCTGATTATCATCACCAGAATCGGATGATGGAAAGTCTGGTCCTATTTGACTCGGTCGTGAATTCGAGATGGTTCATGCGGACAAGTATAATATTGTTCCTCAACAAGGTCGATCTTTTCAAGGCCAAGCTAGCACGGTCGCCTCTAGGCAACTACTTCCCAGACTATTCAGGCGGCAACGACGTGAATCGGGCAGCAAAATACCTCCTGTGGAGGTTCAACCAGGTCAATCGGGCGCACCTAAATCTATACCCTCAGTAAGCGATACTGTACATGAAAATGGCACTTTCCCTTCGCATGCTAACCAGGAACAGTCTTACTCAAGCCACCGATACCTCAAACATCAGACTCGTGTTCGCGGCTGTCAAGGAGACAATTCTTCAAAATGCGTTGAAAGACTCAGGCATTCTATGACCTCGGCCCTATGTCACTTTCCTTTCGCATGTCCTTTTTTCCACGAACCACCGCTCTGTGCATACCCATCCACGTGCACTCCCATCGACACTCACCGATTTCATCATTCCTACGACAAACCGCCATCACGACACGACCTACCGTCCTCGCTGCGTAATATCAAGCACATCTGGAGGTCACGAGCCGGGATCTGGGACAGTCGATTTGTCTCCTTTTTTCGAGCGCAGCATTGGAGTCTAGGCGTTATTACGGGGGGCCTCCATCGGGACATATCCCCTGGCCGGTGTCAAATTTCTTCGCACAAACCCAGGGGTAGCATTCCTGGGGAAACGAGGGACGAGGTTGTTTTCTTCTCTCTCTCCCATATCAATGCCGCCCTTGTTTGCCAAGTCTCTTCTTATCTCTTTTACTATCTTTCTCCGAAACAAAAGTCCGCATGAGATCTTTATATATCGCGCGTATCCGCTCAAATAACTTATTTCCACGTGAGGGAGGGATGAGCCAAACCTAATTCCGCGAGGAAACTGTACTCGGCTTTCTTTTTCCATGTGCACTGGTGTGTGTTTTGTCTGTTTTCCGTTTTTCAATCTTGGGCTTTTGTCTGTTGCGTGTCACGGGTGAGTTGGGTGAGTTATGTGGTTACTTGTACGTTTATTAGTCTCTCCTTGAATTGCCACGCTACGAACATCCATACCTATACACACACAACAACAACTCGGGCTCTCTTTTTCCGCTCCTCCCAATCTCGTTTGTTCCCGTCGGTTGGCCTGTCCGTTCTTACCGCTTTCTAGCAATGGCTTCTTTTTCACGGCAGGAGTGGCGGGCTTTTGAATCAGATTTCCTTCATTCTATCTTCTTTGCCAATTACTTTCTCTCGCCACGTGTTGTGGTGTACGGGTATCAAATAGAGTACCTGGGGCTTTTGTGTTTATCTACTAGGATCGGCCGGGGGAAAGCGGGGGGAGGGGTTCCCGTGGGGCTAGGAAGAAAGAGTTACGCAGGCCTCGAAGATATGAGGGTTTTTGGATTGGATACATGAGGGGCGGCTGGGTTTGTTGCAATAGCTGGGGTATCTAGTGCTGCAAATGGTTTAGGGGGGTAGAGATAGACACGAAATGAGAGCGTACTGTTCATGTGGGGTGGTTTTGTGTGATTGAGCTGTGATGTTTGATACGTTGAGGTGCCTTGACGGTAGGTTCTTGGCAAACGAAAGGCGTACGGAAAGATTGACTCCGTCTGACTCCGGATTGGAATAGGAGAGACACGGCGGATTTGGAAGCGTGCTTTGGACTATGGGGGCGGGAACGGTCGTGCTTACGAGGCCCGCTACAGGTTGTGAGTGGGACTCCGCGGGGAGTGGCCGGAGCCAATGAGGAAGCGAGGATCATGGATGAAGTTAAGTGGTTCGGGTTGCATATCCTTAAATTTGCAGCACCACTCTGGCTCGAGAAAGTAAACCTGTCCTGCCCGTCTTGAGCTGAATCGAAAGCCACCGATCCCATCCCATCTCGTCCTCCCCCAGCCCTCCCATCTCAAACCCCTTTCTCGCTTCAACGGAACTGCGAATCCTGAGGCTCCGGCTTGACGCTGTCGTCATCAAATTTGAAATTAATATAACGGTCTGACATTTGCCTTTCATAAAGTCGTGGGCTGCTAGGGTGGTTAGGTCACTTGATTACCGGACTTACCTGTCTACACTTCATTGTGGTTGCTTGAAGGTTTCCGGAGTTCGGAGTCGCTGCTGTTTGGAGCAATGCTTCCTGGAACCCTGTGGCTATCACACGGATATACGGAGTCTCGTGATGGAGCTCTCCGCCCATGAAATTTGTTAGTGAGTGGTCTGGCGGGGAGGGTTGAGTCAGTAATGGGGGAGAGGGAGAGTTTTGGGTATGAAGAGGGGAGCTGGGATTTTTACAACCTGAAGATTGCTTAACTGGATTATACATCCGCAAAATGAATAAACCAGCCAATCACCCCAGACGTTGTCTTCGAATTTGTTGACTCTATGGTACCATACCCCCTCTGGCCGTGCTGCTCTTCGTGAACCAGATGGCGCTGTCAGTGGAGTTGACCCTGACGGTGAAGGCTGCCGTCTCAAGCTCCCAGTCCTCTTTCGTCTACCTAACGTGCCTAGGTACGATGTACGAAGTAGAAGTAGTAGGTCTTAGTGCTCATTACAGTCACGTGAAACTCACATGTAAGGTTACATCACGTGGCCGTCATTGAGCCATGCTTGGAAACCAGATCGATAACGATAACGAAATTCTACGAGACATATAGCGACAGTAGCTGGGCACTGTGTCTTGGTGTAAAAAGAGCGTCCATCGTTTGCAGCTTCGTTCAAGTTGTGTCTCCCTAAGCTTCGCCTGATCCTCTCATAGCGTCCTGCATCAAAGCATCAAAAGGTGGGGTCGCCGTCTGCTCAGCTCACAGCAAAACTGATCTGTTTGGCGCTGCGTGCTTGCCGAGTGTGTATACATCTCATAATGTCGGTCTTCAAGAGCAAGTTCCAACCGCTTCACACTCTCATGGTATTCCCAAAATCTCGAAAGACGTGCCGCCAACGCCTGTTCAAAGTGCGGCGCAGCGACTTCCCACATTCTTTCATTTTGGTAGAATATACCAATGCGTTCAAGAATAAGGATTGTTTGCACATCATCCGAACCAAACGTCTCTCGCGCATCGGATTCGACTTGAATGAACATGTCGTCTGCGTCTTGATGTCGTCCGGCTTTCACAAACCCTTGAATGCATGTAATGCAAGCTTCCAGGATGTCCTTCGTCTTGTTCTCGTCCAAGGCATTAATGGCCCAGAAGTTATGACTTGCTCGGTCGAGGGCATCCGCTTTCTTCTCTGCATCTTCAATGTCCTCGTAAAACTCTAGAAGAGCAGTCCAGCAGAGCATAGACTGCTTTGCGAGTTCTTTCGGGTGTTTCTCGCAGTGCTTGACCAGACGAAGTAAACGGACATCCGACCTTTCCTCTCTTTGCATTCCCCTTGCTCCTCCGCGAAGATGGGCGTCTATCAATTTAGGTTCAACTGGTCCTTCGAGCGGGATTGAAAAGCCTGAAGACGGTCCACGCGAAGCTGAAGTTGCTTGGCTCCTCCCCACAGCGTGTGAAGGAATATTGACATCGTCCGACTGAGCAGGCAGCTCGCTGTCCTCTAAGTGATGCAACACCTGTTCAAGATATGCTGCTGCGTCCCTTGGCCGATCCCAATTGCGAAACATGTCGACGACAGCAAAGACGTGATCGAGACTTCTAGAGTCCCTGGGGCCAAAGCGTTGCAGATGTTCTTGTGTAATCCGACCGAGGACTGCGTCTGCATCTCTCATACGAACCATTTTGGCGTAAAATGAAGCTAGCCAGTATGCTATAGACTTTGTATACGGATGAGTGGCGGAAAGAAGGTTGTTGAATCCCTCCAATGCACTTCGAAGCTTCGTTTCCGCGTCACTAAGTCGTCCCGACCGTTCGTCCTCAATTGCTTCATCATATCGTGTCTGAAAGTCTGATTATGCGTCCCCGTTCCAGGTGAACCTCATTTGATTCGCATCAGGACCGTGGGCGGACGACGGAGTCCATTTTTGCTGAGCTTCATGGGTAGAAGTAGAGCGAAAGATCCGTGGCGAGGACACATCGTTTTGAGGAGTATTATAGTTGATTCCACTTGGAGTACTCTCATCTTGAAGCACGTCAGTATATGGTAGGTCAAAAATGGCAGTCAACTACCTAGACTCAAACTCTGCGTTTGCATTTCAACTTTCTTTCGTTCGAGACGCGGCCGGGTGTTCCCCTCAGTTAGTATTTGACCCCGAAACTCGAACATTGTATCCTTGTCATGCTCAACCTTTCCCTGCTCGGCCTTATGCAGCATCCATAACCCTTCCTTGTTTGGTATACAAGTATTCTTTGACCATTTCCACCTTCTGAACTGCTTCTTGTATTGATCTTCGCTGTGTGGGGCCATTAGCAAGACCAATTCGACTAATGTGTCAGCAACAGCCAACAGCAGAGGAACGTACGAAGCTACAAAATGATGTTCCGCTGCCATCTTTGCCATTGTGTCTTGGAGCGAGTTGCCCCCATCGATCCAAAGCTTCCGAATATAGGGTTCGTACTTGGTCCGACTTTTCTTAGTAATCACGGCAGAACGACCCGAGGAGCTTTGAGGTTTTGGAGGAGGGTTCATTAGCTTTGTGGAGAGGCGGGTCGGGGCTGGAGAGGCAGAGGCCATCAGTGGTTGCTGTGCGATAGAGCTAAACGAGAGCATAGAAGGAGCCCATGAGTGAGGCACGGTGTCTGCGTAGACATTGCTCAAAGCGCTTGCTGAGGGATCTATCGGCACATTCTGGCTGCCTTGATCCCGTTCCGAAGAGAAGAGTTGCGAGAGACAACTTGAGCCCTACGACCTTCTTGCCCCATGGCCTCGTTGGCTTTCGGCCTCGTTGGCTTTCGGCCTCGTTGGCTTTCAGCCTCCTGACGCTGTGGCAGGGCTACACCCCGTCCCCAAAATGCTTCCAAAGGGCCTCCAAGGTGCCCTCATCTCTCTATTGGTGGGAGCAGATTGCGCATGTCTGCGGCGAGCTACGACCCCACTTCAACGCCTCCCACAGAATCATCCAAGTGCCCATGCGCAATTCACTGTTTAATAGACCGTCGCCGTATTCAATTGAAACTTTCACTTACAAAAGTGCTGCCAAAGATGGCACTTTCTTGCCCACCAATGGCTGCCCAAGATGTTTCCGAATGCTCCTGTAGGCTTCCTCAAACACCTAGCTACCGAAGTGCCTCCCAAAGGGCCTCAAGCACCTCCGCAATGACCCTGGAATCGTGTCAAGATGTTTCTGAAGGTCTGCAAGCGACTTGTCTACTACCTGCGCAGGCTATTTAAAGCTGCCGCCGTCTCGATAGAAATCGTGTCCTTTCACGTTTCGTCACAGTAGACCTTCATTCACAGTGCCCGCGGTCTACATTTTCTCCTCGAATACCTTGTAGGTCCACGTGAGCATTGTACCCGAGCAGTGTCCCCAGTTTCAAGCTTACACTTACATACTCCAGACTTCTATAAACAGATATGGAAACTCCTTGTGATGTCCCTTCCGACAAGACAATAGAGAAAGGCACCTCGAGGCCTGCAGTGAGCTTGCTCCCCTCGCCCATGGATGAGAGATAAACACTTATCAATCGCCAATCTTAGATTGAAGGGCTTACGGAGCCCTCACGAGACATACCCGGTACCCATGTTGCAGTACATCGGACGTGGGATACAGCCAACGCTGAGCCGGGATCTGAATTTTCCAAGGTGATTGACGAAGCTGTGAAGGCGGCATTCAGCTCAGCGGATATGCCTGCTCCGGCTTTCATTCAGCGCTGGCAGAATGAGTCCATGCGGCATCAGCCATTTCACAACATTGGAGCGGTTGGGTATCGCATTATCAAGAAGGCTGAGGGGGCAGTTAGTTTGATCGATGAGGGCAATGGGTCGAGTCTTGAACACCTGTCTAGCGGGAAACACATATAATCAAGCTTTTGAATAGGACAGATATAACTCTTTATGGCCCTTTGTTTCCTCGTGCCGTTCACTGGCATGCGAGCACGCCGAAGAATCTGGTGTTTCATTGGTTCGGAATTCGTATGGTAACCTTCTTTCGGGCATTACAGTACTTGCGTAGGTAGAAAGTTTGCCTTGTTTCCACACCAAGAAAAAGCCGAGGCAACAGCTTGCAACCGCGGCTGAGCGTCGTCGCCCCATGCAATGCAACATATCATTCGATTTTTCCAGACCCCCGAAAGAGTTAAAGGCAGTCTTCCGCGCACCTATAAGAACCCTCCGCGTACCTGAAGAACCCTCCGCGTACCTGAAGAACCCTCCGCGCACTGAAGATAACTTGCCTCAGCCTAGTAATCTCACATGAATCTGTTCCCCCAACCAGCCTCGTGAACGCCCCGAATTTCCATTTCACCACAGCGAATTGCCGCATCTGAACACTTGGCTCAGTCTTCTATTTTCTGGGGAAACGTAGGTGCTTCCCGAACTGTTGGGGCTCGAATAACGATTTAATGGCTAAGTCGATGCTCATCTTTGTAGTACTTGCCCTGCTTGCCCAGAGACACAGAAATGGACTTCCTGACCCCCGGTCTTTTCGCGGAGTCTAGAGACGAGCCGGACGAAGTCGACGAGACTATCGGGCAGAAATTAGAAGTCAAAATGTATGAAGCCCGTTACAATTCAGCAAACCACAGGATCATCTTGGAAGCCGGAACCAAAAGATCGACATTTACCTTCAAAGAGCGAAACCATGAATCAGCACTCATCCTGACACGATACTATGATAGTCATAAAGAGCTTGAGTATACAGAAATGGAGGTCCACTCTCCTTACATCCAAGAAGCTCTTCGGACCGTCATCAAGAAGTACCCGGGCCTCACCTTTGACAATGCAAAGATTGTTATCCGGGACGAACCCAGGTGCATTTTTCATTATAGAAATGAAATTCGGGATTATGGAATGGGCCTTGTCAACCAAACGGCGGTACAGCACCTTGTATTCTTCCTCAACTACATGTACGATTCATTGACTCGCGAGATATCGGCCTACTACGCCTTTATGGAGTCGCCAACATGCGCTCCAGGCATCGAGCATGATCTTCTATGGATGGCCTTCAAACCCGGGGAGTTGATCTACCACATGAAAGACGGCATCCACATAGTTATGAAGTTCACTTCCATGAGGAGAACGCACCCCTCAAGGTGGTTGCTGAATGCGGAGGCGATTACGTACAATGGAGATGTCTTCGGCTACACCGAGCATTTCCTGTCTGTTCCTTGGTACGATGGCTACGAACCTCTTGAAGAGCTCAGCGTCTTTCCCCTCCGTCACCATTCAAATAAGGAAGAGATACAAGAAGCGCTAGTCGCTAGAGGCCGAAAGTACGTCAATTTGAGGAATACCTGTCAGCGATATTATTCAGGGATTGCAGAGTCCCTCTCGCGATTTCGACCGAATTCCGGACGGGAGGAGAGTGATCACTACAGCATCCAGTCTACTATGGTACGTTGTATGAGTGAACTTTATGAAGATTGCTGAGACCTTTTAGATCAAGGGACGTATAATGGTTGATTGCACCAAATTTGGAATGGCTAGACCAGGGCACAAAGAGCACATTCCAATTTCGGAGCAATTGAAATCTGACTTGGACGGATGACCCATATTCCCGGATGATGAATGGTGCATATTCGACCACGATATACCGGGGTTCTCCTTCTCCACAAAAAGGTGGTGCAGGTTTGAGCTAGACCGAATAGCTGAAATCGACTATGATACCAGGGCCTTTAAATCACTGGTTCTTGCGGAAGGCCAGAAAAGGATGATACTGTCACTTGTCAAGGTCCATTCACAAAACGAGCTTCAATTCGACGACCTTATCAAAGGGAAAGGAAAGGGTATCATTTTCCTACTCCACGGCGAACCTGGAGTTGGGAAAACGCTGACGGCAGGTAAGTATCGAGCAGCCTACCATGATGGATTAGAAAGTACTGAGCCTGCAATAGAAAGCATTGCTGTTTACACAAAACGACCACTATACACCGTCTCCTCCGGCGACCTTGGCGTGTCTGCACCGGAATGCGAACGTGCTCTCATTGACATCCTTGGTCTGGCTACATGTTGGAATGCAATCCTCCTCCTCATTGATGAAGCGGACGTCTTCTTGGAACAACAAAGCAACCACGATTTGAAGCGCAATGATCTCGTGTCAGGTGACTAGAATATTCCCCAAGGCCTTTTACTGCTCTGGTACTCACTCTGTTATAGTCTTTCTTCGACTCCTCGAATATTATGAAGGCATTATGTTCCTTACATCAAACCGCATGAAGGCCTTCGATACTGCTTTCAAATCTCGCATTCACCTTGCGATCAACTATCCGAGGTTGTCTGGGCCTTCCCAGCGGGAGCTTTGGCTTACTTTTCTGACAAATGATTCCCAACGCTCAACACCTTCATGGTTGACGGAATCTACTCTTCAAGACCTAACTGAAAAAGGGCTGAACGGTCGATAAATCAAGAATGCTGTGCGCATCGCAAGCGCCCTGGCATTAGCCGACGATGGTAGAAACATGCAATCGGAGGACATATATATGAGTGTGAGGATGATGAATGAATTCGAAGCTGACTTTTCCGCAGGCAGTCAGGACCAGCAAACGGCAGAATCTTCTTCTGGGTCCAACTACCAAGCTCAGGAAGATCAAACATCCGCAGATTCTGGGCGTGGTTTGAAGAGACGGAGGATCGATTGAGCCCAAAGTGTATGCCCCTTGTAGTTGAGTAGACGAGTACGAGAAGCCAAGGTCAGCTTTCTTTTTATTGGAATAGACAGATTCGCGCCTACGTTGAATATTTGGACTTTCTTAGCAGTTTATTGCATTCAATCATCGTCAGCTTTACTGGGAGCTCTGCCAAATCTCAGCAAGATACACTCGAAATGGTTACACAGTCCCAAAACTCTAAGCAGCCCCATGATCTTTGTACGGAAATGACAATGAGACGATGCTCTAGCGTAAGAAGTCTAGACCTGACAGCTCCCAGATAACCAACAGCGGCGAGGAATTTATGATCTGCACGGTAGATATAGCGCTTCCCGAAAGGGCCTGTTTCACCTAACGCTTCTCTTGCTTGCTGTGTTCTGGGAACAGACAGGTAGAGACTGGTCTAAATGACGCGAGTGATTTGCATAACCCAATTTTTTCCGATATGTCAGTTAAAAATTCGGGCTTCATTCCCGTTGCGGATGAAGATAGTAGTCTTTACGCCCTCTTTCTGACCTCTTCTCCCGCTCAAACTCCCAGCAACACAGCTAACGCGTGATAATCCCCCGCCACATCAATCAGGCTCCCCGCCCACTCCTCCACAGCCGGCGTTTCTCCTTCAGTTGGGAACTTGCTTCCCGCAATCTCGAGCCTCATCGCATTGACCACAATCCCTAACATCATCTTCGCATTCATCAGACCTTCTTGCCTCGATAGGGTGGATAGTGTAGTGAGGGCGCGATGACGGAGTGGCGCATCGCGGCACTTTACTGCGAGCAGGAAGAGCGGCATCACGATTCCCGTGTCGCAAGAGACGCTTCTCGGCAGCGAGTTGTCGCCGTCACCGGAGCTGGAGGATTGAAAGAGCAACAGCAACTCGATTTCGGATAGCAGTGTTCGAAGCTGCATGTCGACAGCCGGCTCCTCCGCGGGCTGGGGATACGAGAAGGACAGCACGGCGACACAAATATTGTAGGTGAGCTTCATGAACGAGATGGTCTTTGCGAGTCCGACGTCTCTGAACTCCGTAGCGTTTGAAGGCGCACGCGGGGTGAGTTCTTGGATGGCAGTATCCCAACGTGCGAATTGGGTCCGGAGCGCGTGTAGCTCGCGCGAAACACTGTAGGGCATGGCCCCGGGCGGGAGGAATTTGTACTGCGCATAGCTAATGAGAAAATGGAGAAGCCAGTTCTGCAACGTTTCTAGCGTCTGCTGTGCTTGGGCCGGGGAATGGAAATGTGAAGGGGTGCAGTCCGACTGTCCAGAGGTTACGTCTTTTGAAACTAGGGCGAACGACGGTATCCGATCGTCCTTGAAGACAGAGAGCTGCATATCGAGGCGAATGAGAGTTGTTCGCAGGGTGTCTAAGTTCTCATGAAAATTTAAAGCTTGGATCAAAGGCGCGGGACCAGAGAGAGAGCCAGGGTGCCAAGACTCGAGGAGCCTGAGTCCAGTATCTAGGTGTTTGACTGCCCATTCATATTCGCCCCGAACGCTCTCGAAGCAATGGAACAGAATGCAGCAGACTATGACGGCCTCCTTCTTCGGATCCGGGCTTTGGGATAGGTAAATTCGGAAGCGGCGAAGGGCCTTGTTGTGCTGGGTCAAAGTAATGCTAGAAGGGCCCTCGGCGACGTTGCTGGCCGGACTGAAAGTCGCATAATCGCGGTGGATTGACGCCAGAGCGATGAGCGCCTCCCGAACGACAGGCAGCTGGAAGGCCAATTCGAATACTAGCTGGCGCCAAAAGGAAGAGGAGCCTGTGGAAAAGCCGCAGAGGTCCCTGGCGGCATGAATGTAGTAGTAGTGGAAGATCTGGCGATCGTGCTGGCTCCCTGGGATCCGAAAGGGCAGGGAATAGAATGATGTGGTTAGTAAGCTAGGGCGCTGGTCACGTGGATAGCCGTCACACTTGCGTCCAGTTTGAGTGCATCGTAGACAGTGAGGCTTAGTTTCGTCGCACTTGACACGACGTGTCCTAGAGATCATTTAGGCTGTAACCTATTCGCCTCATAGAGACTAGTAGAGAAAACGTACTTGCAGGTGAAGCATCCCGTGCGAACTCGAACACGGACGCGGGATGCAGCAATCGGTGCCTTGTTGAGGGCTTGTTGGCTTGGAGTGGCGAAAACCAAAACGGATGCGTCGCCGTGGTGTCGCATGGTCAATGATCGGCTATTTCAAGAAGACTCCCTCGATGCTCGGGATTCGATGCAGAGCCAGGAGCCCAGCGGCATTATAGCGAAGTGCTCATGCTACCCAAGGGGCTGTGGTGGACGCGTAGTGGACCCGTGGTGGGGTTAAGGTTGGAAGGGGTGAGTTCTATATAAGATGCTGTGGGGCACAAGTAGCGCGAGAATAGCCGATCTGACCAATTAGAATATTGCTCTGACCACGCACCTCTACTACTTATGTAGCATGTTTTTCCGTCCGACGAACCACGGTGGATATGAAGCCACCGCAGTCAGAAAGCTCAGGACGTCCACTGGTTCTGTTGAAAAAGTGTCATTGCACGATGCTCAGCCACCTTGGCGAGGATTACCGATCAAGGCGTTCTCGCATGGGCCGTAATGGGTGTATAAAGCATGCTGCCAGCTTGTCTTCTCTCCTTATGAGCATCTTCTTGAATGCCTGCTTATATCCAATCTCGTTACAATCATGCTGACTCCTGCTACTTTCCTTTCTCTTGCGCTCTCGCTCGTACTTCTACTTGGTCAAGCAGACGCTGCTCCATCTTTTCCGCGTGGGGACATGATACAAGACTGGGCAAAGGTTTATATCAATTAGCTCTGTCAAATACGGCCGCAGCTCACCATAGTAGATTGCGCCATCAGCTGATGTTAATTGGAGACCTTGCTTCGATAACTTTACCTGCACGCGTCTTAAGGTGTGTTGTTGTGCTCCCTTTCTGTCATCATTCCAAACTAACCAGCTGCAGGTCCCATTAGACTATGGAGATGTGAGTGCCGGTACCGTTGTTCTGGCCTTACTTCGTATTTCCGCCGCCCAGCAACCCGCTACGAACATCATTTTCAACCAAGGTCAAATTAGGCTCCATAAAGGGAAATGTCCTCGCTGATATCACCTCAGGCGGACCCGGAGGCTCAAGCGTCGACGTCCTCATGGCCAACGCTGAAGAAGCCCAAGCTGCCATAGGAACATCCTACAACATCATCGCGCTCGACCCCCGCGGCGTGGGTCACAGCGAACCGAATATTGAGATGTTCCCCGGTGATCCTGCCACGGCAGCGAATTTCGAGTCTGCCTTTTATCGCACCGTCCCAGATGCATCTTCGACAGCGCTGGCGAGCCAATACTACTTCACGGAAGCATTTGGGAAGTGGTTCACGCGTGTGTTAGGTGGTTCAAGAGGCACTGCTCGGTACGTGAGCACCCCCGCAGCAGCGCAGGATATGCTCACGTACGTCGAGGCCGAGCAGCGGGCGGCAAATAAGCCTGAAGCAGAAGGGAAGCTATGGTACTATGGCATCAGCTATGGCACTATTACTGGCTCTGTGTTTGCAGCTAAGTGGCCGCATCGGGTAGGTCGGATGGTCTTGGACGGCGTGGATGATCCGGAGGGCTACTTCAGTGGGGACTGGACAAAGAACCTCGTTGATGCGGACGCCGTGGTCCAGAGCTTCGCTGAGTCGTGTCATCGAGCCGGGTCGAAGAGCTGCTCGTTTTATCGCAAGACGCCTGCCGACATCATTAAGGCGCTTGATGCGGTGACCGAGAAGATAAAATGGCAGCCCATTCCGGTCTTCAACGAGAGTATTGCGAACGCGCCACAGCTAGCGACTTACGCCGACCTAAAACGTTTTCTACTGCAATCGCTGTACCGGCCCGTCGCCTTCTTCCCTATCTTAGATCAAGTCCTCACGGCGCTGGAGCACGACAATGGCAGCCCGCTACTGGCCGCAGCGGCGGCGGTTGGGCAGCTCAGTCTCACCTCAGGGTGCAACAAGGGCTTTGAGTGGGCTTCGATGAGCTCGGCTACTGCCATTCAGTGCATTGACTCGCATGGGAAAGGTAATATGACGCTTGAAGAGTATAACGAGGTGAACAATGAAATCATGGATGTGAGTGGGTACGCCGGGGATGCGTGGAGCTGGAATGCTATCATCTGCAAGAATGTGGAGGTCCAGCCGCCTAAAAGTGTGACTTTCGGAGGTGAGTGGTCAGAGAACGCTCCTTTAAATCTAGACGAAAACTTTAGTGGCTGACTAGTCATTTTCGTAGACCTCCCTCCATCTGCGAAGCTCGACTTCCCTATCCTCTTGATCTCGACCAAATTCGACCCCGTCTGTCCGCTCCGGAAGTAGGCCGTCCTGATCCTCGCATTGCGTTTTGTTCCAGCTGACCTTACCCAATAGTGCCCAAAAGATGGCGAAGTACTTCCCAGGCTCGGTCGTTGTGACTATAAATGCGGTAGGCGTACGTTCATCCTTGGTTGCATTTTTTGAGATGATTTTAAGCTCTTGCGGTGGCTAATGATGTTGACAGCACTCTTCCTTTGCGGCGCCGTCTACCTGCATCGTGAAGCATGTGGCCGAGTACTTAGGCGGCAAGATGCCCAAAAAGGGAATCATGTGTGAGGCGGATATACAACCGTTTGACAGCTAAAGATTGCGGAATCCGGGGGTTAGATACTACTCATTTCGACTCAACGTCGAGTGCAAGCCTATACTTGTCTATACATATTGCGGTTCCCCTTTTTCTTTTCATCGTACTGTGTAAAGTAGCCATATAATATGTAATTAGGAATAGAAAATATTGGCTTCACCAAACTTTCGCCCTAGCCAATCGTGGTAGAGTTGGGGCTCCGACTCGCCTAGCCAAGTCATGCAATATTCTCAAACCAACTCTATAGATTCCCACTGTATAGATTCCGACTCTATAAGTTCCAACATCATACGTTCCAACTCCCTGGATTCCCACTCTACAGATCCCAAGTCTCTAGATTCCGGCTCTGTAGATTCCAACTCAATCTTCTTTGGCATTGCTTCCCCATTCATGAGTCCATGGCAGTAGCATTCCCCTACCAATCTGTAAGTCGATGCAGATGTTGAAGTTCCACGATACTGTTGCATGACGAATGACTCCGGCCTTAACAGAATGGGAACGTGAAGTCCTGGAGCAACATATAGAAGATCTCCTGTCTTCGTATGCGGAGGACATAGTCCAATATATCCCTTTCTTGTAATGAACAACCGCCTCCCACCGCAAGAAGATTCGACCGCACTAGTGATCTTATCCATGATTTGCAGTAGTTGATATACTTCTTCTTCTCGATGAGCAAACGACGTGAAACGAAAGAATTTGAGCTGCTCAGCCCATTTCGCGAAGGACACAAGGGTGTCCTCGAGCGATTTACCCCACTCAAAGGGCCTGTTGATTAGTAGTGTTCGGTGGAACGCTTCCTTCAGCGGTTGCTTTGGTGAAGTATGCGCATATGTATCGTCCGTGCACGGGGAACTGGTGAGAGTCTTCCAACACTCCTCGTAGTTAACTGCCAGATGGGACATTTCGTCTGCTGTGCCAATCACACCCTGATCCGCCATAATGAAAAGTGGAGTCCCAAGCTCGTAGACAGCGTCTATGCAGGCAGCCGAGAGGTGGAGAACCCTATCATTCTTCATGTTGACTGTGAGTATGGCCTCCCCCCCTGCTTCATACTCTTTCGGGCGCAGATATCGGTCGGAGTCCTGCAATCTGTCGTATTTTGGTGCATTAGTCCAGTCAGGGACCCAAGATGGTAGCCGTAGTGTCGATGAGATGGTGGTGGTGGTCTTAGATGGCAGTGTCAGTGTGATGGTGGGGATCTCATATCTGTTACCCAAGCCCGCAGCATGGAGTAAGAGACGTATCCCGCCCGCTCTCTCAAAGAGCTCCGTTGCAGCATTTAAAAAAGTATCCTCCACTGAAGCTCCATAATCTACTTCAACAGGGTCTCCGCAGAAGGACATCAAACCATAGATGTGGTCGCGAGGATTGGTTGCTTTAAAATAGAAGCTCTGTGAGAGGGCTTCAAGAATCTTGATCTCTTCCCTACGCCAACTTTCCGAGGAGTGAAGCTTTTGGCGGAAGCGTTGCATTCGGATGATGTTGTAGAGACTGGAGTGCTGAACGTGCCGGAGTTGAATATCGTGTGCCAACTCCAACCATAGTCGGAACTGTCGAGAGGAATGAATCATCTCCACTCCGCTCGCAATGATGTCCCAATCGATAACTTCATCTCCGTACCTCACTTGCACGTGTTGTGGCATTGCAACTTCTTGCACGACCCATACGCGTTCAAACCAAGGGTGTTGCAGCAACTCAAGAAGTGCTGCCCACTGAGGTGGCTTTGATTCGGCGCGACATAGCGATTCATAAAGTTCGTAGATGTCCTTCCCAAAGCGTCGCAATGGTTTTTTGAGGATGCGGAACTCATTGAATAGATCAAACGTCAATTGAGCATTCTTGAAATGTGCTCGTGACCTCGCATCGATGGGATAGATGCCGTCATACCGAAAAGGCAACAAGGATCCCCTAATGTTGTCCTGGCCCTGCTGTATCGGGAACTGGCCTAAAAACACGGTCGTGAAGAGCGCGTGCTGATAGATCTTTCTCATTAATGGAACTTGTTGAGACTTTTCGGCTTCGTTCTTTTGGTCAATGCATATAGCATCTATCCAAAGAAGTCGTGGAAAGAAGAGAGAACTGTAGCTGGCAAGGATTTCAAAGGCGCTCTTGGGAATTTTCATCTTGCAACCGTCGACAAGTATCTCCTCAGTTGAATACATGGCGACCCGACGACCGTCGAGATCCTCGGTTTTATCCATCTTTCCCCAAGTATACGAAATAGCTTCATACAGCAGGAGTCGCATATGAGGGCCTTGCACCAGGCTGCAGCAGACTGGCCGGAACCCAAAACGGGGGTGCAGAAGGAGTACACGAATGTCCTCTGGACCCTTCAAAGGGGTGTAGGTGTATTCTGGTGGGTTTGGATTGGTGAACTTCGCTATCTCCCTCATCCACAGAGAATATGCTAACAGCATGTTTCTAGCAGATCTCAGATAGCGAGAGTCCGGGTTGGACCAGTAAACCATACCCATAATGGAACAGATCAAGGACAGCCGCCTCATCAGATCTGGAGTCATTTTTCTGTAGAACCAGTGGCATGTCGTCCACCACACGCTCAACATAATTCTCGCTGCTGGAACGTCGAGGTACCGAATGGTCCATAAGCAGGCACGCTCAATGTAGAAGTCCCGCCATCTCCATGCATATCTATTCCATCTCGACAGCCTCGTGATCTGTTTGTGTGACCACAGTTGGACAACATGATGGCTAAAGACAAACATATTTAGTACAACGTTCAGAGCTACCAGAGTCCAATGGTAGCTCGGAAAGAGGATCTTGAAAGCCCAGTTGAATGTACTGCTAAGAATAAGGTCGGCGACGTTTAGAGTCCAGTGTCGGCCAAGATTATCTGTCTCTCCGTATGTAGCCTCCTTCGTGCGCATGAGCTCTTGAGAGATCTGGCCGAATAGGAAGAAGTCGTACATCTTGGACCTCGAAATAAAGACAAACCAGTAGAATAAGAGTCCGATATGGCATAGTCTTGATAGAATAGGCTGAAAGTACCGGAAGAGAATCGCGGCGCTGGCGACTGCAAACCAAGGAACGGACAAGACGACGGCAATATCGCTAGGTTGGAGATTGAAGACGTACATGCAAGGTAAGGCAGCGATGACAATCCATGTGGTAGACAGCATTTTGCAGTGACAGACGAGAGCCGTGGGTTCTCGTCTTTTGCCTGCGTGCCTGCCTCTTAAAGAGTTCGAGATCGGAGAAGACGAGAGCGGTCGGGTGCGAAAAGTGGCGCTGACTGCGCCCTCCAAAATTGCTTATTCGACAGCCACGGCGGTTAGGCTGAGTTTCCCCTGAGGGCGCAACCCCTTAGGCTCACCTCCTAGCGAGAATCTGGTTCTCGAGGACTGTGAGATTAGATATTCCCGCTTCGAATCTTACTAAATGTCTTCCTCACAACATCCCACACCCAGCTGCCCCACCAAGTTGTCATATGTAGTGCGCGTTATCCATTCGCTGAATTGAAGCGCATACGCAGTAAGAGCGCCGCAGAGTTCTGTACTACACGGTACATAGTACAGCCTCTCTTCACGTCCGGTGGTCACTCTCTAATATCAAGCCACAGACTTACCGTATAAGGGAGTAGCTCCGGGTGCCTTCAGGGGGGAATAGCAACATACCAGTCGATCAATCCTCACGCCGGTTAAGTACTAGCCCAGAAAAGAGGTATACCAGGATCGACTCAGTTTAGCGCTAGACCGCCGGACGTAAAGAGAGGCTGTAAGGTGCATGTCCTTGGACCGAAGCCCATATCGACCCTGGATTGGAGAAGGGGTGGCGTCAAGGCTGACGATAAGATTATAGGGGGACGTACAGCAGCCGAAGCCCTCGGCTAATGGTTTCTCCACGCCAAAAGATGGCGCTTTGCGGAGCGCAGGGCTCCAGCGTGCCCCACTGACACTGGAGTTCGCTCTCGATCAAGCACAAAGGGCCAGCGAGGTGGCCTCGCGCGGCTTGCAACGCCCTCGGATAAACCTCGGCCGACTATTCCAAGGCAGACATTTTCCTAGCCTCAGACCCGCCCTTATTGCTCTCTTAATGCTCTCCTACATCCGTCTCTCTTACTTTAGCCACCTCGGCCCTGCCCTCCTTATCTATTAATGAGGCGCCTGCTCAGACATTGCAGATAATGATCAGACCTGACGAAGGGCTACAAGTTGATCCCATTAGAGATTTGCATACCCTCTGCAGTATATCTGATTCGGAAACTGGTGCTTTTAAACGCTCAGTCTTCACATTGAAGCCTGACGCAGGTGCACGTTCCACCAAAAGCAGTCTCGCAAGCCAAGAGTACTTGAAGGAAGAACAAAGAAAAGTGGTGTGCAATTGCTATCATCACGTGATGCGTGCTTAGGTCCCAGAGAGGAAGAAGACACCCATATCCAACTTTCCACCTTCCCCGCCTTACAAGCGTAGCAACCAAGCCCTTTCTTCTACGAGGTATTGGTGACCGCCGCTTGCATCTAGGAGCGGAAGGAGAATTGGTGGGCCTGGGGAGGGGAGCTGGAGACGTAAAAGGTGCTTTATCTTTCTAGGTGGCGCGAGTCCAGCCATCTTCAATAGTACCACAAAGAGTAAAGTTCAAAGGAGTCCCATGACAGCGCATCGAAAATGGATAAACTATCCGACAACCATAGCAAAAGATGCTTTATCCATTTAGGCGGCTCAAGTCAAGCCATAATCACCTACCACAAGGCAAGTGCCCATTAATGGGGTTCTCGTCACTGCAGCTCTCACTCTATGTTTTATTCTGAGTTGTTTCAATTAATTCTACAGAATGCGCACGAAAGCCGAAGTCCTGATGGAACATTATGGTGTCACAAGTCAGGAAGAAGTCTTTCGCATCATAATGGAAGATATAAATACACCTGATACACCCTCCCAACGCGACCAATGGATTGTTTCCAAATTCCCGTACGAAGCCCCTGAGCACCCGGGTATACTTTCGATGGACCAGATTGAAAAAGGAATGAAGGAGAACAACTTGACTCTATCCGGCGGAGTCTTTGATCTATGCAGAGTTGGTGAATGTGTTATTAAAAGAGGGAAAGACCCGCTTCTACTACATGTAAGCCTCTATACGTACGACTTTGCTAGGGCTATCATTATATATAGTTAGGAAGCCGAGAACCTGTTATTTCTACAGAAGTATTCCTAAGTCCGGACGCCGAAGGTATATGCTGTGTTCACCGTGCCCAAACAGCCCCATGGCATCCACTACTTGGTCAGCGAGTTCATCGAAGGCGAGATGCTCGACGAGACAAAGTGGATAGCTCTGGATGATAAAGCGCGGGAGATTATTTGCTCAAAGCTTTCGGAGCAGTTTCAACTACTCTGGGCCGTTCCATCCGAAGGATGCTACGGTCGAGTCCATCATCAAGCCTTCAGTTCCGACTTCAATCTCTTCTATCTCCGCCCCAAAGGCATGCAAGGACCCTACAACTGTTATGAGGACTGCGTTTCGGCCATGTATGCTTCTGCCGAGCTGCGCGCAGCTACAACGGCCATAACTCCCGAATTCCGTCACGATGCGGTAGAATACTTACCTGAGTTCAAACCAACCTTGATGAGAACAAGGGGTTATAAACCTACGCTTACTCATTTGGACCCGCAGTTTCGTAATATCATTACGCGGTCGATTAAGGGAGCCGAGGGGGAAATAAAGGACTGGGAAGTTGTCCTAATTGATTGGGACAGTCTTGCCTGGCTCCCAGGATTTGTTCATGGCAGCTGGCGTAGGAAGGGCAAAGGATCAGTGAGGAAAGCATGAGTTGTATTGAGGTGCTAATGAGTGGCTATATAGTGAAGAGAGACCAGGGGTTGCAGGCAGCAACGGTGACAAAACAACAGGTGAACCTTGTCCAGCTGAGAAGTGAACCCTGTACAGCTGAGACGCGTAGACAGACGTGCGTAGGAGCATTCTAACTGGCTGCCAGTTCAAGCAGTAGTATTAGAATGTAGTAACAGCTTGTCCGGCGAGACCAAGGACACATTTATGCAGAAGGTAGTAGGGAGCTTCGATGATATTTTTGCAGTAGAGACGGCTTTCTTTCAGAAAATAGGTTCTTTAGGTTATAGTTTGGGCGCTGCTAAATGTACACCCTATATTTACTCGGTGTACACCCCTTTTCTACTCCGTATACACCCTTCTTACGTCTGATCTTCTGATTGGTCCGGAGGAGTGCTCCGGGGCCTCCGATTCGCTCGCTTACGTTTCTCACTAATTCCAAATGCTCTCTCCAAGTGCGGCGTGGCCACAAAGCATTACATCCTGATCCTCAACTTCCTCAATACACTCACCATGGCCCTCAAACCACCACCGCCACGGTCCTACTGTACGCTAGATGAAGCCGAGGAAGTGCTTAGAGAGCATGCAAAGGCGCAGGGCTACGGGCTCATCAAGTTCCGTTCAAAACCAGACAGAAAGACGAAGGAAACGAGGAAAATATGGTACCGATGCTGCTTTGGAGGCACCAGAGAGTCTCATGCACGCGTGCGCAGTACGTCTACTAACAAAGTAGACTGTAAGATGAGCGGTACGCTCACTCGGCAGCCTCCTGGAGTTGATGGCTCACGTGTTTGGCTATGGGAGACGGTGGAGGAAGCTCACAATAATCACAACGCTATGCTCAAACCTACGGCAGCCGCCTGTAATAGGAAGCGCTCGGCATCCACGAATGCCCTTATTCGAATGGATGCATCAAGCGGAACAAAGCCTAATGAGACGTATACAAAGCTGTTGAAGAAAGGGGTTACTATCACGGCGCACGATATTACCAATGAGCGCACCCGGTATAGGAACGAGCTTCTCGGCGGCCTTACGCCTATCCAGGCGCTCCTCCATACGTTAGAAACCTCTATATTCCCGGCACCTAACGGCCGTGATAGGAAGTACGTATACAACTTTACAAAAGATGAGTAGAACCGAATTGAACACCTCTTCTTTGCCCATCCGGATTCTATCGAGATCCTACGGGCTAATCACGACGTTATTCTATTGGATTGCACCTACAAAACCAATAGATTCGGTATGCCCTTCCTGCATATTACCGGCGTCACGTGTACTAGCAACAACTTCGAAATTGCCTATTGTTTCCTGCCAAAAGAGAAGGAGGCGAACTACGACTGGGCAGTACTGCAGCTCTTCGAGCTCTTTGAGCGCTATTCTCTTGTTCCACGCGTTTTCTTAACGGATAAAGAACAAGCTCTAAGGAACGCACTACGTCAAC